ATACTTTATAACGAGCCGTCGAGTGGGCCGCTGTGGTTCCTGTTGTTACTGGATTGGCCCGTGCCGACTTCTATGCCTGCCACTGCCAATATCTCTAGCCGGGGTACCAGTGGCCTAAGCTGGACAGGTACTCGAGATCCTCCCTGTTCGGGGGCTAGTAGCACTACCCCTACTACCTATTATATCTACTAAACCTGTATTTAACTTCTATCTAGACCCTTCCTTATTACCTAAACTAGGTTCCTAAAGTAAGAACTATCTAGAATAGTAGTTAGCCTAGACTATAGTATTTAGATATATAGGTATTTAGCCTATCCTTACTAGAAAGAAGCTAAGACTAATACTTCCTTCTAATACTAAGGACTAGGACAAGCAGGATAACAAGGCTTTAGTTATACTACTATTATTAGTTTATAATAACCTAATAATAAGCGTAGTAAGCTATAACACCTCTCTAGAAGCCTAGAAGCATCTTACTAACTACTTTAATAGGGATATAGGTAATATATTAATCTTACTTTTCTAGTTACTTATAAACCTCTACTATTATAATAGAGATAATCTTAGACTATACCTTAATAAATTCTATTAACGCTAGATATATATAGCTAAATATTATATAACCTTTATATAACCTATTATAGTAGTAATACGTGCTATATTTAACTCTAACTAGGTTAAGGGCTTATTCTTTCTTGCTACCCTACCTAAGATAATAGATAATATTATTAATAATTTATCTACTAGGAATATAACTGCGTTTAAAGATATTAAACTAAAGATCCTAGATATCTTAGAGAAGCACTTATTAGATATTACTAACTCCTTAGCTACTTATATAGCTAGATAAACAGTGTCTAGATAACTAAACACTAATAGACTACTATTATCTAGTACCTCTATACTAAAATATACCTAGTATTAGAAGTATAACCTATTATTTATTAGTTATATCTATCCTAATTATAAGTATCTTAAGAAGTATAAGGAGAACTAAGTAAAGGGAAAAGCTAGCACTACACTATAGTTATAGTTATTCTTATTATTAGGCTCTTAGAAGAAGCAGAAGGCGAATAATACTACTATAGTTAACCCTAGTAAAGACTCTAATAGCTTAACTACTATTATTAGTTACTCTGCATATTATTATATTAACTTAATAACACTACTACTATATCTAATACTTAATTTAAATAGTAAACGCGCTAGATTAGTAAGTATATTTATAGTAATCTATTAACCTACTACTATTAACCTACCTATATAGCTTTTTAATACTAGTGCCTCTAGGTATATATCTAGCTACGCTAATAACTTCCTATCCTTAACACTAAAGATAGGCACTATTACTATAGCTAGCGGTATTAAGCTTCCTATATAAGGAATTAGCATGGTTTAACTTTACCTATAGCTCCCTAATAGCTTAACTAATATTATAGTACTAACTAACACACTCTATAGCGCTAAACTCTATAGCACCTACTTATTCTTATAGATATTTATTAGATATAAGGGGTTTAAGCTATTTACTAAAAAGGATAACCTATACCTTGTTAGATATAGTTAATACACACTATAGGTATAATATATATAGGGCCTTATATAGCTCTAGACTAAATAACTACTATTACTATTACTATCTACCTATATACTTATAAGCCTATCCTCCCCTAATTAAATATTAATAGCCCTAGCCCTAATAATAATAACAGAGGCGATAGTAATAGCGATAAAGGCGAAGGACAATATATATAAGGGCAAAGGTTTTAGGATATACTAGGATTTTTATAAAGCTATAGGATATCTATTAGTGCTAAACCTATTATATATCTATACTAATAGCTATCTAGTACTAGATAAACCTAATAACTTTGTATACACTATATATTAATAATTAAAGTTAGTGTATTATATATTAACGCAAGGAACACTACGCTATACCTAGCTACTTAAGCTTATTTACTCTAATCTCTTAGGGAAGATACCTGCTTAAAGTATTAGTAGCTTATAGTATTATATCTCCTTTATTAATAACTATACTTAACACTTATAGATTTAGTTCCTTAAGCTTAAGACTAACGCACTATAAGTAATTAAGGATTTTATTACCTACGCAAATACCTAATTCTATAATAATAATATACTATAATATTCTATTATTAAGGCCTTCTATTCTAATAATAGCAGCAAATATATTAGCTATAATCTTTAGAAATTTTTTATAGCTAAAGGAATTATCTATAAATTAACACTACTATACTACTATAAATTAAATAGCGTCCTAGAGTAATTTAACTATACCCTATTCTAGATTACTTAATATATAATACTATCTAATAATCTACTTTTCTTATAGGCTAAAGTAATAATATTAGCAAATTTTCTTAAGAATATCGCGCTATATTCTTTAGACCTATTATAACGTACCCTACATAAATAGCTCTTTAGGAAGAAGCTATCTATTTAGTATCTCTAACTATTTAGTATCTAAGGCTATATTTATATTCCTATAAAGGCCTAGAAGCTAGGCACTAAACTTCTACACTACTCTAAAGAAGGTATTTTTATTAGCTATAATTATAGTACTAGGATAAGCTATCTCTATATACTATAATAAGCTATTATTATTAAATCCTAAGATATTACCTTTATCTTATAGGTTCCCTAGTTATTTTAAGCTATTTAAGACTAGGGAATTAAGTATAGTCTATAATATCTAGATATAGAGCTTTAATATCTAAATTAGTAGCCTAGGGAATTAATTATAACGCTTCCTCCTATTAAAATTCTTAATAACACTAAGCTAGGGGATATAAGTAACCTTCTATTAGCACCTTAGACACCTACGCTTAAGACTAGAGCAATAAACATACTATATAACCTCTTAAGTAGCCCTAACTATCTCTCTATATAGGCACTACCTAGGATAGGACTAGATTTCTCTTCTTTAGGTGCTTAGAGTTTATAAATACCTGCCCTACTCTAGAAGAAACTATATATAAAGGAGATATTAGCACTAACACCTATAGCTATAACTTATATTAGATAATAGATAAAAATACTAGAGTAATACTAGGGTTCCTATACTATAGTATAGCTCTTTACTATAACTTATAAGGAAGATACGTTAGTATATATTTTATTATTCTTAATAACTTTCTCTACTACTATAATATTAACTAACACCCCTAGGATATTTATAGAAGTAATAGATAAGAATTATACTACCTTATAGTAGCTAGCTATTAATAAAGAAATTACTAATTATATAGAAAATAGTATATAGGAAGTTGTACCCTATTATAAGATACCTCTAGGTATAAAGCTTGTAGGCACTTAATAGGTATTTAATACTAAGTAAGATAAATCTAGCAATATTATTAAAAGAAAAGCAAGGCTTATAGTATAAGGATTTTTATAGTAACTAGGTTTTAACTACAATAATATATACTTACTAGTAGTTAGGTATAATAGCCTACGTATCCTCCTAGTCCTTGCTACTTTATATAGATAGTAGATATAATAGGTAGACTTTAATACCACATACCTAAATAGATATCTTAAGCACAGGATCTACTACTAACTACTACTAGGATTACCTTCTAATAGCGCACTATTCTTGCTTAAGACCCTTTATAGTCTTAAGTAATCTAGACGTAAATAGTATACTATCCTATCTAAATAGTTAAAGTCTTAATATTTCTCCTAAGCTAATTTTAATCCTTATATCTTTATCTTAAGAGATCTTGTCCTTAGGATCTATATAGATAATATCCTTATAGTTAGTACTTAAGAATAGATTAATATAATACTCTGCCTTATAAAAACTTACTTTTACTTTTAAGACTTAGGATAACTATATATACTATTAGGACTTAAGATTAACTACTTTAATAACTATATAGAACTCTACTAATGTATATATATTATAGCTATTCTTTAAAGGTATAGTATAATAGATTATAATAGTTAATATATACTTATTAACCCTAGCTTATTCCTACCTTATATACCTATAGATATACCTATTAATATTAACTATTAGAAGAAGTTTTAGTCTATTATTAGCTCCCTTAACTTTATAGTAGTTATAAGTAGACTAGATATAGTATATATAATTAGTCTACTTAGTTCCTATAATACTAACCTATTAGAGAACTATCTTAAACTAGTATTCTAAGTGCTCTAGTATATCTGCGTAACTTTATATTATTAACTAATAATTAGTACACACTTTACTAGATAGTCTACTAAGATTATAATATACTTTAACGCCTCCTACGTATTAGACCTAGATAACTTAAAATTATTCTCTAGCTATATCCTTAAGATTAATAGATTAGTTATCTTATAGTTATCTAAGTAATAGAGCTACGTTACTTAAAGTATATATAAAGTAGAATATATAGCTACCTTATATATAGTATTATATCTTATCTAGGCTTAACGCGCTATTATAGAATTCCTACTAGTTATACTACTATACTACCTGCTTATTAATAATAAACTAGCTATTATACTTATTTAAGACTAGAAGTTAAACCTATAGTTAAAGTATATCTACGTTTATTACTACTTTATAAGAGAATAATTCCTAGAAAGTAACTTTAATATCTAATATATTTAATCTAGTAATAATCTTATAGACTTATATATAAAGGCACTCCTAAGGCCTATATTAAAGAAGTTAGACGCTAGAATATTAGATATAATAAATAAAGGATAATCTTATTTACTTAGGAGACTAGGGGATATAGTTTTTCTCTTATTTTCTTTGTATTTATAGTTACTATAGATTTAGGGGACTATTATTTCTATATTACCTATAGTGCTTACCTTATACTAAGGTGGTAACTGCCTACCACTATTGGCGACTCCCCTATCCCGGGTTGACTGGGAGACACCTATTTGGGACTAGTGGGGATGTCTATATCTAGCCACCTTGGCCCTTCGTCCATAGATTCTTTAATCAATACTTTCTCATCACATCACAGACCACCTGTTCAGCGTCTTCCGACCCCGGATACTATCATTCCCAAACATCCGGAAGCCGCGAGAAGACTGCGGAATCCCTTCTCCAACAGTGAGCGATCGGCTCGATCAATGTGCCATGGCGATCCGAATGACGATAGAGGGAGCTGGGCCAGACTTTCCAGACCAGACGCCTCGCAACATCCCGGCCAGTGTGGGCTGCTGCTGCATGTCGACCTCGTATCTTGAGGAGATGGACTCATGGTTTAGAGACAGGGACTATGGTAAACCAGTCGTCCTAGCGTCTACAACGTGTCGTGATCGTTGTGGATCATCACAGGACAAGAGTGCGACCAAGTGCCGCTGCCACGCGAGAATGGGGCGGTCCCCGCAAGCTGGATACTGACGACAGAGTTGTATGCATACCAAGCGTTTCCCAAAGAATGCGCTTATGTAGGGAGATGATAGCAGTGGACCACGTTTGCAGATAGCGACGGGGCTACATGAGGCGATTGAAATTCCTTCAAAGCGGCCATATGGATCGATGGATGTACAGATCTTCGGCTAAGGTGCCACCCCGGCCTGAGGATCATGGTACGGTATGCTTTGCTTAGCTGGCATCGAGTACGTATTGATGACCGTGGTCCAGAAGAAGATGCTTCTGGACTGTTGATATGTATTCAGAGTTTCACCACTCGTATCGCATCGCACGAAGTTGCGATTGTGAAGACATACACGGTGAGATTCCAAAATCATCGGCTATATGTCGGCTGGTCATGTTGCCGTCTGCTCCCCTTTGGGTGCCGGGTATCTTAGCAGGGCTAGATCCGCGGATGCCGTGAACTAAAGAAAGCCACGTTAGGTATGCCTGCAGTAGGAGAGCGAGGGGGTTATCGGTAGCTCGTGGGTGCCCGTAACATGAGACGTTATCTGACTAGGTTCGAGAAGTGCAACTTGCAAGTACTACCCTAGGCCAGACTTGATGTTGCATTCATCCTTTTCTTTTATGCAAAGATACATGATTTGAAGTGAATTCGTTTGCTTTTCGCCTGAGGCCTTCTACCGGTACAAAGCAGCATGGTTTACAAGAGCCAGGGTGAGCTCGTCATCCGTACTCACAGACCAGGAAGACAGGGCAAGTGAACGCAGTCAGTAACATGTACTTTTAGTTATCCAAACCTACCATGGTCAGCGCCACCCCGGGACATGCTGAGACGTCTGTCCGCAGGAGTAAGAGCTACACAGTTTCGCGGAGCCGCACGACTTGGATGGCACACGTACTGGCCAAAGGCAATGCCCTCCTCCCGCACTTTATTCACGCAAGCCCTAAGACGCTTGCAGCAGTTAGCATCACCAGACTAGTCTGATTCATGTAAAGCCTCATGTCAAAACGTGGTTTCGAGAAGCTTTCTAGGTCGGACTCGCTCGGGATTCCACTTGCCAGCTGTGTGTTACCTACCCCTACCTACGCCAACAAACTTTAAAAAGAAGAGCGGTCGGCACACTGCAAGGAGAAGCAGGGTTGTTTCGGCCACATTGCGCACAGTAGCCAGCATCCGCCGAGCGTTCGAAATGAACACAGTTCACTACCCGATGACGTATGACAGGGCCACCCTGCTCACGTTTTTCTCTTCCTCTGCGCCTTTTCACTACAAAGCATATTTTGAGTTGTGACGAGACGTCGGCATTCGGGCACTCGTCTATTCTCCGTCGCAAGAACGGGACTCTAGGCGGAGTACAGTTTGACTCGACAACAGGGCAGCCGACACCCCCGAAGTGTCTAGAGGATAGGTGCTTAGGTCTGATGTCGCTAATGTGTGGAGTAGTTTTTTCCATGAAAACGTCAGGGAAAAACCCAGTGATGTGCATGCGTAGGTAGGAACAGAGGATTGAGTTGAGCCAGTAGACATTCACCGCTACCTGGACCTAGTCTCTACCACAGCACAAGTGGGCTGGAGAGCGTGTGGAGGAAACGGGACGCACGCAATCGATCGTTGGAAAACGGTAAGCCGGGCGGGCCTATTCAGCGACAGCAGACTACCTACAATAGTAGCAGACTAGCAAAAAAAGGCAGGGGAAAAGTTACCGATGGTGGAGCCCCGGAATGAGGCACCCTTTGTTCGTCTAAATCCCGGTGCTCACCAACGTACATACATACTAAGTGGAGTAATACTGTACCACACAGTACCTAACGTACACAGGGTAAGGATTGTCCTTGCTGGCGAAGAATAACTCTAATTGGACACGGCCAGATCTTAGTAAGAAGTATGCAGGCGAATATGGCAGCTTGCACGACTGATTCATCTCCCTCCTTCATGCACGCCCGCCAAAGCAGCAGAATAGGATCATTAAGCTCGCATACAAGGATACACCATTGTGCTGTTATAGCGTGCTTGTCGTCACAAGCACACACAACTGAAAAAGGCTGTCAATGCAACAATTCGTCATGACCGTTGGAAATTGACCCCCACCCAGTCTCCTGTCTGTTTAAATACGACCGCATTGCGACCGATAGGTCTTGTTGCTGGTGCCATCCGCATGGCTGCCCACCCCTCATCCGCCAGTCTTTTGTTTCCCGCCTCGTCGCCCCCGGGTAGCGCTGCCGAACGGTCAAAATACCCCACGTGCAATATGTACTACAGGTGGTACAAGTCTAGACACGATTCCAATTTCGTGTTCCTACACGAGGAAGGGGGGGGGGAAAGGGGGGCGATCGTCCCAAGTTTCATCGTCGACGATAATAGATGATGGTGATGGAATCCTGTTCTATTTTGCAACAGCGTGTCGTATGGGGTCGAATGATCCAGACCTCTCTCCTCTGCCTCCCACCCATCTATCTGTCCGCTAACAGTGAAGGAGTCTTTCCCCCATCCCCCCATGCAGGGCCGATCCGGCAAGCCGAACTTAGTGGGGGGACGTTTGGCAGGGGTTGGGATTAGTCGGGTACCTAGGTAGGGGTGCCAAGTCCGGGTCGTGGGAAATGGCATGCAAGCCGGATCCGCGATAGTGATGCGGTACATACATGCACGGTGCCCTGGTCCGCGATAGGGTAGCTGGGTGTTGGGGGTGGGGGTGGGTGTGTGTTGTGTATGGTATGTGCGTACGTGCGCGGCTTTTGCTGCTCTTGTCAGCACAAGACTTGTGCAAACGCGTCTACGATTTCAAATGCCGGTCTTTTGGCCTCAGACGATTGCCTCAGTCGATTGTCAGTCATGATACTGATAGAGGGTTCTAACTCGGCCAGTGTGTCCTTTGGCTATCTTTGAGTCACTTGATACAATAAACAAGCGCAGCCTTGGGTTTGCAAGTATCGCGACAGCGACATAATTGACCTTCGGGAGTTTTGCTTAGAGTTCTTCAAGTCCCTTAGTGGGTGCAGTAACGTTGCGCTAAAGTCGAAAAAACGGTTCCGCAGTATATAAGTATATTGTTTAAATTTGGAGTTTTTTTTTTTCTATTTGGGAGGGGGGGTATCTCAATGACAAAGAAAAAAAAATTAATGTAGCAAAAGGCAAAAATTGGCGTTTTTTTCTTCTTTTCTCTTCACGAAGTTGATCTCTTCTACAACTTGCTCAATTGAACGTCTTGCTAAAATGCTGCCGTGCACCAATCATACAAATTGGCGAGATTTAGGAGCAGAGCGAGTAGCGTTTTGCAATTTGCCAATCTTGACCCACTACCACTCGATCTAGGAATGGTTTCGGTGGCATTCATCGCCTGGACAGAGCCAGCGTACAAGCGTGCTTTGGACCAACACGACCCAGCACGGTGTTAATCCTACCGGTAGGTATGCAAGCGCTGCACTGCTCGGTACTTCTTCTCTCTCCGGACTTTTCCGTTTGCACGTTGGCGTGGCTGGCGTCAGGTCGATGTACGGGACGGCAGGGCGGGCTTGTGGATCCACTACGTGGAAGCGCTAAGCTAACTGCGTAGTATTCTGACTCGAACCTCGTGTTGAGACGCGGCCTTTGTGTATATTGTGTTTTGGATAGACGTGTGACTTCAGTGAGCCACAAGGTCGTGTTGCTCAGCTCGCAAGGGTCTCCTGGTGTTCTTCCCACTGCCACTGCTCGACTAGCTGCCGCACCCTATAGTCGGTAGCCCAGCCAATATCGGTTTCGACATCTCGAAGCAGCTGCAGGACTACCTGGCGCTCTCGAGCGTCACTAAGACACTGGCCTGCAGTGAACAAGGGCTGGATCGAGTGGATTCGCACTGCCTCATCTGACCGGGCAAGTGAGATTCCGACGATTTCACGGCTGTGTTTCTGACACGCGGCCAGAACGGACTGGTAGGAATTCATGCGTGCACAGATGGTACTGCGTCCTTGGGTCGACTCGTGCGGCTTGTTCATGAACAACAGGATTTGGCTCATGTGATACGTCTGCATCGTCGACGCGCACATGGGGATGCTGTACCAGACCTCAGTAAAGGAAGCGCTGTTGTCGCCTTGTAGGAATTGGCGCGGCATCTGCGAGGGCTCCACCCTAGCCGATGGCTTGAAGGTCACTGGTAGTCTATCGTGCCAGACTTGGAACTGCTTCTCGAGGCTATGCCAGTAGTCCAGCAGAGCCCGCTGTGGTACGCCAAAGACTGTCGCATCGCTAGTGATTTCGTCTCCAGCTGCCATGAAGTTGACCAACTTGGACATGAGCCAGACTAGCGAGTTGCAGATGAGGTCTTCTCGCATCATGGACGCTCCGTCTTCGATGTATCCATTCTCCGTGGCGTTGTTGGGAACAATAAAACCTTGATTGTCAATCAGTAGTCCGGCCTCTTTCCAGAGTGTGAGGTCTTCAGTATCCAGTCGAGTATGAGTCTTGTTGATGACTACATAGGTGTTAGTCTTCAATTCCCTAGCGTCAACGTTGGCTCCACTTACAAGCAGCAAGCATATCCTGTCTGGCAATGTTCCAGAACGTAGCCCTGCGGGCCTTTGAGATGAAACTTTGGCTGGCTGAGGATGTGCATGAATGTGGTGTGGAGCAACGTTCTTGCGAGAGTACTAGAAGCGACTTGGCACCATTGAGATGCTTGGCCCACTCAGAGACGGATGTGTCAAGGAACTCGTAGACGCAAAGTATGGCAGAAGCTGCCAGTAGCTCATCGGTAGAAGAAACAAACGATGCGTTGCTCGAAGTCCTGCACCTCCTTGGCGATGACCGATCGAATCCATGCACTGGGTATTCATTGAGCTGTCTGAATTCACAATCCGACTCGTCTGGTGCAGGAGTGGTGTCTTGCTTCAGAGCCTGTAAAAGGAGGGATACAGCATAGTCGTAGTATATGGCCGCCTTGTGTTTCCAGTCAACTAGGGGAGCGTCAGGATATAATTCCAGGCAAGCTTGACGGGTCACACTACCTCCCATGACAGGCTTGCGACCTGATACCCGGGCAAGTGCCTTTGCCGCACAAGCAACTGCTGCATACTTGAGCAAAGGGTTCTCTCTTGCTTTGACCGGTACATAGGACGCAAAATATGTTCCGAGATCGAACAGGTCCATCCAATAGCCAGGTCCCTCGGAAAACCAACGTAAAAGAAAGGCAATTTCGTGGTCTTTCTCTAACTGTGCATCTCGCTCCATGTGTGATGGAGACCGTCGCGAACCAGAGAGTGAACTTGTGCGGCGCATGTACTCGCTCGAATCGTATGATGAAGTTAACCGTGGATCGATTGGGGGTGGGGACGCAGTCGGATATTCCATGAAGGAGTTCATACGGCGATTGCAAAGTGTAGCCCGTGTTGAGCCAGGTGTTCCTACTGTAGATGTTGGAGGCGACTGCATAAGTGATGGTACAGGTTCGAGCTCTGGCGTGAAGCTCATGGGTATGCTCGTCGGGGCCATGTCGATGCCCATACTTGATGGTGTGCTCGTGATCGAGTGGCCGTTGCTATGTGACCGCCATGCAACGAGGGACCGAGTTTCAAATGGACCTGGAGACTCTGTGGATGCGATTGATAGACTGTCGAACTCTGGCGTGCCCGGGTCAAGGTAGGGGTTTGTAGTATTGATAAAGGTAACTGAGAGGTTAATAGCCAGCCGGGCACGTGAGAGACAGGTGGAGCTTACTATTCCGTGGGATGTCCATCCAAATGGTGTCCTCGTCAAATGTGTTCTTGTAGGCATAAAAGCCCTTGAGCGAGTTCTCATCGCCGGAGTCGTCACCATTCATGGAGGCATTATGTTGATGTCTAAACACTATCCCTGAACTGGGGATGCACTCTCTTGAGGCCTTGGTGCATTGCCCGCAATGGGGTTTCTTCTCGTCGCATTTCAGCTTGCGCTGACGGCAAGTAAGACTGTGATGGATGTTAAGAGATGTTGGGTACGACAGGAGAGTCTTGCCTTACCATCCAGTTCGAGAGCGCATGTCGTAGTGAGTCTATGTAAGAGTGTGGCTCTGGACGGGCTGTTTAGATGGATACGGACTTGGGGCAAGGCATGTGGGTATAAAAGAGTATGCAGCAAAGCCGAGGAGCGATGTCTTGTTATCTATACCACAACCATGGAAGGCAACAGAGCGTTCATTGCTGGAAAGGAAGATGCGGGGTCTAACATGGTTCGCGCCAATGCGGATCCACGGTCACCAGCTAAGCAGGGCCTGTGGGAAGCAGGCAAAAGGCTTTTTCCTTTGCACGATCTGGGGTCTGGGTTGAAGAAATGGTCTAAGCACCCGTGTGGCAGGATAGATGCGCACAGGTCGCGTCAAGCGCCGTCGCGTGCACTGGCCGAGTCATGCCGAATCACTTGCAGCAAAGTATGCGTAAACCCAGTCCGTTATGGCCGCTAGTTGCGACTCCTTTTTAAACTTCTGTCAAGCCGCTGCATCTGCTGGACAATGCTGTTCGGCCCTTTTGTAGAACGCTAGAGCAAAGGTGGGTGAGGGGGCCTGTCTTCACCCATGCTCAGATCAGGAACGACTCTTCCAATTCTCACTGACATGTTGCCAAGACTCGACCTGGAACGTCCGCCGGAAGACACGCTTCAAAGGTCAGTCCACGAGATGCAAGTAGATTACAACCAACGTGTTCAAGGCAGTGGCAGTGCAGAGCGTGGGACACTGGTGCGCGCAATTGCAACGAAGCGCCTCGACGCTCTCCTTGGCTGAATCGGATAAACTGCGGCTTCCTCACCGCTGCATTATTTCGATACCTTCTGTTTCTTCTTCGGCCGTTCTGGCATAGCTGCAGATTCTCCCGCATCACTGTCTGCGCCCCCCATTTCCTCATCACTATCCGAACCACTGCTCTGGTGATCGGAATCAAATTCCTCGCCCACTTCTGATTCTGAATCTGCTTGGAAGTCTTCGTCGACGCTCTCATCGTCCTCGTCGGCACTACCGCGATTTGCTGGAGCGCCGTCGTCACTAGAGGCAAGATCCTCGTCCTGCAAGGCGGCTGCAAGAATTGCTCCAGACTACAAGGTGCATGGTTAGTCTATGCATTTCATCGTAGAGAGGGGCTTTCGTACATCATCCGCCATTTCATTCTTCGTCTTGATACCTTTGGCCCGAAAGAAGTTCTCGAGCGGCTGTTGTTCCTCCCTAGACATGTATTTAGTCAAGCTTGATATCAAGGAAGAAATAGTGAGACTAACCGATTGATGTTTGAAAACTGGTGTTCTGCCATACCTCCCTTCATGGTAAAGGTAATGTCAAAGGTGCGGCTTGCTGCCATGGCTCCGCCAACACGAGACATGGTTACAGACGCGATGTTGTCCATGCTAATGTAGGTCGCTGGTTTGGGTATGAACATGAAGGCCTTGTCGAGACAAAAGAGGTGGCCCTCATTAGCCTTGATTGAACACTTGACACCCGATTGCTCATGGTGGCTTATGAAGTCCCGAGATGGTCTAGTGATGCGTTTACCGCTCAGTCCTCGAAAGATGTCCGAGACTACGACAGCGATGGGCGCTTCGTAATGTGACTGTAATTTGTCCTTATACTTGGATTCTAAGAGGTCCTCCTTCATGTTTAGATCAAGATTTACTTCCTCGTCACGCTTGAATTGCATAACCAGAAATGGGTAACGTGTCTGGCCTTGTCTCAGAGGAGGGTCCAGACCAATGGTAATAAGAGTGTGCATGTCGTCGGGTTTGGGCAAGACCATGAATTTCTTGACCGAATCGAACTGAATCTTGTAGTCGTACGTCTTGCCTCGCAGGCGAAACGAGCTCTCGTACATATCGATGTCGAACCGACCTCTGAGCATCCATTAGCATTGGCAAACCGCACTCGCGCATATTCACCGTACCTGGGCGTGAGATGAAGGATATCCAAGAAGGTAGCATATGTGTCTCCAGCAACCTCCCCGATCTCAGCCTTGTCCATCAGTGTCTCGTAGAAGAGGCTAGCGGCGTTTGTCTCCTCGCCCTCTTCACCGCCAGAAGCGTCTTCGCCATCCTCATTTTTCTCTTTCTTGGAGGCTACACCGGGTATGTAGAAACGCATCTCGACTAGTTGGTCGCGAGCGCCTGCAGACTTTTTCCCTCTGAATCTCGCTCCTCCAAGGGCGCCATTGGCCCCAGCGTCGCCATCGGGTGGTAGTGAGAAATCAACGGCCACTTCGTTCTTTCCCGCCAAGTTTGTGTTGGAAACTTCGGTGTAAGGCACCTCAAAGGCCGGGCGGTTTGCCACATTGAAGGTTAGTTCAGCCTTTCCAAAATCGGCCTTTCCCCAGTTCCAGCCGCGCAAGGCATGTTCACGATTGTCCAGATTGATGCCATACCAGGTCTTGAAGACCTTGGAGACACGCTCAAAGTCATCCTGCTTGAATCCATCGAGCTGGATGACACCGTCGTTCCGTGAAAGAATCTTAACTTCATAGCCACGTGCAGCGCGACTCCATTGTGCCTGTATGATCTGTGACTGATCGCATGTGTACGTCTCACCCCCGGCAGCGGGCTTCCAGCCAAATCCAGAGTCGGAGAAGCGTGTTGCGCCAGGCTTACGCGACAGATTTAGATAGATGTCGTTGAAAGCTTCCCTGCTCCTAGTCAGCCTTCAACTCGTCACCAAAAGCCATCCCTCTTGGCGCGCAAATTCTGCTCACATAATTACAACCACTCCACGACAAGCAAAACTTTGGAATGCAATTTACTGAGAGCGGTGATGGGCGATGGAGATAGCAAGCGACGTTTTGTTGCCGTCTTCGTTGTCGTCGTCGTCGTTCTCGCTAACAAGCTCTCACTTGGCAAACGCGTCGGGGCAAGTTCTTTAGCGCCATGTTCACGTGACAGCGCGTCACCTTCACCTGCAGTCTTTCAGGGTCCAAGTACTACCATAGGGTAGCCTTAGGAGCACCATTTTACGACTTCTAGTCATTCACTTCTCTCTAGGTATCCCCTTGCCCCAGAGCCCACTCCACACCTTTGGAGATTGTCCCCAGAAGTACGGGCACGTCTCCATATGCCTGCTCATCGCCTGTTAGGTACCGGTACAGCTTACTGTGGTGCTATAAATTCCTTCACCCTCGCCCGACTCTGCAAGACCCTTTCTCGCGGCCCTAGTTACCTCTCACCCTGGTGTTGTGTCGTCATGTCTATGCGCGGTAATATAATATGAATTTGACTATGATTACCTACTACACCTCCTACTGTATGTTGGGTGGTATGTACTCGTATTGACGTGACGCTAGAAGAGTCCCAAACAACGGACCTCTATTTGGAGTATCACCGAGCCCACGCACCTCTAAATACCTAGTAGGGCGAGCATGGCACCAAGTACGCTGAAGTCACTATCGAGATACCATGGCGACTCTCCATCGACAGTACTTTGTTCCACAATCTCAGCACGGATCTTCCTTTTGATGCCTCGTTGCAGAGTTGAGCTTATCATGTCATGCAGTGACAGGCACATCCAACAAGCGACATAGCCTCCTGGCTCGACCAGCACCCACGTGTATCATGCAGGCCCAGCTCCTGGTTTGCACTCTGTTTCAACGCCAATGCTAGAGAGGACTATGAAGCTGGTCAAACTGTACTATGGTAGGTACATACCATGGTATGATAAATGCGGCTATCTTAAATCGGTCAACCGTACAGTAGGGGGCGACATGGCCTCCCCTGGGGGCCTAGCTACTGCACATTTCCAGCCTCACAGATATGCATGAAATAAGGCCGAAGGCACCGCAGACGCACCGATGCGATGCCGTCTTGAAATGGCAAGACTCACCGGGCAAATCAAGATTCAGTCGTATCTGGATCCCAGATTAGAGCAGTTAGAGTATGTACATACACAGTAGTAAGTCAATGCACAGTCGCAACGTGCGTTGTGCGCAGGAACGCCATTTGGCGGACCGATTCAACCAGTTCATCCAGCCTGCTTTGTGACGATAACAATGCGACCATCTCATTCACCCGCCAAGGGGCGAGACAAAGCCTCATCTCACCCTGGCCAGTGATAACTCGCAATCGCGCCTTTGCCAAAACGAGTATGTTTTGCTTGAAAGTATATTTCTCACCTGCCGAGGCCTCCTGCATGTCATGTCATGGACAGGGGATCGTAGCATGTATAGCGCCCGCGACCAAGCGCGCCAAGTGCATTATTCCACGGGCACTAATGGAAGCTCGATTCCGAGTCCATGGCTTGTGATCTGTCTACCCCCGCGAACCAGAGTCCAGAATGAGACATGTCGGATAATAGCATTGTACCATGAACAGTGAATTGGACCCTAGTAGCATGGCAAAGAGAGTTTCGACTATACGGTACCGGTAGTCCCTACAGACACTCAACATCTACCACAGCACATTCCGTGCTTTCCGGAGCAAAAGTGGACTTCTCTGTCGCTCCTAATCCCTAGTCAGTCTCCCCTTGACTCACAGTACAACTCAGTATGAGGCGCCACAATCTACCTCACCTCGATCGAGGTAAGAGTGAGCCCACGCACTCAGGATCGAAGCTACACATCTATATATATCAATGCTTCAACCCTGGCCGAACATCAGACAGCACTGCATGTGACGTTTCTCGTTCACACCACATTGCATTAGACGCCATCCTGCGCCATTCCCATTGAGGAACTAGCCATATCTGTTAAATGATTTTCGGAGGCGTAATGACTGAAACGACCGTTGATCTACAACCCAGAACGTGGGGTGACCCTACTGACTTCCCACCCCATCTGCCAGCCTAACAGATCTTCCATTGTGAGCGCGTGTCAGTATCCGATGTGAACTTGGTACTAGAAAGAATGCGCATTTCTTGGCCTGCTACTTTGATTTCGACATCGTAACAGCGGTCCGAAAGACTCTGAATTCAGCCTGGTATACGTGCCCAGCCGTGATATGAATAATCTTGCACGGGACATACCCGTCGACCTTGTACGCTACCATGCTGGGGACAAGGTTCATATTCGTCTCATCAATGTGATAACGATCTCATACATGTACGCTTACACGGCGAGCTGGGCTGGATTGAGTCCCCCGGTAGTTGAAGCCGGCAAATGCACGGGTGGTGTTGTAAGTATGGTAGTCCTGTCGAAATTAGCAATGGGGATAGCGCCCTTAGTAGCAAGCAAAGTTACTCGGACAGTCTTTGGGACATTCAGTACTCATCACAATGTCTGAATAGTAGGTACAATACATTGTATGAGTGGATCGCGTCCTACTGTGCGACAAGTAATACACTGTTCATACACAGTATTTCACATAGAACATTGTGAACATAGTATCCCCAAATATACATCTCACTGAAATAATTTCCCTCATAGAGATCATTCCAGCTCGGACTATCCAACAAAGGCCTGTTCTCCGAAGAAACGTGCAAAAATAAGCCATTCAGGCTAGTCAACTTCAGAGATCAAGCGACGTATCTGCGATCATGTCTCTACCCCTCACCGGACAGACACAGACACCTGTGGTATCCCGCACCCATACCATAGACATTCTTTATCTCTTCTTCCTCGCTTTATTCCTCGGCTGTATTTGCTGTCTCACATTCTTCCTTACACGGAACCAGGAGCCAGAGGGTGACCTTGAGGCTGATGCATGTGAACAACATGTGCATTACAGCAATCCTACTGAATGGCTTACCGGCGGGACTCCTCTCCCCAAATACTCCGAGCTATACCCAAATGAACCTGTTGGTTTAGGCATTCGAATGGCAGTCGATGACGTTCACATTGATGATGATGATCTGACAAGTCTTTTGGATTTTGACTAGCTGACATGTCAGCACCTTTTTACAACGCGCGGCGCGTGCTGAATTCCAGGAGCTGAATCTCTTGTGTTGTTAGAATGATGTTTTCATTGAGTATCTTGGTTTTCAAGGCGTTTCCCGATTCACTCCAAGTTTCTTTCACAGGGGCAACTACATAATCGATGAGTAATATCCCCTACTACGTGACGAGAACCACTCCGTAACGAGATAACAACACTAATTAATCGTCCAAAGACTCTCCTACGCAAGTAAATAAAGTTGTAGCTAGTGTATTAGCATATTCTACCATTTCTGTACCTGTTGCCGGTGTGTGAACAGAAAAATACCATCTCGTTAATGGCGTTGTCGATCATTTCGTCATGGCCTCTGGAGTTGCTCTAACGTTATTACCCCTGTTCAACGATGACTTTTAACGAGCCTCTCAAATTCGGGGCCATGATATACTAGTACTATCACAAGAGAATCAGCATTTAAGAGTTGAAGTCACTCAGCTGTCAGGGTTGTGTAAGATTCCTACACCTATAGGTCTAGTATAAAAGGATAAGAAGAATATACCTATTCTAATATAGGCAAGCTACTCTTTATATATATCAGTAAGTTAGGCCTTTGTTAGGGCTGACTTGGCATGGAACAATAGGCGAGCAATTCTGCCTTATTGTTACACTTACCTATATAGCCTAGCTAGGGAAAAGGCGTTTACAAAAAGGAACATCCTTGGAGCCTAGAGAGGAAGCGGGTTATTTCCCTTCAATCCTGATAGAGTTCTTGCAGAGATCCCTAAGCCCTCCATCGATCTAAGTATCTCGACCGCTGATGAGCCAAGGATGGTTTCTCGTCCGGACTACGAAGCATTGCCTACACCCGCAACGCCAGTATCAGGAGAGACCTTGATGTCGCTACTTGATAGGATTGAACAGGTTCCTAATGATGAAGCGAGCAGCCAGCACAAAGCGAGGCTCCAGCAGAAGGTGGCAAATGCCGCTCAGACATACCTTGCCAAAATTGCACTCCTTTACAATCGAAATCAATTCTTAGCTAAGATCAACGACGAAGGAAAAGCTCGCCGAGCAGCCGACCAGAAGGTAATAGGGACAGCAAGAGTGGTGACCTATGAGGACCTCGAGGACGAGCGAGCGAAACGCGCTGTGATGGACGCTAAGGCAGCGGAGAAGATGGCTACAAAGGCTGCTAAAAATATTGCGAATGCTACACGAGACGCAGAGGGAGCTACTATAGGCAAGACCACGCGGGGTCGTAAACGGAAGAATACTGCGTCAGCGGCAGCCCCAAGGGCCAAAACTGCGCAGATTAGCGATACATTGGTTGCAGAAGGTGAGGATGAAGCAGGTGCTTCAGAGCCACAGGCCAAGGCAGCGCGAACGAGGAAAAGGCTAGAGACACCATCATCTATAGTGGCTTATGCGGAGGATGAGATCGCACTGGAAGGTTGGAGAGCCCCGGTTGCGCAAATGTGGTAACGGAGAAGTAGAAGTGTGATATTGGGGTGCTATTTAGATAACGTTGATGAAGCAATGCCTTCTGACGCACGCACTATGATCCGAACGTCAATCTGTCTTAGAGATGCTACAGTGCTCTTACGCGAAGCTTAGTAGCTTCTGTTGTCCCGTGATGAGATTATGGACATGCTTCTGAATATTCTTGAATTGCACAAATTTGCAGCTTTTACTTTTAAGGTAATTAAAAAGCCCTGCTAAGCTTACAAATTAGCTATTACAGCTGCGGTTTAGGTAGTAATATAGCTTCTTACTATAGACTAATAAACTTAGATATTAGTTTAGTGCTTAGACAATGCTATACTTTTAGTGGCAGATGTAGTACTTGTAACTAGAGCTGTTCTAAGTTACTTTTATTGCAATGTTCTATTTGTTAGAGTTAGGGTAGGTAAGCAGCTTCTTTATTAAAAAGCTACTAGGGTCTTGCTAACTAATAGCCTAGTAAATCGTGCGGTAATTAATGTTCTTAGCTTGTGGACATAAGCTAGTCTCTAGGTGATGCGAAAGACTACTAGCTAAGGTGAAAGCTGCTTTACAGAAGGGGCACGCAACATTCCTGCCGCGGTGAATGCTCGAGTTGAGGTGCTTACGATAGTCAGTAACACCCGGTCACAAGAGAGTAAGCTCGGTTAATTAAGAACATACTATTCTCAAAGCATTCTCACTTTGAAAATTTCTGCTACAATTGCTAAAACGCTAGGGCGAGGTACAGGCAGGACCAGGACGAGCTCACGCCCTTCTAAGCATGTGACAGTCAGCTCGCCGACAAATTACATCACTGGAATGCAATGAGTGAGCAAGCGGAGAGTTGGGAGGGCGAAATAATCAACTCTGCTAGCCCTAAGGGCAGTAGCGGCGGTTTAGCGCCTGAGCCACAGTCAGGTGATTGGCTTTGCGCGTGTGTGGCGCTGTTGCTGAGTCAACCAAAGCACCCAGCTTTCGGACGATCGCATGTTGCGCGAGAGCGACAGCCATCGAACAAACTCCACGATGCTGCACAGCATACAGCTATGTCGACATCGCGAGATGATTTAACGCGGCATCGACACGTTACGCCACCCTCTATTTTCAAAGGCCAGCCTTTGACGCCTCCGCTGACAGTCGAGAAGCTATACACGGAGGCACCTCGCATTATCGCGCTGTTCAGACAGATCCAAGCAGGAAGGGCCACGGCTGGAGAGCCGTTAAAAGAATTCCAGCTTGTACAGGGAGAGTACGAGCAGATAGAGAGGACGCTCCTGCAGGACAACGTGCTTTTGGGACACGTGAGAGATAAGATACGGTTAGTGGACCTCAGAGACCGCGAGGACCACAGCTAACAGAGGTTATTGGTAGTTATGACTACGACGAAGACCAGTATAAACTAGCCATTCGCATGCCTACTGCGGTCCATGAGCTCTTCCTTAAAGGCGTGGAGGATGGCATTCAGAGTCAGCTAAGAGCATTATGTGACGGGTCAGATAAGAAGGCTCGATTCGCGCAGAAAATACAGCCAGCTGGATCGACTGAAATACGTTTCGCCCCAATTGATTCATCTAGCAAATCCAAGTACGAACCCGACGCGTCGTTCTGGCATGACGACGCACAATATCCGGGCGTCATTATTGAAGTCGCATACTCGCAGAAGAAGGCGCGCCTACGCCGGTTAGCTGATAACTATCTTTTAGATTCGGATGCCAACGTACGGGTTGTTATTGGCCTAGACATTGCGTACAGCAATGAGTCGCGTAAAGCAACGTTATCTGTTTGGCGGCCCCAACTTTTCGATACTGTTGACGGACCTGAATTACGCGCTGAAGAAGTAGTCTCGGGCGAGGTAGGTTTAATTTTCGTATTGCTGACCCAAGCTTAAAGTGCTAACCTTCCTATTAGGCTTTCCGTGACGACGGAGGAAATCCTGTCGAACACCGTGGCCTACGGCTCCGCCTAAGCGACTTCACTTGCAAAGAGCTTGCACGGGAGCAGTTAGGAGACGAAGATGCAGAAATTTGGATATCTGGGACACAGCTCTGCCGGTATGTTGAGAGGGCAGAGAGCAAAGTACAGCGAGCACTGCGTAAGGATACCTTGCCCAAGGAGGTCAAAAAGCGGAAACGATCAACAACACCCTCTGAAAACATTCGGGACTGTGATGAAGCAAACTACGTTAAGGAAGAGGAGAGTGCAGCAAAGCGCATCGCGTTTCGTGATAGTGATTACGAGGATAGGTCATCAACCAAGAGCCTATCAGAATAGATAACTAGGAGTTTGGGGTAGTCATGATCTGTTCGCTAGTGTGTCTTTGCTTAATGGTGGGTAATTAGCGGGGCTCAATGACTTGCGAAGGCGGTCATGGGGAAACTTCGGACGATTCTGACTCACTTGGCTCACCTTCGACTATTTGGGCATAGCTCTCAGCCACAGCCTTAGCTCAGATTCGATGTGGCTTAGATTACAGGCTTGTATTACGTGAAACGTGCTAGTGATGTTTTGGAATGGCCAGAATCGCTCGCTTAACGAGAAGGTACCGACAGGGGTAGCGACGATGTATGAATCATCCTCGTATCGCCGCCACAGGGCTGAGATTGGCTTACGATTGTGGCAGTAAGGCTGGAAAGGTTGATACTACAATATTATAACTACTAGAAGTAATACAAGATAGGTAACTAATAGAGCTGGAGGAGAGGTGTTCTGCCTTGCTGTAGGATAAGGCTCTCCTCAAATCAGGCGCGGAGGCAACGACAATGTCGGTAATTTTCGAGTAACGACGGTTGAGAGGGTAAGGAAGACCTGTCGCATTTCACTCACGAACTATCATACAGGTACCGAAACCTAGAAAGGGCATTTCCTGCTTACTAGTCCAAGTACCCGTAATTATTCTCGTCACGGAGTGGTTCTCGCTACGTAGTGGGGGATATTACTTCTTTCACTGGCAATACACCCCCACCGTGACATCTTGCATCAGATCATACGAATTGACTCGCTATTTCATGATATATTCAAATTGTTCGTGCTGTTTCTCGTATTTCACTTACAACTCACATACCCCATTCATGCAACTTCGGCTGTCAATGCTAGGAATACAATCTTGGACCAGGGCTCCCACAGATCTATTGACTATATACACTGTACATGCTTGACTCATGATTGATGCTTCCCATTCATGCCTATAGTATATGGTCCAGGTGAAAAAGACGTCATTTTCAGTTCGCTGGCAATCTTGTGTGGCTGACTTTACTTCCAACCATTGTTGAAGCATGTGGCATGTTAGAACCGATCTCCACATTCCTTATTACCAATTTGACAAGTTCAAGTAAGATAATGGACTCGAAAATTTGCACGATAGCTATCTCGTGTGGTCAATCGAGCGCAGGAACGTTGAGAAAGCGACTAACCGTACACCCACGAAGACCTGAATTCTCATAATGCAACATCACGCAACTGCAGATAGAGCCAAGCTCTTTCAAGTACTACAATATAATATTGTATCAACCCTTTACTCTCAACGAAGTTGAGCGAAAATTGAGGATATGTGTTCAAGACGTCAAATGGTCCTATGGTACCATGGTACGACGATTCCAAAGCAAAGCCTACTCATAACGGTAAGCTTAGACCGCACAATAGTCACTTGCCCCAAGGATAAATCCGAACACCCTGTAGGAAGACGGACAATATTCTAACACAGTCATAGAATACAAGAAATTCTTAGGCGACCCTGCATATTTTGTACCATTCTTTCCAGAACCAAAATATTGCACATGGGGAACCAAACTTCCGCAAGACTAATATCTTATCTTTTGAATATAATGTCACTTTCCCCTGTATCTATCCTTTATACCTCATCTTTACAATCATACTCATTCCGCAGCAAAGCCCTCACGCTTACACATAGCAATCATGGAGATGCTCAAGCGCTGGTCAATCCCAATACACTCCTCCCAGTCCAACCATGCATCATCACAATCACAAACAGCAGACCGACAATCAAGTTCTTCAAGTCTGTTCTCCAGATTCTCAGAGGCCTGCTCTTCCCGAAAGAACGACGACGTGGAACTATCTGACCTTAGTGTCCCGCAAGACAATGGTGGTAAGAAGCCATGCAGCAGCCACGACTCGGAATACGAGGCCATGCCACCGGCGAGGGCGCTTGCAGCACGAGAAAGAGTGAAGAATATGAAGGCTATGCTGCGGTATACTGGGGCTGTATCAGACAGTTTGTCTACGCAGAGCGCATTACCGGCGCCTGTGGATACGTGTCTGCATCACGATAACAACATAGATGCAGACTTATCGTCAAGCGTACAGGACAAGAACAGAGATGCCGATACGAAAGAAAAGTTGTATACGAACACAGGAAAAGTCATATTCGCGATAGATGGTTCTCTGGAATCTCACGTGGTGACCGGATTAGAAAACCGCGAAAAAGCGGTCCCACCAGCATCACCCGCGAAATCAGCCTCTGACGGGTCAACGACAGTGGATCTGTATTTAGGTGGAACGAAATTATCTGAAATAAGTATGAATGTGGATGTTGTGTTGTCCACTTGTTGTGGAACGAAAGACCACCTAAAAACGATGAACGGATATCCTACCGGTACCGAGCACACTACACGGTCATTAACAGAGATGAGACCAGTAGTGGCCGAGCCTGTATTTTCCAACCCCACATCAAATCCAAAAAGAACACACCGCTAACAACTCAACTAGACACAAACAGGCTCAACATCCACCAACTCACACAACACATCCCCCACGAAAGCCGAGCGCGACACTAAACCCTCCTCTACTCCGAGCACCAAGCATACACCAACCCAACTCACCGCTGCACCTCAATCACAAGCTATCCTCCCCATACCCCTCACTCCCGTCCGTAACCCCCCGGCCACGACCAGCGCAACCACTCCCCTAATCACATGCCGCGTCTGCGCACAACCCCTGTTCCAATCGCGAATCGTGTGTTCAAAACCCAAAGCCTGGAAAGTCCATAGTGGCGCGAAGGGCGCGGCGCACTGTCTCCACGTGGAGTGTTTGAGGGATGCGAAGGGGGATTGGGAGAGTGATGTAGGGGAAACGCAATGTGCGAGGTGTGATGCGTTTAGGGGTATGTTGGGGTGTATTGATGATGTAGTGTTTAGGGAGAGTGTAGGAGGTATGGAGGAGATGGTATTTGGGTGTTGAGATGGGAGTGCAGGAGAGGTTGTTGTGCATGTGGCAACTTTTTTCTTGGGATACCGGTAGGGTTTTTCGTAGATGATTTGTCCCACGCTACAGGATTTTTTCCGAGTGTTAAAAGTATGGAGCGTTCTGTTATGGCTGCTGGTCTTCAAAGCGCTCATCCTGTATATATACTACCCTAGCTGTAGTGTGCACATAAAAGGCAATGCTAAAAACCTCATGATGCCTTTGTCATAAATCAATAACATTTCAATTCTGATCGCTTAAGCGAACCGCAACATCCATCTTCAAAGCTCACCACTCTAAGCCTCTATCATTCCCTTGCCTCGACTTCTCTCCAATGTCCCCACCTTCACATTCACGCTCGAAATCCTCTTGCAAAACCCTCACAACCCCCTCAACACCATCCTTTAACCCCTTCAACCTAGCCTGCTCTCGAATTCTCGTGTAAAATACCGGACAGTCCTTGCTATCACACTTAATCTCATCGCCCCACACCAGGCTCGAACAGCTTCGACACACCATCTCCACCTGCTTGACCCGGACCTCGTTCTTCCGGAGACGGCTCTTCAACGCAAACAGTGAGCGCGCAGGCCGAATCAGGCATTTTTCGCAAAGCGGCAGCATAGCAAATGCTGCTGCCTCAACTCCTGGTAGGTGAGGCGGTGTAGGTGGCAGTTTAGCGCGACAGACGAGGCAGGTAGAGGATTTCATGTAGCTTTCCAGGGTTTTCTTGAGAGAGGTGGATGCTCCCGCGGCATTGTCGAGTCTAGATGTTAGGGGTAGGGCAATATTGCGGATCCGTTGCACTTTGGGCATTTCGTCGTACCATTGGCGGACATTTGCACCTACAAGGTTGAAGATGCGTTCGAGTGGTGGAATCAAGTTTTTCGAGATATAATACTCTGCGTCGAGTTCCAGGTGGTCGTTCTGCAGCAGCGTCTCTGGGCTTACGCAGCGGTCGATAAGTCTTGCACCAGGTGCACCGGTGATCACAACGTAGGGTACACGTTCACCATATTGAGGCTCTGTGCGAGGGTCGGCGAGCATGCGTTTTGCCGCTATAAGGGCGCCTGGTGGAGGTGGACCTTTATCGGAATAAGTGCCGAGTTTCACTTCTTTGGCAAAGAGGAAGTCCTGGATGCTGATCCGACCTTCCATGATTTTAGAACATTGCTCCTGGAAGTAGCGTTTGACCTGGCTGAGATCGCTTGTACGAAAGAGGATTTTGAGGGCTCGTTCTTCAATCTTTTGCTCCGCAGGGGTACCGTCTCGTCGGACTGTTTCGATACCTTTGGCGTCGAACTCGGGCTCCTTTTGGTTCCTGTGCTCATATTTGAACCCGACGTAGCGTTTCTTGGCCAGAAGCACGCATGGGTGGTACACCTTCTCGAATTTGAGTTTGATGGGGCGGGGATTCGCTGCAGAGACGGCTGCAGAGATCTCTTCACCAATAGTGAAAGCTTGATCGCGTGTTCGTCCTTTGAGGTAGATGAAGAGCGAATCTGTGTCTCCATACACAACTTCAGCGCCCCACTTCTCCGTCGTGTGAATGAGAGCGATGGCCTTCTCCAGAGTCTCGCGACCGGTTTGCACAATGCTGTCTGCGATTTCAGAGCAGGGCATGCGCCCAGAGAAGGAGGCTGATGTATAGCCATATGTGACATTAGCAAGAAGCTTTAGTGCCAGTTGCCTGTTATTGAGAAGTTGTTGGAGAGCCTTGTCGTCCTTGTCCTGTTTCATCCCACTCTTGACCATGACACGAGTTTCTAACAGCTCTCCCAGCATCTTAGCAAGCAAGGACTTGCGCATCTCAGGTTTTACATACATCATTCCATTAGGCGCAATATTAATGTGATCTTGGACTAGTTCGAGCAGCTGCGGCTCGCGCTTGAAGTCCATGAACCCCATCTTGTTGCGGCCTCGCCAGCTTGTGATGCGTCCCAGGCACGTAGAATAGCAGAAATTGTATGCTATCATTACACTCGGATAAAGCGATTGGAAGTCGAGTACTAGCAATGGACTAGTGTAAAACGCACTCTGCGGCTCCATGACCAAGGGCAAACATTCCAGGGCGTTCTGCTGACCGACCTGTTTCCGACTTGGAGAGACGAGGATGAAATTCTCCGGCTTTGCAATACGAAACATTGTAGATTCCACCTTGTACTGTGAGCCTCGCGATATGACCGAGAAGAAGTCCACTCCCAAAAGGCGGGCTTGCTCACTAGTGCGTGGTACGATCTCGTTTGCTTCTAGAATATCCAAATTGAGCTGAACACGAGAGATGAAGTGATCAAGGACCTTCGCAAGATCCCGTGGTCGATCGCTTCGGTACCAAGCGGTAAGTTCTGAATGCTGATAATGGGGAATACGTTTGTGGAGTAAATGAAACACTACATTCTCCATGGTATATTGCAGTAGGTTCAGCTCTCCACGCATAGCTCTCCAGATGTTGATCATGTGGCGACCGGTGACTCGGATGGTGGAAGTATGCGTGAAGCCCCATCGATCAGCCTCCTTGCCGAACCGTCCGTGAGACTGCGACTTCATTCTGCTGATCTCGTCGCACAGATCATACTCATACTTCATCCTGGCGCGCTCAATCAGGTAGCCCCAGGAACCGTTGTGTACTTCGTATCCTGTTAAAATATCGGGGTCAAATTGCCGGACAATATCGACAATCCGATTGACGAGTTCAAGCTCTTCCTCTTCATATTCTACCTCCATACGGACTTGTTTAGCGATACGATTAACAATGCCATTGTCTTCCGAAAGGCAAAGTATGCCAGCGCGTGGACGATCGGTGGTAGCATTCTCCTCACCTTGCACGCTCCAGAATATGCATTGAATTTCATCCTCAGTAGGATCAGGCACGAGGGACCCACGTGAATTGACATGCACCTCTAGACTCATGATGCTCATATACTGGGTCTCGTGCTTGACGCTAGTCGACTGCTTCTTCTGCGAGAACTTGAAACCATGTTTATTCCTTTGCGTAGGACCTTCGATCTGTGAAACATTCTCTACAATCTTGATCTTACGGGGCGGTTTCGGTGTGCGCATGTTCCTGTTTCTCGACTTCGTTCTAGCTGCCTCTCGTTGTTTGGCCTCTTCACGTATCCACACTTCTACTTCTTGAAAGGACGGAGGCGGTTCGGCGATTGCCCAGTTTCGTAGGCTGCATCGGTGTGATCTTAATCGATATATGGCGTTTTCTTTCGTCCTGTCAACAACAACAGGCGGATGCTCTCCGAAACTAGCAGCCGATATGCCAATGGGATCAAAGGGAGGCAGATATGGCAATGTGGAACTCTGCAGCTTGAACTCGCGGCCTGCATACTCACGAGCTCGATCAGGAACATCCGTCTCATCACTATAGTAGGCGTCCTGATATATCACAGGAGGTACACCGGCATGCATCATAGTGCTGTCCACTATGTCAAATGAAGGCGGTAGATTTGCAAAATACACTGTTGGGCCTTGATCATCGAAAGAATTACCCAACTGATTGGCTAAAATCGAAGCTTGTGATCGTGCTTTGGGCGTGCTGCTATCTGTCACTTCAGGTGGAGTCTTATGATGTGTCCATGGCGTTATTGGCACTTGCTGCGAAGCTCGAAAGTTAAGATGCTTCAATTCAGGCGTCTTTAGATTTTCTTGTGAGTTCGAGTAACCAGATCCTTTGCGTCTGTTTTCCGAAAGCTGACTAGCACGTGGGGTAAGATCTTCAGTGTTTCCTGATGATTTCATGACCGGTTCCTTGTACTTTCCGTTGATATTATTGCAATGAGAAATGCGTCTAGAAATCTGCGGACTTGCGACATGGATTCTTTGCCGTTTGTTGAACTCTCTAGCCGTGGAATAGCGCCGCCTCTTTTGACTGGTGCTCGATGTGACTGTTTCGGGCGAAAAGCCGTTATCGTTAGCATCTACCAAGTGTATCCCTTCATCAATGGGATCCTCAAATGTCGCTCTTTCAGTGGAGCTTTCGAGCAAAGAAACGGTAAGAAGATCCAGCGACTGCTGTTCTGCCGTGCCAGACTTGGCATCTGTGTCTATCTCATCCTCGCTTTGAGAGCCTTCACTTCCATTGACAGCACCATTTTGGGATGCAACGATTCCGGATAAGACAGTTTCTAAGAGTGCATTGCGATTTTCCTCGAGATCCGCTTGTTGTTCTTGGGTCAGGTCTAGAAGCTCTTGGCTGACCAAGTTCTCCGGGTACAAGTCCTCAATACCTTCCACAGCGGTCTTGATACGCTCAAGACCTTCAGGTTGCTTCAGAAAATCGTCGAGTCGTACGCTAGCACCCATTTGTCGTTTTTCCTCTTCGATTAGCTCTTGGACAAGCTTGCTATACTCCTCTTCATGGATCCACCCGCCCTTTTCAGTGTTCCGGGGATCCGTGGTCATCGACACTAAGACTTCTGGAGGGAAAGGACTACTAGAGGGGTCGGTGAGGCCCATGCGAAGCTTCCTTCGGCGAGTTTCATCTCTCCAAAGACTAGCCATTGATGGGACGTACTTGTCATCGGGGTTTCGGGGCATCTGGCTCGACCGTTCGAGGAAGTCGTGGTGAATCGGCCTGTACTGCAGCTCATGGCGATTGAGAATATCTTGAACGCATATGTCGACTTCGAGCGTGCAATGGCTCTGGCGAGGATACTGATCGTCCTCGGCGATGAAAGTATCCGGTATAGAAGCGTCATGCCACTTATGCACCTTGGTGTCTACCTCGTCACTATCTGGCACCGGACCTCGGAACTGGACCTTGGCGCAATTGATGTAGTCGCATCCGTACAAGTTGTAGTCGCACATCCATTGCAGCAGATATTGTAGATGGGCCTCGTATGGCTGAAAAACTCGATTTAAAATAGCGCCCTGGTGCAACAAGTCGGCAAAGCGTGTCATGTGCATGGGATTGAGTATGTATATCTTCAAGAAGACCTTGTATCCAACATTGTATCCAAAGAAAGGCACGCCCTTTATCAGTGATATATATCCAACGTACACTGATTTGCCGTCAAAAGCATTGCGACGGTAGGTGGCGGCGAGAGCATGGTCAATAGAGGCTCGGAGTGCTGCAATGTAAGCTTCGACTAATTTGGTTCAGCATATAAACGCTACGAAACGCAGAGCACATGTTCACGTACCGACATGTTCCTCTAAGCTGCCGCTGTACTCGAGGAACAAGTACGGCAACGCTCCGTGAATATGGGCACATACTTTCTGGCCCGTCTCAGTTGCGCCGAATGCACGTATCACGGGGACTTGTGGTGCAGAGAGGCGCGAGTTTGGCCCGGTAATGCGACGGAGTGGTGGATCGAGGTCTGTTGGGGTGGCTTGATAGTGGTCGATGCAGTTCAGACGAAAGCGGAAAGTATCCATGATGACACAGTCACACAGTGCAGTCGAGGCGATTGCACTGTGTCGGTTGGCCTGGCATTCTGTTCAACCAAATCTCACATTGAATATAACAGTATAACCAAAGGGATGATCGATGGGAAGGCGAAACTTGAGTGAGTGGCGTGCATGAGTGAGAACGGCGACATCTTTCATTGATCAAAGAACGCGACGTTGGAATGACGCGTGCATCGCGCGGTCATGTGACACAATGCGCCTCCGCCCTTGTACCGGTAGGCTTGTGCGGCTCCACTCTCGCCGCCAACGCCGAATCGCTCGTCCCCATCCACCTCGTCCCAGTTGCGCTTTATATATTTGGCCAATTTTACATTCACACGCGTATACCACACAACTCCAAGATGCCGCCCTCGCAACCGAAAAAGCCGGATGTCTCTGCTGCCGCCAAGGAGCGCAACGAATACATCCCCTCGTTCATCTCGAAAAAGCCCTTCTATGCTGTCGATGAGACCGGCGAAGACAACACCGATTATCTTGAGCATCAACGTCTACAGAAGCAGGAACAGGACTCGCAATGGTACGATCGTGGGAAAAAGATTGGTCCCGCCGCGACCAAGTTTCGCAAAGGCGCATGCGAGAATTGCGGAGCCATGACACATAAGAAGAAAGACTGCTTGAGTCGGCCGCGCAAGGCTGGCGCCAAGTTCACTGGGAAGAACATTGAGGCCGACGAGGTGATTCAGGATGTGCAACTGGGCTTTGACGCTAAGCGTGACCGCTGGAATGGCTACGATGCGTCACAATTCCAGGAAGTCATTGAGGAATATACTGCCATGGAGGAGATACGAAAGAAGGCCAAGCAGGCGCAAAAGAGCGAAGAGAAGGAGGATGAGGAGGATGAGGGCGACAAATACGATGCTGAGACGGACATGGGGAGGAAGCAAGCCACATCCACGCGAAACTTGAGACTACGAGAGGACACGGCCAAATATCTGCTCAACCTGGATCTCGACTCAGCCAAGTACGACCCGAAGACGCGATCCATGGTGGACAGTGGTGCAACAGCGGACAGTGCCGCTCGACTAGTGGCAGAGGAAGGCTTTCAGCGTGCATCGGGGGACGCAGCAGAGTTCGAAAAGGCCCAGCGATATGCTTGGGAGACACAGGAACGGGGAGATAAGAACAAACTACATTTACAAGCGAATCCAACGTCGGGTGAGGTTATGCGCAAAAAGGAGTTACAAGAAGCAGAGGAGATGGCAGCCGCTCGAAAGAAGGCGCTCGCTGAGAAGTATGGCGTTCAGGAGAATGATACCGCAAACACACTGCGCACCTTGGCAGTCACCGAAAATGAGCGATACGTCGAATACGATGAGCGAGGCCGCATCAAGGGAGCAACCCAAGTCAAAGTCAAATCGAAGTACCCCGAGGACATACTCCTCAACAATCACACGTCAGTTTGGGGGAGTTGGTGGTCTAATTTCCAGTGGGGATTTGCCTGTTGTCACTCGACAGTCAAAAACTCGTACTGCACCGGTGATGCTGGAAAGGAGGCATTCGAGCTCGCAGATCGTATGCGAACCGGCGCTGAATTGGTGGAAGTGCCCGAAGAGATTGCCTGGAAGGAGGAAGAGGCCCAACAGGAGCACGTGCCCAACGCTCCCGATCGTGCTCAGAAAGCGAAGCAGGATGCTGCCAGCCGAAAACGGGCGCTTGAAGAAATGATTGGTGGTGTCAACGAAGAAGAGATGGAGGAGTATCGACGGAAGCGAACCATGGCGGCCGACCCCATGGCAGCATATCTGGCCAAAGGCAGTCAAAGTGAGGCGGTATAAAAACCACTTTCTCTCAGTTGTCGTCATTCACAACATGACTTTGTAGTTCTAGCATTGCGTGGCGTATATACCCTGGAATCTTTTCTGAGCATCAATATGTAGCATGACATAAGAAACCCCTGATGATCGAATGCGTTGTCCTGCAACGATGGGAGCCTGGTGGTGATGATCGGTGATGGGCTTCAAGGGTCCATCCAGCCCAATACGTGAATGTACAATTCCCTTGCTTTCCCCTCTGCCATTGCCAACTCAGATGCACAGAGATTGCGCATGCGCCGCGCGTATGCGTTGTTACGGCCTTGACGGCAAAGGCAACAGCGTTGGCATGTTTTTGTACCGAGGAGCAGAGCCAGTTCAGTGGCTCAGGCGATGACGAAGCTCTAGTTGGTGCCAAGGCTCATCGGGCGCCCAGGGTGCGAAGCTCGTTCTCTACCTAGAGGTAGTCGACTTGAACATAACAGCGTGGACGCATTCACTCCCCACTTATTCATCTGGGGTAATTACTCGGTTGCGACTTGTTCAGCTTCGAGTCCCCCCATCCTCTTTCTCCGCCTCGCTCTCGCTCTCTCCTTCTCTTTCACTCACCTCACAGCGACTACGTCTCGCCTGTCGCGCGAACAGCTGCCTCTCGACTGTGGCCATGGCGCTCTACGGAAGCTCGCGCAATGTTGATATGGGCAAGTGAGTATTGTGCACGAGACAGGAAACGACTTGGTCTCTGACACCAGAGCAAGGCAGGAATCAGAGCTGGCCATCAACATTCGCAAAGCGACGAGCATCGAAGAGGTCTCCCCAAAACGTTTGTCCGCGCCTCCCGCACGAAGTGGCCAAAGCTCATATAGGACACAGGAAAGCATGTTCGAGCATGTATCGTATACACGTGGGACCACAAGAGCTCCGCCTCGTTCTGGCAAGGCATGAAAGTGTGGGTGCAATGCTTTTCTTCAACTTTTGATCTGCCCAGTCTAGTAGACACCCGGCTGTATGTTCATTGAGCGCACACGTCGACTCTGGGATGTTGCATAGTAGAGCACATATGGCTTTACTGGCGTTGTTCTGCGACCATAGCCATATGCCCAGGGCGCAGTGTTCAATCGTATACTCCGATCTTTAGAGTCATGAAATCTCTATATCCTAGCTAATCTCATGTCTAGCCAACCAATTCTGGCAGACGAGGTCCAAACTTTCAAAGCACTCATCACAGTTCACAAGGTGCTCCAAGAAGGCCACCCCATAGTGCTCAAGGAGGCACAATCGCACACCAGCTGGCTCGAGAGCTTGTCGCGAGGCTCTACAATTGGCGAGGGCATGCGCGGATATGCGCCGCTCATTTCCGAATACATCTACTACTTGATGGCGAAGCTCGCGTTCCACCGACAGCACCCCGAGTTCAATGGTACGACAGCAGTGGCAGGCTATCTATGGCGACGGTCTAACACCAAGTAGGAACGTTCGAGTATGAGGAGTACATCAGTTTGAAGTCGATCAATGACCCAAATGAGGGTTACGAGACCATCTCAGATTTGATGACGCTTCAGGATCAGATCGATGCCTTCCAAAAGCTTATCTTCTCTCACTTTCGAAGCGGCGCAAACAACGAATGCAGAATTGCCGCCTTGGTGCCTTTGGTTCAAGAGAGCTATGGCATCTACAAGTTTATTACTAGCATGCTGCGCGCCATGCACACTAGTAAGGATATTTCCTGAGATCTCCAGCAGCTCCACTAACCGGCATAGCTCTCGGTGACGATGAAGCGCTTTCTCCTCTGCGCGGTCGATATGACGCCCAGCACTACCGTCTCGTCAAATTCTACTACGAATGTTCAAACCTGCGATACCTCACAAGTCTGATTACCGTTCCAAAGTTGCCCCAAGAGCCACCAAATCTACTGTCAGAAGACGAAAACGCGCCCGCACTCCCAGCGAGACCACGGAACGAAGAACCATCACAGCCCCGTGCGCCCTCTGTGGATCCCGAGCCGATCAATGAATTCTGGAAGGACAATCAAAAGAGGCAACAGGAAGAGTTCGATGCCGAACAGCGCAGGCTGGCACAACAGTGGGAAGAGGCTCAGCGTCTACAGCAGCAGCAGGCCCTACAGGCGCAACGAGAATTTGAAGAGCAACAAAGGCTGCAAGCCGAACAGGCTCGGCTGGCGCAAGAGCAGCTCATGCGCGAACAGTATCAGCAACAGACGCAGGGACGATTGGCTGAGCTCGAGCGAGAGAACTTGAATGCGCGGGCACAGTATGAACGCGATCAATTGATGTTGCAACAATATGACCAACGGATGAAGGCTCTGGAGGGTGAGATCAATCAGATGAACCAGAACTTCCAGCAACAGATGGGTTCACGAGATGATCAGATCCGGGCACTACAGGAGCAGTTAAACACATGGAGGTCAAAGTATGAGTCGCTAGCCAAGCTTTATTCGCAGCTACGACACGAGCATCTTCAACTGCTCCAGAAGTTCAAGGCGGTCCAACTGAAGGCCAACTCTGCACAAGAAGCCATCGACGGCCGGGACAAGTTGCAGCGAGAGCTGAAGTCTAAGAATATCGAGTTGGCCGATATGATCCGAGAGCGTGACCGCGCATTGATGGAAAAGGACCGACACACTGGTGGCTATCGTGAAGAGATTGAGAAGCTTAAGCGTGAACTACGTTCTGCTCTTGAGAGAGCTGATAATGCTGAACGCGGCAAAGGTTCTGAGCTGTCTTCTATGCTCAACAGACATAACCGCGAGATCGCTGATCTCGAGGAAGCTCTGCGAAGCAAGACTCGTGCACTAGAAGACTTCCAGATGAAGTACCGTGAGGGAGATTCGGAGCTTGAACGTCAGTTACGCGAGAAAGAGGAGGAATTGGAGATCTTCCGTGCCGGTATGGATCAGACGTTGCTCGAACTCAATGAGTTGAAGCTAAATGCAAATGCCAACGACAACGTCCTCGATGGGCACCTGGATTCCATAATCCAGGACAGCCTGTCAAAGATCAACGATCTCATCGACGCTGTTCTACAAAGTGGTGTGCAACGAGTTGACGATGCGCTATACGAGCTCGATTCGTCTATGCAAGCTGGTAATCAAAACGCCACTGGGCCATATGTCTTGTCACAGATCGAGAGGGCCTCTACATGCACAATGGAGTTCTCGACAGCGTTCAACAACTTCATTGCTGATGGACCAAATGCCAAGCATGCTGAAGTCATCAATGCTGTCAGCAATTTCGGTGGGGCGATTGTGGATGTGCTTGTGAATACGAAGGGTCTCACTCGGTTTGCATCTGACGAGAACAAGGCGGATCAACTCATCAACGGCGCGAGAGCGGCTGCGACTTCCACTATCCGATTCTTTCGCAATGTGCAGTCGGTGCGCATTTATGACCTCGACGCGGAGCAAAAGATCAACGTAGTCATCAACAACAGCACAGAGGTTGTTCGCAACCTACAGAGCTTGTCCAAGTTGGCGGATGCATTTGCACCCAAGAGCAAGATCACCAACGCCTCTGGTGATCTCGGCGACTTGGTCGACGACGAGTTGACCAAAGCCGCCAACGCTATTGATGCCGCTACCGAGCGTCTGTCCAAGCTGATGAAGAAGCCCAGAGACCACTACTCGACCTATGAGCTCAAGATCCACGACTCGATCCTGGCCGCCGCCGTGGCAGTCACAAATGCCATTGCGCAGCTCATCAAAGCCGCCACCGCCTCGCAGCAAGAAATTGTGCGCGAAGGTCGCGGATCGATGTCCAAGACCCAATTCTACAAGAAACACAACCGCTGGACCGAAGGACTCATCAGCGCCGCCAAGGCTGTCGCTACATCGACCAACACGCTCATCGAGACAGCCGACGGCGTCATTTCTGGCCGCAACTCACCTGAGCAGCTCATTGTCGCGTCTAACGACGTTGCGGCGTCCACCGCACAGCTTGTGGCTGCCAGTCGTGTGAAGGCAAGCTTCATGAGTAAGACTCAGGATCGTCTTGAGAGTGCTAGTAAGACTGTCACAGCAGCTTGTAGAGCCCTGGTGCGACAGGTACAGGAGATCATCGCCCAGAAGAATAAGGACGAGGGTGAGGATGTCGATTACAGCAAGCTCGGTGATCGCGAGTTCAAAACAAGACAAATGGAACAACAGGTAAATATCTCGACGTGTGTGAGTGTAAAGTTTGGCATACTGACCAATACGCACAGGTTGAAATTCTGCAACTTGAAAACGCCCTTGCGCAAGCCAGGACCAGGTTGGGTGAGATGCGTAAGCTGTCTTATCTTGAAGAGTAAAGGCAGAACTCTATCACTACTCTTTTACTTCTGTGTTTGGGTGACGGACGGTACATGGAATATTCAATATTTGATCCGCAACTTTGCGTCTGTTTGGTCGGCTGGCTGGAGTGATATTGTTTCCGCATCTTCCATATAGTTGAGTATATATCCACAAACCACTTTCTTTCCTGTCCTTGCATGTCTAAAGCCTGAAGAAATCTGTACCTGTGGACTCGTTTCTGGAATTAAAACCGCGGCAAGAAAATCCGCTTTACTGTTATTGCACCGACAAGCAGGTCGATAACTCGCCTTCTTTGTGTTATCGGACCGGATGCTCGTGTCAAGATGCATGTCATACTGAAATCCTGTCATGTAACAATCCCATCGCAAGGTCTCCGTCTAGCCCCCAGGTCAATGCTAAACCTACCGGTACCTCACGTACACACCAACTAAGGACACACAGTTTGCCACCTTATACACCCCACCTCCCCATAGAAAAGCCAAGAAGATCAACACCCTCGCCGGCCATCTGCTAACCTATAACTAAGAGTCGAATGTGGGTGCTCACCCATCCATGTCGGCCTAAATATCCTACGATGATTAGCAAGTAAGGGGACGTGACTCACTAGTACAGCGGGGTACCCACCTAGGCTACTGCAAGGATTGTTTGATGGAGAAATTGGGGATATTTGGTGACATAGTGAAGTGAAGTAGGCGTGAGATATCATATACTCTGTGACAACCTAGGGCTACATTAAGATCAAAAGCATGCTAGTATTGTTTGCATTACGCCACCTGAAAATTGGGAATAATATCCGTAACGATTGGGATGATCACTAAGTCAAGAAATATGCATTTACTCAAATGGAGTTCTTTTCTCTTGTGTGAGGGTTGTTCGATGCGACGAGTCAGGCACATGTTCCATCACCCGGCCGGATCTTGCCACGTTAACTCCGCGAGATCCCGCCGCTCGTTGAGCCTCATCACCGGAACACATTATCTACTTCCGATCAATTGCTCCTGCGGCGTTAGGTGCTAGAAGAGCGCAGCCAGCGGAAAGACGTCATACCATCTCCATTCAGGATATTCCTGTCCCTCCTCCAATGGGTGAATCACCGGATACTCCGAAACGAGGGCCGTCAGCCAGTCGTTCGGGGGATGCAAAACCAGCAAAGAGGAATAGAATTACTGTTGCTTGTACTGGCTGCAGACAAAGGAAATCACGGGTATGTCTTCTTTTCGTATTGCCATGCTTATCCGCCAATGTTGGTGGGATCTAGCAAAAAGGAACATCTGACAAGAGCAATACGGTGATGAGTACTGCATCGCGCCTCACATCATGTCAAGAATTGTAATGACATGGCCTCACTACACATGAAATTTGTTGAGCTCTACAAAACTAATTACTGCGTCTTCCTGACAGTGCGATGGTATTAGGCCAAAATGCCGATCATGTGATGAGTATGGACTGGACTGTGTCTATGCGCACACTGAGACTTTAACAAAATTTTCCGCGTCTAAAGAGTCAGTCAAATTCAATGTGCAGTGCGTTCTACTTTTGTATTGATTGCTTACAGAATAGTTGGCGGGTTGGAGTCTCGTGTCGCTACGGTAGAAGACGTCCTCGCCCAGCTCTCATCGCGAGTGAGCAATATCGAGAGTCAAGCTGGTGATAGAGCCGCGAGTATGTCAGGTGCTCAACATGCGCAACCTTTCTCGGTCAATATTGCACTGGAGTTACCTAACCATACAGCTGGTATGAGAACCACAGTATTTGCAGATGAAGAAGACTCTGGGTTTTTCGGTATGCATGGGAAACTTATGACATCAAGACCATCATTTCTGATCATAGTCATAGGACCAACATCAAATATAGCCTTTACACGCCAGGTGGTACGTACGACGACAGTAATTCTGGAGCATGCTGCGGCTATTGGAAATTCAGTTTCTCCAGAGGCTACAGCTTTGAAGAGTCATGTCGTCCACATGGACCGACCAGCTTCTCCAGCCCGAATCTTGAACGTATACAATCCCAATAATGCCATAAGAGAAGGGACGGAGCCGTTTATTCTCCCACCCGGAGACACTATGCTCCAGCTTGTCAATCTTTACTTTCGTACTACGGGAGCGTTATATCCTTTTATTGACCGGAACGGTTTCATGAAAAATCTCCGCCAACTCGTTGCTTCCGGTATCTTATCAGTGCGAAGATCGTGGTTAGGTCTGCTGAACATGGTTTTTGCAATCACCAAAAGCGCAAACAGTGGTCTTGGTCTTGCGTTCACACCAGAAGAATCCGCGACCAAGTCCGACGTCTTCTTCCAGCGTGCCATGATAATCAGCGATCGTCAAATCCGACATGGCACAAGTCTTGAAATTGGTATGATTGTGACTTCATACCCATCCGGCAAGAACGTGGCTAAGACAGCACTCTAGTCCAAATGTTACTCCTGGCGAGTATGCACTCACAAGGTACCGAGCGATCCATGGAGACCTGGACAATTCACGGCTTGGCAGTGAAAGCTGCTTATCAATTGGGACTTCATTCACCCGATGCTCTTCGACAATACTCCCCGGTGGAGCGAGAAGTTCGGAAACGCGTTTGGTTTACATGTGTTATACTTGATCGGTACGGCTACGGGCACTTGAGAGTGATTGCGCTGAACTATGATATAGAACATTAAGTATGACTATGGGTCGGCCGGTCTCCATCCCCGAGTCATTCGTACGGGTCAGCCTTCCGCAGGTCATCGAGGATGCTCATTCATCAATCTTTAGCAACGATGAGTTGAGCGAAGATCCAGCAAGCGTCCACTTCTTTGCTGCTACAATGTAATCCTATCCAACTCAACCCGTCTGCTTCTACTGACGGCGATAGCACCTTGTATAAGCTCATGGGCGATGTCTTCGATGTCCTCTATGGAAGTAACGTGGGTCTCGGTGGTGCAAGCGATGTGTATGACATTGCGTCTCACTTGCTACAATATGAGCAGAAGCTTGTTCATTGGCAGCAAAAGCTACACGCGACCACGCAGTTGATTGCAGAGGAAGAACTCTCCCGGCCTCCAGCTGACTTTGCGACAGCAGCACTACGCATCGTACTTACCTCTCGCTTTCTCAACCTCCGTCTCCTTACGCACCGCCCTCTGCTCTGCAAATATCTTGAGATAATCGGCAGTTCGCAAGTTAGCGCGCAACAGTTGATAACATTGCGACAGGTTGGCGCCAACAGCATTCGAATCTGTGTACAATCCGCAGAACTCATCATCAAGATGACGCACTGGGTGCTTCAGCACACGGATAGCCAGCGCCAACTACTGGGATCCTGGTGGTCCGCTCTCTACTACGGTAAGTAATTGCAGACAGTAGACATATCACATGATACATGGCCGCTAATGCATGTGAAGCATTCAACGCTGCGCTTGTCATCCACTCGGCTCTCCTCATACAGCACCAAACAAAATACCACAACCAAACGATCCCCATGGAAGAATTACAGCTATCAATCTCATCCCTTTACAAAGCCATAGAATGCCTGTCCTGGCTCTACAAAGGAAACCGAATGACAGAAACATGCGTTCGCTACATGTCCGCGCTCGCGCACCAGCTTACGCTCATACGTGCGAACACGCCCTATCCTCTGTATAACCACACCCACACACTTCCACTAACTCAGACACAGTGCAACTCGATCGTAGCCCCCAGACAGACGTCGTGGAGATGCTGCAGGAAACACTTGCGCGAAACCCCGGTCGAAATGAAGCGGCAGCTGAGAATGGTACAGCGCATGATGGCTTTGACTTGTTCGAGGCGACGGATCTGCAGTTGGGGTTGGAATTGGATGACTTTTGGCAGCATTCGAATGTGGGGTTTTCAATGGGGTTTCCGGAGTCGGGGTTGCCGGGGAACAGTTTTCAGCAGTAGAATCATGTGGGGGGACTTAGAGCCTTTGTCTTTGTCTGTTTCTATGTGGATGATAGGGTAAGTTTCTCGTTGACGATTCTCCAAAGGGAAAAGAATTTGAATGGCTGTCTTGAGGCTATGATCCAATTTTTCTACATAACGGGTTGCAGGTGCTGAATGTTGTGGAGTTCTATTGCAACCTGGATCTGTCGGTAGGGTCGCGGTTACGGCAGCCTTGACATGCGTGGGCAGAAATATCCCCCTGGTGTAACATTCACGCTCGTGCAATATTCGCTCTCGTGTAACATCCCCCCTCGTGCGTACCGACCTCTTCGTGTCGCACAATCGATATTGAAGCCTTTGCAGCACCTCTAGAGATGAGTCTGAGCAGTGAGCGAATAAGTATGTACCAGCGTTGCCTTGGAAGACAGCACAAAAATGATAGTGCACCACTACCCTCAATTCATATGAAGAGTATGAACATGGCTGTCTCGTGACATACGCGACAAGTGAAGTGGAGTGAAGTGGAGTGAAGTGCAGTGAAAGCAAAATGACAAGGTCTGGACATGACTCGCCAGTTCCGCGGCAGTACCCCAACTAGCGCCGGAGATTAGATTGAGCACCACTCCACCTGCCCCATCGCGTCTACCATTCTGGTGACCATGTAAGCCTCGATCTTGCATCGTGGCACCCACTCATGTCCTGATTCCCCCACCATGACCTCTTCCCAGACATCAACGAGCCCGCCCGGCGACGAGGAGCTTCCACGAACCATTGTCTACGACCCAAACGACCCGTTTTGGCGAGATACCGAGGATGAGGAGGATGATGACGACATGAACTTTGTTCCTGCGCAAAGTGGCAGCGGCGAGGACGACGAGGACGACGAGGGTGGGGATTCAAGTTTTCATGGTCAGTATTCATGTCATGAAGGCTTTTTGAGGAGGGGATTGCTGATGTCTAGGAAGATGCTGCAGAGAGGTTGAGTAATCTGAGTGGGGTGGAGATATCGTTTGATTATCCTGACGATGGTGAGGATGACGACGAGAATGAAGGAGAGGATGACGACGAAGAGGATGAGGATGAGGATGAGGATGGAGAGGGAGAGGACGACGACGAAGAAGAAGAAGAGGAAAGAGATGGACAGACTGCAGAAGGGGCAAGGCGGCCTGTCTACATCACGAGAGAACAGATTATGCAACTGCTTGGGCATGCAGGACTTGGTCGGATATTTGCACAAGATTTCACCCCGGGCTCTGCAAGACGATCCGCTCGTCGTGGTCGTGACGATGACGACGATGATGGGGACGAGAGCGACCCTGTCATGTCTACCCGGAGATCACGACGTCGCCGAGACCGCGGCCCATATGGTCGTGCAGCATTCGAGCCGGTTCCCAATGAGAAGGGCCGAGAGCTATTGGAGGGCGGCGACTTTGGATCCAATCCGCGGTCAGAGGATACCATCAAGAGGAAGAAGAAGGTAGCGTACAACATCATGAAGAGAGAGCTAGGTCTTGGTAGTGATGGGCGGCAGAAGAATGCCACCCGGCTGCTGAGACAAGACATGATACCCGAATCAGTGGCCGACACCATCATTCACTACAACGCGCGATGCTACTCCGGCCAATTCTCAGATGATGGAAACTTTTTCTTTTCCTGCGCCCAGGATTTCTGGGTGAGGATGTACGATACCTCTAACCCGTATGACTGGAAGTACTACAAGTCCGTCTTATACCCTTACGGCCAGTGGACCATCACAGATGCCTCACTTAGCCCCGACAACCGCTTCTTAGCCTACAGTTCTATTCGTAGTATCGTATGCCTCGCCCCAACCGATCCAGATGATGAGTCTGAGCCTAGCCTTCTCGACTTTGCCAATATTGGTAGCAGCGCTCCCCGCGGCTTCCACACATACTTTGGCGTAAGTTCAATCGATTGGTATGCACCCTTTCCAAGCTAACAGAATATAGATATGGTCGATCCGCTTCTCAGGCGACGGCCGCGAAATTGTCGCTGGCACAGGGGATAATTCCGTCTACGTCTATGACATCGAGCGTCGCCAATCCGTCCTGCGCATCCCAGGCCACGAAGACGATGTGAATGCCGTCTGCTTTGGAGACTCGCAATCCCCGCACATCCTCTACTCTGGATCCGACGACACGACGCTGAAAGTGTGGGACAGACGAAGCATGGGCGACGGCCGGGAAGCTGGTGTATTCCTCGGTCACACCGAAGGCCTTACTTATGTCGACAGCAAAGGTGACGGACGCTATGTGTTGAGCAATGGTAAAGATCAAACAGCTAAATTGTGGGACCTGCGGAAAATGATGAGCAAGGAAAAGGCGGATACCATTGATCCAAACGTCTATACGACGCGCTTCGAGTACCGGTCCAACGCCTACGACGAGGACGACTACCGTCCGCATCCCCACGACAGCTCGGTAGTTACCTTCCGCGGTCACAAGGTTCTCAAGACCCTGATTCGTTGCCATTTCTCGCCACCCGGAAGCACAGACAGCCGGTATGTGTATTCCGGGAGTTATGATGGAAGTGTGTACATTTGGAACCTGGATGCCACGCTGGCCGGAAAGGTGAATGTGTTGAAAGCGACGAAGAATTCGCGGCCCAGGGACCCAGATTTGCTGGCGGAGACGTATGATTATTGGGGGAGGAATGGGGGAAGTTGGATGACCTGTGTCAGGGATGCGAGTTGGCATCCCAATGCGCCTTTGATTGCTGGTATGATTGAAATATGTTCCTTCTGGGTTTTGACTATTTTTCTGGCTGCCCTTGTTATTGGGAACGGATATACTGACAGGCGATGACAGCAACGAGCTGGAACGGCTGGGGCACGTCCCAAGGCACGTGTACGGTGCACTCGTGGAACGACGGGCTCGAAGACGATGAAGCGGAACCTGCAGTAGGGCGTAGAGTCAATGCGCAGTTGCAGCACGATGAGCGGCTGTATCGGACAGCCGAGGGCCGGTCGAGGAGACAGCCCATGTGGTACGATGAGATGATGGACGATGATTGAATTGCACTTGATAGGAACTGATGTGTATAGGATTCCGATGGATGAATGAGCAATTGGTGGTTCGGATGGGAAGAGTTATGGATTATTCGCTGTTTTGTGTCTGATTGTGTGCTGCGATGGTTTTTCCTGTCGGATGTTTGGGGGCGTTGGCGTGTTTGTATCTATTTGGGTGTGAGTATGGGGGTGCTCGGTATCAATGTTTAACCCAAGGTGATTGATGCAGAAAGAAGCATCACAAGTAGGACCAGAGAGAGTGGGTGTGTTAGTGTGAGAGAGAGAGCGATAGAGTGCAGTGAAGTTTTGAACCAAGCACAGGGTTGAATTATGCGCATGCATAGATTTGGATATAGTCAAACGCCCGCTGCCCAGCCCCCTATATGGTACAATCGTCTTTCCAAGACGCGTCCTCGTATCAAGTCTCATGTGTGAAGCTTTTTGGAGCCAAACCAGGCCATTCTCTCCAGGCCGTTGTCAACAAGTGGTATACAGGTCGCGTCAGCGGGGTTGGATGTGACCAATGCCGATGCAAGAAAGGAACAATATTGGCGCGACGCGAACTCTACGAGCCTCCGACGAGGATGTTGTTGACGGGGATGTGGACGAGCTTGACAATGTATCCAATGACACCTGGAGGAAGAAGTTAGCAAGTTGACGCTTCTGCACAGGGTGAAATGGTGGCTGATATCAATCCACACGACGAGACGTGGAGGGCGAGGTAGAACTGACCCATGATCAGGAAACCGATGCCGACTGCTTGCGAGATACGGATGAACTCCTTCTTGTCGGGCTCTATTTGGGTTGTGTGTCAGCGACGTTGTCTGGTGATTGCGCTGCGAGGATCATCGTACTGGTGCAGCGGTTCATGAAGAGAGTACCCTCCTTGAGGAACTCGGCGGGCATACTGTGTGCCAAAACTGTTAGCGAATCCCTCCTTGTAGCATGGGGGAAATAGTTCCCCCCCCTCTCTCTCTCCAAAGACGTGAAGCGTACTCGGCAAACTCCTTGACGTTCTCCATGGCCACGGACGTATGTGTGTGTGTGGGTGTGTGTGAGTGTGTGAGAGAGATTATGATTTCGAAGATGGATGCGGCGCGAGTTGTGTATTTATGAAGCCAGAGGAAGGGGGTGGAGGTTTATGGTGGACGAAAAGCAGCCGCAGATTACTCCATACCGCCGTTCGCTTCCCTTCTGCTCCCTTGGCCGATTCGAACAAGGGCCAAGGAACAATCTGGCCTTGCGGAGAAGGCGACGGCCGATTGCGGTTAGTCTATCGCCAAGGCCGTTGGCGTCCTGCAGCCCGCACCCCGAGCTCTCGCCGCGCCGTCACGTTCTCCTTGTCCTTGTCCTTGTCCTCCTTCCCTTTACACGTCCTCACTTCCCCATCATCAACAGCAAGCATCGCCCGCTTTTGTCGCCGTCCTCGACTTCGAATGCAGTGCTCTGCCTCAGGTTTGTCGCAGACACCCGCTTAGCTAACTTCCAGCACGCAAGCAAACGCTTTGCTGCTTCCACCAAACCTATCCTGCACTTTACTCGCCGCTCCTCCGTCTACTGCGCATAGCAGGACAGGTCGCGCACACACACACACACACATACACACGCATAGGAAACTTCTGACGCGTGAACAAAAAACATCGGGCTTTCTGGCTGGCTTTGGATACAAGATCTCACTTGCCCATCACTGTCCTATCCCATCCTGTCCTCGTCCCCATTTTACTTTCTCATTGCTGCTAGCACAAGCACACACAGTCGTGTGCCCTGAGTAATCCGCTGGGAGCTTGTATCACCAAAACTCGACGCTTTGCGCAAATTGTACTGGGGAATATCGGAGAGAGTCTCATCGCAAGCGCTCGAATCAGACTGAGCTGCACATTACTTTCACCACGCACACTCACACAAACACTCTCACACACCCGCACACACATCCTGTACCCTTTACATCTCCGCATCTGCCAGAGGCGATCGGACTGTTGCATCTTTGCCTCTCAGCTGTCTGTCTGGACTTTGTAACCTCGCCTCGACAGCGGCACTGTACGTATGGCCTCACTTTGCGCTATCTTTTGTTTGTGTTTTTGTCTTTCGCATCGTATTGGGCAGCATGCGAGACCACGCTTCTTTTTATACCTCCATCTTGTCATATAATTTACTGATCAGTATATCTTGTACAGAGTTGCATGTACTTTGGCCATTGATACCAGCACATCAACTATCTAAGAGCCAATCAAAGAGAAATCCTAGGATCTTTTCTTGCCGCTTACTGCCGTTTGACTGAAGCACTACCGCAGACATGGCTGACGAACACGACTTTGACATCGACATCTACGGCGATGACCAAGATCCGAGTGCACAGCAAGACGAACCTCAGACCGACTCAAACGCTGAACCTACAAACGGTACAGCGGAGAATGCCAAGGGAGATGACGGCGACACGCAGATGAAGCAGGAGCCCCCCAGTGACGCAGCAAACAGTAACAAACAAGACGGCACTAGCACACAACAAATCGCGAGCACTGGTGGTTCCGCGGGCCAGGACGTGCATCGGCAAGCGCCGCAGAAGCAAGGCATGAAGCGTAAGCAAGGTGAAGACGATGACAGACCGACTGATCCTGGTGCCACAGCGGCCTTGATGGTGAATGATGTAAACTGGTGGATCAGCGAGGAAGACATTCGTGGATGGGCCAACCAGAGTGGATGTGAAGACGAGCTAGTCGAGGTTACTTTTAATGAGCATAAGGTCAATGGCAAGAGCAAAGGGTAAGCGACTTTCAAGTCCAAGCTGATAGCCATGCTGACCCGTTTGTAGTCAAGTTTATGTCCAGCTACAAACACCACAAGCTGCGACTGCGCTGAAGCACCAGATTGACAATCTCTTCAAGGACCAAGCGCACACGAAGAAGCCTACAGCCATATTCAATCCCCCGCACGTCAACCCTTTCAAGACCCTACCCAAGGACGTACCGGCTCGCGAGAAGGGCAGGAATGATCGCGCACTGTCTTCAAATTACAGCAACCAAGGAGTCGGCAATTACAACAGGGGAGGGTACAACAACAATCGTGGCGGCTTCAACAGCAACAGAGGCAACAATATGGGTTATCAAAACAACCGCAACTTCCCCAGCCCAGTCGGTGGGCCCATGGGTAACAACATGGCCGGCGGCTACGGGGCTCAGACGCCCATGAATGGCTTTAACAACCCCATGGCTGGCGGCATGAATGGCTTTGGGGGCTTCAACAATCGCGGTGGTATGATGGGCAATAATATGCGCGGCGGCATGAACAACCGCGGTCGTGGCGGTGGCATGGGTATGAACACCATGGGTGCAAATCCTATGGGCATGGGCATGCCAATGGCAAACAATATGATGGGCATGGGCGGAAACATGATGGGTATGGGTGGCAACATGGGCATGATGGGAGGAATGGGTACGTTCAGACAAGCTTCTTGACTCCACTCCTCGTCACTTTCCCACCGTCTTTTATGCGCCTAGGCTTGCTAACGCTGGGAACTTCAGGCGGCGGATTCGCCGGTAGTCCCCAAGGCTTCAACACAGGCTTCTTCCAAGGCAATCAGGGCGGTGCCGGCAACGACGGTAGCTGGCAGAATCCGCATGGTGCCAAACGTCCACGGCCAGAGTAGGAGCCGCTGACCCAAAGCGCACTGGACCCCGCACTGCCAACCGCAGAGGACCTAGCAGCAGTGCGGATTGCACCGCCGCCGGTGCAAGTTGAAGCGGAGCCACTAGTACACTGTTGCAGGCGCTGTGCTGAAGAATTACTCGAGCAGGATACTCATACTCGGCTGTGCGTCAAGTGCGGTTCTCATGGTGGCTTGTTCTTGGTATAGGCACGGTGTGTTCTGCAAGATTCCGGGCCTCCCCTGGAGACAAGTTAGTGCACGGGGATATCTGCCTGACGAGTGTGTGCCGTACGACTCGTTTTGTTGTTGTTGTTTTTTTCCAAAAAGAAAAGGAACGAATCTTTTTGAGGAATGGAACGCTTTCACTAGGAGAATTGTAATGATTAAACAAAAACCTTTCTTTTTTTGGGATTGTTAGTTCATGTTTTTTTGGGGGCCAATGGATGGCTTGAAAAGGTCTGTAGGCTTTCTTCTTCGGCCTTTTTTTTCGGTCTCCTGGGATTGTTTGACACATCCGCAGTGTCCCTCATTGTAGTTGTTGTTTCATGTTGGGTGTTGGCTTCTTTGCGGGTTTGGGGGGTGTTGTTTGATCTTCTCTTCTTCTGCCATGTGAATGTGTAAAGTAGAAAAGGGAGAGTAAAGGAAAGGAAAGGAAAGGGGGGCTGGTGATGAGTGGAGGGGGGAATGGTGGAGTCCTTTTTCGGTGCTGCGGTGCCCAAGGTGTAGGAAAAATTCGAGACTCTTATTTCTCTTCTTGAAGCGTTTCCTCGCTAACGGTTTTTCTGGGGAGGGGGGGTGGGAAGGGAGACGAGGGATGTGTTTGGGAGATGTATGTGTACGTACATGATCTATAGTCTTTACGATTCACGCCGTGTAACTCAATCCACACAAGACTCCTCTGCCAACTCTCCAGATTCCAACCCTGCTACTCTGACAGCGCACAGCAACACCACCACACCCCTCGCATCTTCCATCTCCAACGTCTCCCTTCCCCCCAACAAACTAGCACAAAAAGCCCCAGCACAAAGCCCCCCTGCTGCCCCGTTGGTGGAAATAAATAGCCCACACCTCACAGCGCATACAATGTGTAAACATCAGGGCCGGTCAGGGGGGGGGGGTTTATTGTTCTCTTTGCAATGGACTTGGGGTGATTAAAGTTATTCTGCGCATCTAGTCTTGAGTGTTGTGCGTTGTGTCTTGTCTAGTCGGGGTTTTTTTAATCTGTGGGTTAATCTGGAGATGCAGGGCCGTGGTGCCTGGGGGCTGGGTAAGGGGGGAGAGTATGAGGACTGTGTACCGGATGTGTGTGAATGTTTAGGTAATGTGTATTATACAGGGGGCTAGGGGCTGTCTGAATGATACAGGCTAGGCTAGGCTAAGCTGGTTGGTCCTAGGCGCGTTTGGTAAAATTAATGTCGTGCGTGACAGGTACCGCTACCTACCTGCTCCTACCGTAGGTACCCGTATAGCCGTGTAACACTTGGCCTCTAGCACAGTACGTACCATGACGCCACACCCCAACACCACCACACCCAGCAAACCACTATCCCACCCGGCTCGCCCTCCCGCCTCACCAAACAAACACAGCATAGTACCGTACCCTTCCTCCATCTCCGTCCCCGCTCCATATTACCTCCCCCCTCACACGCTACGCACACACACCACCTCAAACCGGTGATATTTCGGTCGCCTTCCAGATGCATCCATAGCCCAGCAGCGTCCGGCACTATAAGCTGTTATTGAGTCGTATATCTGAGGATCTTTTCGCCCCGTCTTTACTTTGCTTCTTTGATTAAAGGAAGAAGGCGCTTGCGGGGCCGCGCTGGCTGGGCTGGAGGTCTGGTGATGTCGGGTGTAGTGTATGTGAGGGTTTGGGGTAGAGGGGTTGGCGGCGGGGGGGGGGCGGGAGGCTAGGTGTATTGTAGGTATCTGTCCCATGTGGTCGTTGTGTAATAGATTTGATGGGTTGTATGGGGACGGAGATGTTGTATCTATGGCGGACTAAGACGGCAGCGACGGGGGGTGAATTGTGCCGGAGGAACAAGGGTGTGGACCTGGGTGCTGGGTTGACCTGGGATTACAGATGCAATTTGGAACCTGGGTGGTGGGTGGGTTTTTGAACGGGTATATATAGAAGGGGTGCGGTTGGGACGTGGAGGGTGTTTTTTGTCTTGTTGGACGTGCGTGTTGTACAAATTACCTTGTCTTCTTTTTACCTCTTTGGAAAATTTCTAAAAGGGGATTTGTTTTGGTGATGAAGATGAAGGGTTCTTGCAAGGCTGCTGTGGCGGCTATGGTGGTGCTGGGTGGAGTGGTGGCTGATGGTCAAGGTGGGTGGTTTTTTTTGGCTTGATAGGTTGTGTCTCTTTGTTGCTGTCTGGTCTGGTCTGGTATCCATAAACATGCTTGAACAGAAGAATGAGGACATGTCGCAATTGAGGAATTAAAAGCTAATCGTCACGATAGTAACATGTCCCTCGAGCGCCAGCTTCACGGATATCTCCGCCAATACCTTCTTTGCGAATATGAATCCTGGTTGGAACCTGGGGAACACGCTGGATGCGACCAGAACCGAGGGCGACTGGAATAATCCTCCTGTTGTGCCGGAGACGTTTGATGATGTCAAAAAGGTGAGTGGGTGTCGACTATCGTACCTCTCCTGATGCCCCATTCATCTGTCCATATTGACCTCTCTAATCCAACCCTCCACCCCAATACTCACACAACCACACAGGCTGGCTTCAAATCCGTCCGCATCCCCGTAACATGGGCCTACCACTCCACCACCGAATCCCCAACCTGGACCCTCGACCCAGCCTGGCTCCAACGCGTCAACGACGTAATCGACATGGCCCTCGCCCGCGACTTCTACATCATCGTCAACATCCACCACGACTCCACCACCTGGGCCGACCTGACCTCGGCCTCGACAAACGTCACGCAGGTCGAGGAGCGCGTCGCCGCGCTCTGGTACCAAATCGGCACCAAGCTGGCCTGTGTGAGCGAAAAGGTTGCGTTTGAGACGATCAATGAAATTCCGGGGACGACGGCCGAACATGGCGCCGTGGTGAATCGGTTGAATACGATTATGCTCGAGCAGGTGAATCGGGCGGGTGGGTTCAATGGGAAGAGGGTTGTGACGCTTGTGGGTGCTGGCGAGGATGGGTATAAGACGATTAATTGGTTTAAGAGGCCGGATGCGTCAAAGTATAAGAATCCGTGGGGCATTCAGTATCATTATTACTCTCCTTGTAAGTTTCCCAAACCCCCAATTCCCTGGCCCTCGCTATCTTTTCCTTGGTGCATGCGAGGTGCTTTCTTGGCTAACACACTCCCCCCCTTCCCCTGAAAAGATGACTTTGTCTTCGCGGCCTGGGGCAAAACAACCTGGGGCTCTGCCGCCGACAAAGCCGCCCTCGAAGCCGACATCGCCGCCGTCCGCGGAAACTTCACAGACGTACCCCTTGTAATCGGTGAATGGGCAGTTCCCCCCGTACCCACCGAAACCTCTGCCCGCTGGCGCTACTTTGACTTCTTCGTCCGCACAGCCGCAAAATACAACACCGCAACCGTGCTCTGGGACAATGGCGCCGACTTCCTCAACCGCGCAACGCATGTCTGGCGGGACGAAGTGGCAATGGATATCTACCGCAACGCCGTCAAGGGTGATGCCAACGCCCTGCCAGACAGCACGACCGACGGGGCCACGACGCAAAAGAGCTCTGCGTACCTGTACCACCGTGCCAACGAGTCTGTAGCCGACACCACCCTCCCCTTCCTCTTCAACGGGAACACTCTCTCCGACATTGCGCTCGGCAGCACCAAACTCACGCGCGACAAAGATTACCGCGTAGCCGGGGAATCCATCACTTTTGCCTCTTCCTTCCTCGAGACCGTGCTCACTCCAGACGCACCCACCGGCTCCCTCGCAAACCTCACGCTGACGTTTAACCGCGGGGCCGCCCTCACCGTCAATATTCTCAAATACAGCACGCCCACCATTGGCATCACGTCTACGACGCTGCCGGCCGCGGGCACAGACTTCCGTATTCCGATTCAGTGGGCGGGCCAGAATAGGCCGGCAGCTATCAAGGCGCTCAAGAGCGATGGTACCTATCTTGTGGATGACTGGACGCAGTGGCTGCCGGAGCTGCAGCAGGCACGGTTGACGTATAATGGTCACTTTGATTGGGAGGCTGACCATATCAAGTTGAAGGCGGCGGTGTTTGATGCCGTGAGGGCGGGGGGCAAGACGACGGTGTTTACGATTGACTTTTATCCGAGGGAGCCGGGAAATAGTGTTGAGTTTACTGTTACCGTTTAACTTGCGGAAGGTTGTAGATACGCTTGGGTAAGATTCTTTGCGGTGGAAAGAGAGACGAGTAGATCTTCTTGTAGATATTTGAAAGTGCAATCATGACAAAGTCAAGCAACATATGGGAATGTGCGGTTCTCTTCGTATGACTGGTCCTGTATGGTAGAAGCATCTGGGGTCACATACGACACATGGAGCATCAACACGCACATGTAACAATTAGCGGATTAACCAATTACACAATTACTGCTAGGAGTCTCTAACGTGCCGCATCGCGGAATCATAAAAACAAGTGGCGTGTCGTGGACGTAACTCCTGAAGAGCCTTCATAATTTCGGGGAAAATCCAACATGTCCTTTATATAGCCAAAGCTACATTAGACTCATTCGCCGGGTCAAGAACCAGACTGTCAACAATTGCTCCGTCAGGGGTATACATCGTCTGCCACCGCGAAGACGAATCATTAGAAGACATGGAGCGCATCGCTACACAATGTCAGCGCGTAGTTTAGGCAGCAACGACACGCTCATCTTCGCGGCCACGTTGCTCGCTGGCAACGGTGGAGTTGATGTCATCATCAAGGTCGTTCTCCTCGTAGCCGTTACCTTGGTGCTCTGAGGCAGGAATCCAGAGACCAGATTCCCTTCCTTCGAGCTCCTGGTCCTGACCTGAGAGATCTACACCCTCACCGCGGTTGCGGTTCTGGTTGCGACGGCGCTGGGACAGAGTGCGTGATCGCTGGGAAAGCTTGGCCGAGACGGAGGCGTTCTGCGAAACCCAGTTGGTAAGGGCATCCTCGCAATCTTGGATGATACTGCCACATGTTAGCTGAGGTTGAGGAAGCATAGTCTGGCTACATACGCCTTGCTAGCCTCGTAGCCGTCGTAGGCCTGGCGAGTCTCTCCAGGTGTCACAGGGGTATCGTCGACGAGCTCGAGCAGGTGCTTTCCGTAACCGGCAATGATGGCGAGCTTCTCGCAGTGCTCGCGCATGGCATCGAACTGGTAATTGAATGCAGCCTTCAGCTTCTCACGGGTGATATTGGAGAGCTGAGCCTCAGCAACGAGGGACTCGGCTTCAGCACGGACGAGCTCCTGCTCAAGGACAACGATTTTGGGGGAGTTGGGCTCCTTGTATTTGAGCTGAGCAATTTGGTCGGTGATCTTCTGCTTGCCTATAGAGGTTCAGTGGACGTCGTTCTGCGTATCTGATAAGCACTTACGGTCACGGCTGGGTTGGACAGACGCCTCAATGTTGCGGATGCTCTTGATGGTCACACGGTATTGGTCATAACGGTCGACGTACTGGTCCTCGAGCTCGCCAATCTCATAGATAAGGACACCAAGTTTGTCGGTGACGTCAGAGACGTCGTCGTCGCATGCCTCTCCCCAAATTGAGAGTTGTTGCTGTTTTGAAGCGATTAGCACGTATGAAATCAGGTTGAAGTTGTCAAGATAGACTTACAGCAACCTCCATGCGCTCCCTAGAAACCAACTCCATACTACGCATGACATTCTTCTCCATCTTGACTAATTGTGAGAGCTTTTTGGCAAGATCGGGACCGAAGGCGCCTGCGGACTTGTGGCGGAAGGTATGGCCTAGGGAGCAAAGTCGAAGTCAGCATTGTAAACGATGCGGAAAGGTCTTTTGAACATCATCTTTGTTATCCGTAGACATTCAAGATGAATAATGATGCCCCTTGTCACATCAGGCTGCAGCTCTCTGGTATGTTATGTAATGCATGCGACCCACAACACCACACCACATCCGCATCGAGTATGAAGCTTGACACGGGCGCGTTTGATCAAGGTAGAATAGAATGAAGCATGCAATCATCATCTCTGACAGGACATACCAATGTTGGCCTTGCCGAAGAAGCGCCCCGTCTTTGTCGAAGAGGTTGGAGGCGGGGGGCTCTGAATCTGCGACGCCGTGGGCGCGCGAGATTGGCGCATGCTGTAAGTACGATGCATGTTTGTCGGATGTGTGCGGGTCGTCTAATGTTGATGTGTTTTTTGGTTGTGATCGCAGTCGAGAGGTTGCAAATTGCACGTGTGAGGTGGAGGATGGATATGTTTAGGGGAAGGCGCAGAGGTGGAGGTCGTGGTGGATGAAAGGCCAGGCCACTGCTTTTGATCTCAGGGTTTGTTGACGTCAGTCGCCCCACTTTTGCAGATCATGGCGGCAGCTCCGCGCGAGTCCACCGAACGCCTTCGCCTTGCCCAATCTGTCTGTCGCATCATCACCATCCCTTTGCGCAAACCTGTCACAGTCCGTCGTGCATTGCCCAGAGGAGTATAGTCTGTAGTCACACATGGCATGTCTGGCTGATTTCTTCCCATCTACTGCCTGTAACAAACTCGTAGGGCTCTCGTGGACCGTCAGTCCCATCAACTCCATGCTGCAGCTCTGCATTGCTTCATCGATATGCATACCCACAGAGGGAAAAAGGAAATCCTCTCCGGATCGAGACGCTGTGCCTTGTTTGCAAAGACACACCAAATTAGGGCGACCATGTATGGCGGCGCTGGCTGGCGCGGCGGTTATGAGTGCTCCCGGCCCATCTGTGACGTGGTACCTGATGATCACGGATGGGGAATGGACGCCCATTGCCAAACCGCGCTAAAGAGCAGAGCTGGTCCTGGTCGAGCCTTGCTGAATCACTCAGCCTAGTTCCAACTAGTTGGCACCGCCCAATGAGTCGAGCCGAAGAACGTTGGCGGCCACAAGCTTGAACGATATCCGTACGCGGCGAGAGACTGTCGTGATCGGAATTCATTGGGTATCTAGATTGCTAGCCATGTCGCTACACATGTACAAAAATGCGCTCCAGCCTTGTAGTTACGTCTTTCACAACAGTGATAACGAAGCCCCGTTGGGCATCTGGTGTGCTAGGACGCTGAGTATATCACCAGCCTCACCAAGGCCCACAGAAGGACGCAGAGCCCAGAAAATAAGCGCGCCTTCTCGTGGAGAGCGACGGTGGTGAACGGCGAGAGTAACCAGTCCTATAGCAAAGGCTGCGGTCGTGCACGCCAGGGCATTGACGGTTAAGGGCGACCACAGCTCGGACTTGACATGTTGTGCTATGCTGCTCTGTCGCTCCTCGACCACAAAAGACCGTCTTTGAAATGCCAAGGACACCAACGGGACATTGCCCAGAATCTCTCGCGTACAGGCTACTGCACTGGATGCCAGCGCCTGTCGTCGTGGCCGCCAAGGGAGGAGCATACCTCGGGAAGCATCTGCGGAGCCTGTCATGACTGACCATACCTTAGATGGGTCCGTCACATCGTCTTGGAAGATATGCAGCCGTATTCTTCGCATGTACTCTACCAGGCGTGGGTATCTTGCTTCAAGAGTCTCCTTGGCCCATGCTTGAGGTAGGGACGGGTAGTACAGTAGCGAAAGGTAGCCAAATGTCAGGCAATCCAGGCTCGACGGTGCAGATCCCCTGAACAGATAATCATGTTTGCCAAGGAGGTCAGATAGCGGACCCAGCAGTTCATCTGAAATGGCGTCAAGTCTGAACCGGGCAGCATATACAGGACCACTCAAAAGTCCACCAAAGCCTTTCCCGCGGCCCATACTCATAGCTCTGGGCGTGCCATCGCTAGGTATCCCAGCTGCCCGCTTGGCAGCCTCATATTCTGACGATGCAGTACCGCGCCCTGGCGCAAAGGCTTCCTCGGCCGTAATGTCTACTTCAAGACTACCCAAACCCATGTGTGACGTCCTGGCTTTTGCCAGTTCGCGACGCCGAGGTGGAACTGTGTAATTGGCGTACCATGGCAATATAGCGGTATATGCAGTAGAAGTCGCGGTCCTATAGTTCTCGGCCGACACATATAACAAGAGGTCGATGAGAGAGGTCGCGGTCGACTGTAAGAAGGTAATAAAGCTACTCTAAATATCAGAGAGGTACACCAGGTATTCTGTCGGTTACTGACGCTATTCTGTCGGTTCGCTGTCGACTTGACAGCTTGGCGTCGAGGTCATGGGTGGCAGCCGTGGGGTGATTGCGAAGGTATGCGACTATATCCTCGAATCCTGAGGCTGTTGCAATGTCGTCGTCGAACAAGATTGGGAGACTCTCTACTTATATGAGACCAGGCTACAGAATCTATAGACATGTGACATACCAGTAATACCAACAGACGGAACGTGTTCGGCTACCAGTGACCATTGCCCTTTTGCAAGCACTTGCTGGCAATAGGCTATGGTAGCTATACACTCTGGTTCAATTGAGGGCAGGCCAAAAGCTGGACCCCACACGTGAAGCTCTAGAACCATGCTCCTGGGTTTGCAGCGGGTGTGATGGCGGGGTGTCGTTGCGGGGAATATGGTCGACCACCGGTGATTGATGGCAAAATCAGAGTTCTAGCGTCATTACGCTGGCACGTGATCACGCATCATCGCGCCTCGAGGGCTGCCAACATGGATGTCACGCGGCAACCTCGGCCCTTGCTGCTATGGAACATCAAATGACCCTCACATAGCATCGACATTATGGCACCGCTCAGGCGATATCTCCGAATTACAAAACACTCGGTCCTTGAAGTACGCATTTACCTGGACCGGCCCGCAGATGCAGAGGCATGGCTGCTGAAACGAGGTGATCCTGCCCTTCCACGCGTCATCCAAGCCATACGACCCCTCGTTCTCCCAAAACTCCGCGAAGAGAATGAAAGAGGCAGAGGGAAGGGAAGTGCCAAAGCGAAGAAGAAGGGCGTCAAGGATGTCGTGGTTGAAGGTATGTCAAGCACATCAGTGCACCGAGACAAAACCCATTAGCATTGGCTGTCGAACAGTTCGATGGTTCAGCTAACGCTAGGTTAGATGATTTCGAAGTTTCAGTATTCCTGACAGAGCTGTCTTCTCGCCACTCCGTCTTAACGAAGCAAAAGATCTTCAAGGACAAGGCCCGGATTCAGAGTAATTCGGGAAAGCTAACGAATTGGCTTGCCACAGGCACAAGCGACCAGCCAGTCATAGTCAATGGGGATCCCGCACAAGCGATTGTGATCAGAGAAGAGGACGAAGACGACAAAGCAATAAATCTTGCTGATATCCCCGAAGCTGATAAGCAGCCCAGACGATCTAGGCGATCTGCACGCAGTGGTCGTACCATGTCAGACACAGTGACTGTATCGAGCGAAAGCGATAGCTCGGACATGTTCTTCGATGATCCTCCTGCGGGACGAGGCAAATCAGGTCAGAGTGCTGGTCATACAGACCAGGACGTAGACAACGATACGCCACCAAACGACGATAAGAAGAAACTCGGACTCAATACATCTTATGACGGATTTAGTATATACGGACGTATTCTGTGTCTGGTGGTGAAGCGTCGTGGCGTCAAAAGTCGAGCAGGTGGCCCCACTGCGGCCTCACAGTCTAGCCAAATGATGGAGGCATGGGTATCGACCCAAGCTGTTGCGGAGCAGTTCGACGCAGATGACGATTGAATGCATAGACTTTCTCATTCTGCGAAACCCTACTCTGAAAATCTGTCTAAGAACCCAATTACGGCGTGACCGAATAACGAATAGTTTCGCTTTGTTTATCTCGTTATCCTGACAACCTGCTTCCTACTACCTCGTCGAGTAAACGCCCTGCCCGGTAAGATAGCCATGCATAGACATATGATCGTTTGGTACTTGTTTTAACCCGATTCATCCATGATATTAGTTCTATGACAGGGTTAATCCAGACTACATTCTATTGGAAAATATCATCCTCTTGTGACTGACCCCATAACCTGCTCCCCGTGAAACAGAGTCTCCTTGATCTAAGGATGCAGACCCCAAGGTTCTAGCTCGTGGCTGATCCCGCACCGGTTCTGTACATGAGAAGTTGTTTCCACTGCACAACCTATTAGCCAAAAAAAAGATTTCTAGTACACATTCTTGCGAGGGAACGTTCACATAAACTGTATTCAATCATCATGGCTAAATTTTATGTGGCTTGGGTTAAGACATACCCCTGACACCCTTCACATCCTGAGTCACACATTAGTATTTTGGGGAAAATACTGTTCGGCCGTAAGCGGTGGTAATAGCCATGGAGATTATCACAGCAAGGAAGACGCGCCTGATATCAATGTTCGATGCTGGTGGGAAGCAGTGTGGTTGAGACCGTGATGGGACTATTGAAACCCGCACGCATCACTAAATTCTCCTTTCCACCCCCATTAATATGTACCATGACACAGTACTTGCACCCACTCGCATAAATCTTCTTCCTTTATTTATACTCCTGGAATATCATCGCCTGGGCCACGGCCACAAGTGCTGCCTAATTTTATGCGCCATTTCTGCGTCGTGGAAGTGATATCGACTGTAGACCCTGTTAGTGAATCCAAAACCTTGAGTAATATGGCACATTAAGATATATAAATGACGGAAACAAAAGCAAGTTATCCTTACGTATGCACTTGAGAGTAATTCCCAGGTTAGAGTCACAGTGTGAGCAGTCTGCTACTACTCGATGTTCTCCTAACCCGTATTTAGCAGTTGCGAACAAAAGCTAGCCAGTTGAAGACATACCGTTTAGAACGTAACAAAACTGTGGGACTAGGTGAATATGATGGACATCATTGCCGGAGGCGGTAGAAGCGCTGCTCATAGTTATCATCTTACTTAACAAGGCCTCAAATAGATCAGCGTAACAATTTTGAACTCACTATTAGCAAATTAAATCGACTCTTTACACCCAGTTGCCTGTTCATAGAAGATTAGGCTTTGTCTAAGCATAGGTGTTAAAGAATAGTGCAGCGCACTTGTAATTAGACATTTAGTTGTTGCTATAGGTAATAACTCATTAACAAGCGGTGAGGATGTGACTGAAAGACTAGAATAGAGACATCACAACGCCTGTATCTAAGAGTGAGAGGGTAGACCCCTTAGTTTGCATCCTTTCACATTTGGGTGTTACAGCTGACCTATACCTTTAGTTAAAAGCTGGAATGCATGCTATAGGAACTAGCAAGTGCTAAGAATTATATTAAATGCCTATGTGGATCCTCTGTATGACATAAAGATAGTATATTACCACCTACATGTAAAGTGCTTGCCTACACTTTATTTATTTGATGCCGAACGATTACCCGTTTACAGCGGATACATGGTTATCAACGCCTCCTCTGGAGAAAACCTCTGTATCCCATATCTTGGTGTCGCAGCAGCTATGAAGTCATTCGACACTCTTGACGCAAGACATACCTATCTTATCGTCTACTTCCGGGTCTCGACTACCCGAAAACACTCGCTTCTTCATTTCCGCCAACGCGAGCGATGATGTTGATCTTCCCACTGTTCAGGTGCAATTTGTAATGGGCACAGAGATGTTTCGCGTTGATGTTGTACCGGTGAACTCGACGGCCACTAATACGACTGAGGTGCTCGGTACTCGTATTATGGGGACAGTAGCTGGTTTTCCTGATCATTACATAGATCGTAGATCGTACACTGTGTCCTTAATGGAACACTCACATCAGGGCAACAGGCACCCTTCGTACAAATTGTTGCTGCGGGCACTTAAAATCTTCGGAGATAGGGAGAACCCTGAAGACTGGTCTACAGTTGAAACAGTGCCTTTTCATTAAGCTTTGAAGGGAGACGAGGCCTCAGGCTCAGAGCGCGTCGATTTGGACAAAGATGATTGAGTTGGAAACCTTGTATTATGAGCTTCTGGTATATTCCAGTAGAAAAATTTGATGTGTTACTTCTAAGAAATGAAGGAAAGCTCTTCTTTTAGCCCACTTGATTTTCGACCATTGCAGAATCTGAATCGCAACTATAATAGCTTCCCCAACTGGGTTCACTTGATAGCTGCTCCACTTTCTCTTGATTTGCCGCAGTACACTACAGTTCGGAACAGGTTTACTTAAATTATATTTATCTAGAGTAAACTATAAAGTGATGCACTTTAATGAAGACAATGTAAAGAGGGATTCTAATTCCTAGGACACTCCTTTAATAATCTACCTTTACTTCTACTTCTATCTTTTTACTAGTATAACGTGATGATACTACTACCTGTGTATAGTAGCTTCTTACTTACTATTCTAGTATATATACCTCCGCCCTTCTCTCAACCTTCTCTTACCTCTACCACTTCTACCCCCTTACGGTAAGAAAGCGTACTAGTAATATATTAAGACTTCTTATTATGTCACAGTGCGCATAGCGTGAAAACATGAACCTTATCATAGCGTAGAATGTATACAAGTAAACTTGTTTATACACTTATAACCTGAAATCAAACACCTGCTACAACTACATATAGAGGTATATCATTAGAACATTTACCCTGTTCGTAAATTCTGTGGAACACCCCTCTACTTAATCCATTTAGGACCGTCGTGATTATCTTATGTACACCTGTTTTTTCCTATATGTACTAGATCGCTATTCGGGATGCAAACCTAGAGCTAATTTACAAACTAAAGGCCAATAGGAATCTAGTTCTAGCTCTTCTGTCATAACAAAAGAAACAATGAATTCTCCTAAGACACAAGGTCAGCTAGAGACTCAACATAGGGTGCAAGTAGCTCCTGCAAAGGAGCTCGCTATACTTCAAGGTAGACAAAGCTAATCGTCAACCATAGGCTCGAAATCTGCCGTGAACATGGTCCTAGCTATTCTATTCACAAGAGACTAAGCTGACGTGACTTCTCAGAGAATTGCCTACATGTAAGATATAGTATATCGAGTTTAGTGAACGATGTGTTCAGTAGGAGCAGATGGTAGCTTAGATGAATAGCTTGCGTCTCAAGGTACTGATAGACAAGTATTTGCACCATCCTAGTTGGCAAAGATCTTACTTGTAGGTCCTTGGCGCGACGGCCTGACAAGACTGTTCTACACGATGTTCCGGGATGATATGTCTTCAAGCCAAAATTGGACGAGTGCTCCAACAATTAGTCCCAAGATCTACTCTCGCACTACCGTCAGGAGGTACCTCTTAATTCATGATCACTAATGTGAACCATCTTGGAACGCTTGAATCGACAGCACAACATTAACCTGTTTCCTGTCTAATCCTTTGGGATCCCTGTCGAGCTTGATGAACAGAGTGAACACATTAGCTTCGTGTGCCGTTCGCGTCTAGTATCCCTGGGTGCTTGAGCGGTGACAGCGATTGCTATTTTCAACCCAACCATAATTATTGTGGCGTGAAGAGCTTGGAGCTAATCAAAAGTGCTTTCTTTCCTTCTTCATTCCTCTCTTAAAAAGCTACCTTAGCCGTCTAGTATTCAGAGCATAATCGGCAAAACCAGGCGATCAGGCATGCATGTCAGCGCTTTCCTGTTCTAGACAAAGACAGAAGCAAAAAAGGTACCATGGGTATTTTATGGATCACAATGTCTTCGTGTAATGCTGCATGAAATTTCATCTCAGCAAACAGGTATGCTATTCTCTGCTAATCGCAGGTATAGTGCTTACCTATATCTCGTATATATGGTGTGCTCATTAAACTCACTTTGTACTACTATGTAAGCAATTAGTGAGTACATGTAGATAACCATACTCACACGGCTTCCCAAGAAACCCCTAAGTAGTAGGCACTTTGCCTACAAACTTCTGTGTTCTACAGTAGCAGCCTCACAAGCTGAACCATAGTCCTCATCGGGAGAGACAGCGCCACAGATGGGGCCTCGACATGGGGGGCAAAGATTGATTCCCAAAGCCATGGACGCCGACTCCGCAAAATCCGGTGGTTCATCAGGTGGAAATGAGACCTGAACATCAGCCCAGGCGATCTGACGGCGATCTGCCTGGTAGTAATCTCTGCCTACCTTCCGGTCAGCCACAAACATGAATGGAGCGCCTCATGGCACGTAATGCTTACGATCCTGTTGCGCTGATTCAGCTGTGGCTTCGCGAATGGCGCGCTCCGAGTCCTTGGGCTGTTGGCCACCTATCCCGGGCATTTGATTCATGCAGTACCGCCCATTAGGACATGTACCTACGCTTGGACTTGCTTCTTTCAGCACACGACTCGATTCTGTTTTGCGAAAGCATCACTGCGCCAGCGTCGGCCACGCCGTGCATGAAAAAGCTTGTGGCGCTGCATTCCTCGGTTGATGTCCGAAATATGCGCAAGCCACATCCCAAGTTCGCAAGAGGCACAGCAGCGTCGGAGGAGTTCGTGACGTACCTGCAGCAGCGTGCCTGGTCAGTGATCGGCCGACTCGTATCGATTATCAACATCTCATGCTGACGACGATCCACAATCTCGCCAAGAACAGAATTCCATGATGTTTTAGGCAAGCCTATATTAGTCAGTATGACGCGTAGAAACCAATTTCAGTAGTACTACCGGTACCATGCTGCCATTCAAGAGTTTTTTCTACGTGAAGTTATACCCCCACCGGTATTCCTGCCAAGGCCCAAAAGTCAAAAAATGCCTACCACCAAAGCATTTGAATGTCCCCAGGCCACTAATTCTACTCATATAATCCAAGGAAAGTCTTGTCAGAATTCGGCAATCCTTATCGGCATATCAAAGATAAGAGAACTGGGGAAATTGATGATTTTTCAAACTTTGTTGATCAAGTGATCGCATGGCATGGTGTTACAGCTTACTGCTCATTTCAAAACCATGTGATGCATATCTATATCTGCATGCCAATCTACTCCAGAGTTTAAATATTTTCTTTCTTGCAAATGGCATACTGCAGCGGCCTTAATAACACTGTTTTCGGTGGAAAGTATGATGACAGTGCACAAATTACCGAAGTGGGACATGTGACTGCATGTGGGTAGGTACCACACATGCTCAGAGGACAGGAAGCATCAGTGTTCAGCAATTCGATATTGGGTTTCGTGGCCTCTTTGCCTGAGAGCAAGGCGACAGGACTCATTTGAACAAGAGCAGGCCGCGAAAAAGGAGAGCAATCATGGAGCATGCTTGTAGGAATACAGCATCCAACATTTATGGAACGATATCCCGTTGATAGCGTCGGTGATCTACCGGCCTGTCATTGACGGCAGGCCGACGAAGCGCTCGGCCTTTCTTCAACCTTCCACGCCATCCAGCCTGCTGGGACTCTCATCATTTCCAAACGGATTTTGACAAGGACCAAATCTCGATTGATTGCGTCGCAAAGACTTTGTCGTCGATCCGAGATGTGTAGCAGCACGGTGCATGTCCATTCCTTGCGAGCGTCACAATCACGCAGGATCTTCTCAAGGAAGGTAGGTAAGCCTGAATGGCACAATGTGGAGTAACAGACATTTTTTCTTTCCCCTTGAGCCAGCATTCAGGCTTGACGTAACTTAACCGACACCTACACCCCACATATCCTGGAACAAAGTCCATTCATGCCTGGAATGGTAAGGCGCATAATGTTTGCGCCGGCCACGGTCACCATTCTCCTTACCCTATAACAATGAAAAAAAAAAAGCTTTGACGGGGCAGTATCCTAATTGTGGTAACAACATTGCACTAGGTACCTACAGAGGATGTACTATGTATGTACTCGGCGAGCAGCAGGGGAGATAAGGAGAGACAAATTGCGAGCGCAAATGAGACGAACGTTCACTCGAGGTTTCAGATGCAACCCTTGCAACAGTTCCACGTGGAGTGGCAGCTTCAGCCCTCAGCTGCATCAAAGGCAGCCAGACTGAAGCAGCCAGAAGCAGACGGCGACAGTGTCTCCGTCCGTCTTGAATTGAACTTTCGGCGGGACAGAACAAACTGCCTCGTGTGTGGATGCATCTGCCCGTTTCTCCATTTCCGCCTCAGCCGAAGGCTTGTACTGTACAGTTGATCACCCTTGTCAGTCAGGCCAGTTGAGCCAGTTGTAGTCGCCGGAGAGACATGGGAGGACAAGCAAGCAGGATGGGCGTCGGCGGCTACTCACATATTGAATACATGCACGCGCAAGAGGATTCAATACGGGTCGCCCAAACAGGGCAAGCCCACGAGCAAAAATAATTGCGACATGTTAGTTGTTCAATAGCTGGCGCATACTTGGTGCCGTGTACAGATAAGCTTGCGAGCAAACATCCGTACCCTGGCATCCTCACGGCCAAGCTAGCCCGCCAATTCACGGGCCCAGCAAGCAGGCAAAAGTCAGGTTACTAGGTAGACCTCACCGCCAACGGGTACCAGCACAGGTAGTGGAGCGGAAATTTCCAGGGGCCTGTCGAAATTGGATGGAAGCTTGCAAGAAGCACGGGAGAAGGGCAGCGCAGACGCTAGAATGATCAGAGTCAGTGCCCGACTTGGGCAAGTAAACGTCGCAAATTTGTGCGACCGAAATGGCGTCGGCAATGTGGTCTCTGTCAGATCTGTGTGGGTGGGGTGTTGGTTGTTGCATCGGCCAAAAGGGTTCACGGCGTGAAGAGCAGTGAGAAGTTAATTTTGTAATTTGTGCTGTAGGTATCTGAATTTCCTGCAGGCATTCCCCTCGGCAGTCCGATGATTGCGTTGGAGTGGCAACTGACACAGACGTGGGAAAAAGGAGGGCTACGTTTCATTCATTGCGACCGTTCGCACTAGCAAACTTACTAAGAATAAGCAGGGAGGACCAGGGCATGAGGGTGTGATGTCAGACTTGGATAAACAATTTCCGCCCGTCCATCAGGCTGCCCTCGTCCATGCTGTCCTGTTGTTGCCTTGTCAGAGGAATGATGGGCTGCGCGAATGGCGCGCTGGCAGGGGGGCCACTATAACGACTGTGACAGGACTGGATCAACACGATCTTCACACTGTCACGAGGCTTCTGAAACGACAAGCAAGAGCGCGCCAGTTCGTGTTGCAGCTCACCCGTGCTCGCAAATGGACCGGGATGGGCGATGTTTCGGCATGATTTTAGCTCATGCACAAGCCAAGGAGCCACCCCTTTCTTCACCCATCAGCCCAACGCCTCCTTCCTTCACCGCTTGGGCCGTGCCATGCCCTGGCTAGGGTAATGCTACACATCGTCAAAACTGCGTAGCTGACCGACATTTTGGGCCTCTGTCATCTGCTCACAAGCATAAATACTCTGAACCCCCACTATCCGGCCTTTGTTTCACTACAAGTCGGACATCCACACACGCACACACATACACACACGAGAGATATATACTCCTCCAAAGCCCATCAGACAATCCAACAATCGCAGTCAGCTATCTCGACTTCTCATCATCGACGACCATCTTCGACACATCAACAACGGCTACTACTACTACTACTACTACTACTACTACTACAACATCCTCCAAGCTTCGCTCTTCCCACAATACAATGGCCGCTACCATCTACGACGAATCCACCATGGCATCCCAGAACCTACCACCATGCCCCGGTCCAGCACCAACACGCCCTCTTCCACCAGTTCCAACCAAATAGATGCTGGCTACAGCTTCTTTTTCCGCTATTCTCAGCCCCCAGCAATCGTTTGGCTTTTGACGCTTTCTCCATATCCATGTACATTTTTAGCATCATCTTGACGAATGACTACCCTCTCGCGACGCCGTACTATCCGCCTCACCCAACCTCTCCCGACACATCATTGCAGCCTGGCGCAGTACCATGTGGAGCATCTGCCGCACCCAGCACGAGCTCAAAATCCACCGAACTTTTGCCTTGGAAGCAGACCAGCCCCCTGTCACTCACCTGACACTTCAAGCGCATCCGGTTAAACGCATCCTACACCATCTTTCTCCATCAGAGAGCAAGACTAGCACGACCGGCTTGCATTGGAGCCCTGCAAGCCATTGAACTTCACATATGGCTCTTTCTGCCGCGCCTGTATGACATGCGCGAGAATTTCCTGCGTCTGCGCCTCGACTGCAACTTTTTTCTGGTTGCATCTTTGCATATCCAACACGCGCTGGCTCGGGTGGACGGAACATCACGACATCAACTTCCCATTAGACGCCTACTTCTTTCTGGCAACCCACATACGACTCTAGCTGTTTTAATTAGTGCGCTCGTTCTTGTTCCCTGCTTTTTAGTTTTTTTTTTGAATATTGCATGCATTGGCGCTCGGGAATCATGGTCGTAGACTGTGGACTCTGGCATCTTAGCGCGGGTTATGGGAGTTCTTTGTTACTGGTTTCGGTGGCATTATCGCCAGGAGGAGACCTTATCGAATACCCAATCTGTCTGTAGTTTTAATGGCTTGATCTATGATTATCAATATTTTATTGAACTCATCTCCCTCGACGTGAAACATGCCGTGCACTCCACAAACAATCTTGCCTTGAGACAATACCATGTCAACCCGATGGATCGAGATTGGCACTTGTAGGTACCGTACTTGCACCGCTTTCCTGTGTTGGTTACACTGTGCTGTGCCGCACACCTACCACACCGGAACCTTAAAAAGGTGTTAATTCACTAGACATGCCGTCCACACCCTCTTTGATGGCTAGCCAAGCAGAGAGCGCGGCTTCGACCGCGCCAAACTAACTTGGTGGCATCAGGCCTCGTGTTGCAGCGAGCAATACTGGTGGCTGCTACCTACATTCAGGCACACGGTGCCTGGGACAACCTTCATGGTGTGGTGACGTATATTCAACATCTACCTAGACACGATAGCAAAAGTGCCATGGACAAAGCTGCTGGTTACAACGGCATGTCACAGTGTCACGCACCTGTCACATTTTCATATGCCGATTCGCCGTTGTCGTTGTTGGCGAGTTACATGCCCTTGAGCAAAGCACGCATGATAATGGCCTCGCATGGCCGTGGATGGACACTTGGTTGACAAGGAGAGACGCCGTCTCACATCATCAACTCGTGATGGCGGGGCAGTGTTTCGCTCGGTTCATCATTCCAAGTGCATGATAGCATTGCTTAATCTCTTCACGGTATTGGTACGGTACGTGCCGGGGGGGAGCCACGCATCTGTCCACGTATGAGTAACGATGACTGTACGCTTAACGACGAGTAGTAGCAGCAAGTGTAGAGAAGCCCCGTGGACTAGCACCGGCGGCGGACGCTACCCATGGTGGACTGCTACACTTGGTCCCTCATTGCAGCATTCTGAGTTACACGACTTCACCGCTCAAGCAAGGCATACTACACAAAACCCCACTCGACCTGCAGCAAGCGGTCTGCTGTACCAAAACCATAACCTCAGGGCTATACCCTCCTTCATGTAGCGGTTGTCGCGCCTAGTTGCAGGCACCAGAATCGACTTCACCTTCATGAGAGCGGGTCCGCATTAAGCGATTTGTTGGGCAGCCACAGCTGACCATGTGGCAGCACCCTCTCCGACACTCCTCGGCTGTGCCCACCGAGCTACCATGTGCAGGAAACAAGAAGGCCGGAGAAAGAGGGCGGATGTAGCAGCCAAGCCGTACGGTACGGAGCGGATGCTCTATGCGAACTTGGTTTCAGGCACCGTTCCATCCCATATTCAAGCTACGCTGTTCGCCAATGTCTGATGCCTGTGTGGTCGACAAAGCCATTACCGTTACAAGGCTTACGGTAGGTTCAAAGGCGAGCTCAAGACAGGTTAGATGTACAGATCATCAGGCTGCACGCCTAGATGGGCAGAGCAAACCGTTTGGCCTTGCATGCTCGTTCTCCTGGACGAAGTTGATCAAATCATCATTCATACACCCCTGCCAATTGGTCGAGTATGATATGGTAGCTAGTATGGTACCTAATGTTGATGGAGAGACATCGGTCGTCAGACGTCTACCTCCTCATCCTGCGTGATGGCGAGTCGCTGTAATACTGGTAAGCACTGCATGCGGTGTATAGCATCTAGTCAGCCTCGGTTTGCTGCACGACGTCTGGAAACGTGCAACAGTCCTTCGATGCAGCCGATCTCAGGCACGTCAGTCACATGCGCAGGCTTGCTCATCTGCATTTCTCCCTTTCAGCCCGCCACACGGCCGCCATCCCTGGAGGTAGATCCTCTCCAGCCACATGCCGCGAATCAGCTTTGCTTGTCTAATACATAGGACATGGTCCTACACACACACACACACACAGCATGACCGTGGGACCCAATGGTTAGGCCAGTTCTTGGAGGAGTCTGCAGGGCTGATTTGATGTGCAGTCGAGCACAGGCGATCAGGTAACAGTGGAGAAGGACGCATCTCTTGCGAATGAGTCACAGACAGCGGTGTGTATGTAGCTACGCTACCTGGTAGTACTGGTACGTACTGGTGTTGGTGGTACTGTTACAGACATGATGCTTGTCAGATTGAGTCAAGAGCAAAGAACAAACCGTTGTCCATCAGTACCCGCCAAACGACCAGGTTCCTGGGACAAAGCGCTTTCCATGTGCCATCAGGTCCGACTGCCGGCCACATCTCGGTATCGCTGGTGGCTCAAATTCCTTTACCGCTACAATTAGTACAACTTCATCCTGTAGATTTGGCCGGCGACAACTAGCCGCATCTTGTGATGATTTTGATCGACCAAGCCCACCAATGCTCTCTCCTCGCCATCATCTTCCGTATGGATCCATCCCATTGCCAATCACCCTGCCAAGCATCACGAGTGTTGAAGCGACTTCACAAAAGTACACACCTCGTTGGCAAAAACAACAAACCATGGCAACCATGTCGTCCGGCAGATCCATCTCGGCGCAACATTCCTGTCACAACTCATCATCATGTGTTCAGAGAGTGACGGTAAATTTCTCCGCCTCCCTAACCGGCCCCAGCCTGTCAACGCCGTACCCATCTCACAATCCATCCAGCTGACTCTCTCTCCTACTCCTGATCCGTCCATGATTTTCCGTCCTTACCGTCATATTGCGACATGATTGCCAGGATCACCACACCAGCCCAACACGTTCAAGCCCCCATCCTGCCCGCCCCGACCTTTTTGTTTTGCGGGCACCGAGGCACTCGTCGTATCAAAGTTCCCTCACGCACCTTGGATCTTTTACCCCACAGATCCCGCGCGAAGCGCTGGTCGTTCAAACAAGCAGCTTACACATGGACCACCGTAATCAGGGCAGTTCATGCAAGTTACCCAATCCGGCAGTTCCGTGTCGTCCTGGTATCTCTCTCACCCATTGCCACCACCGTCATCATCATCATCATCATCATCATCATCAATCATCACCGCCGAATGAGCGTACCTGAAACAACGGCTGGAAGGTGGATAACTATGGATCGGCTCTGACGGAAATAAAAACCGCCTCAACTCGACTCTTATCAATCTCGTGCTCTACCGTATATACCCTACCCATTCCAGTAGCACGCTATCACCAGTCTACCGGACTTTGCGTCCGTTTTGTCACGACTCGACACGGGAGCCGGAAATTTGCAAGGTCTGACGGGGTTCCGCAGCCCCCTGCGGGTCCCTGAGTGGGTTCGTTCTTTGCCACAGTTGTACAGACAGACTCCCAGGCGTGGGTTTCCCGTAGAATATCCGGTGGCTTGATGGGAAGCATTGCACGGAAATGGGGGTGGGTTGAACAAGGCAAAGCAAGCATGCGACACAATCTCCTACTGCACATCCCATCTCCGACGAGTGGGTTGTGCTACTGTGTGTATTCCCCCTGCACCCCCCAAAACCACCAAGCCACAAAAGTCCCAGTTGTCTCGTTACCCCCTGATGTGCATGCACCGTGGCTTCTGACTCTTCTGAGCGTGCATTGTTGCATCTTGGTATCCACCCGCCCACCTGTTGCTGCCTTCTCCTTGCTTTAATTCCGCAACCTATCTCCGGTCTCTGTCCAATGAACCATGAATCGAGCGCCTCGGCTAGATGATGAAAGTCTCGTATATGCATCACCAATGAAATGACTCGAGTCCAAGGCTGACGCAACTATTCACCACACGCACCTGTCATTGTCTTTCTCCCCTCTTTTCGAAGCAAGCAGACGGTAACGACCCTCGGCCGCGTGGGTGAATGCTTCCGTGGTCCCTGAGTTTGACTTGAATCACTGGCTACCATGACTTCTGCCGAGAGCACTCGGAGCTACCACTAGTACATAGAGAAGGGCAACGTTTTCCTTGGGAGAGAGAGTCATGTCTTCTTTCAAAATTTGCCTCATTCTTGGAAATCTCCATTCACTCCGGATCTTCAGGGTCTCTCTGGGTTGAGTTGATGCAGGGTGGGCGATCACAATTGCGAGTCGCATTGCTAGCTTTGTAATTTGTGGGCCGACTTTGGGCTTGCTGGAGAGTAAGCGAGCGCGGCGGTGAAGGGGTTGATATAGTCATCATTGGTTATGACGTCCTAGCCTGGGGGACGAAGAGAGAGGACGTTGAAAATTGGAATCATGGACCACGGTGTATTTGTGCGTCAGCTTGTAGGTATGAAGTTTTACCCTACAGTGTTGGAATCAGGTAGTAAAGAGTGTGTCGAAAACCTCCTTTGGCCATGTGGCTAGCCAACGTCTAGCTGGAAAACTGTAAAGCACGGCGCACTAGTCATCTGAGATCGTAATTTTATAATATGAATATCTACGTTTACTGCAAAAAGCACAGCACAGCTACACTGTTAGCTTCATCAGCTCCGTCGATTTCTCGCCTTTTTTCAACCCACCGAGTCCATCTTGTTCGCTTGTCTAAACCCCATAGCACTTCAACAATGAAGTCAAACTCAGACTCGAGCCGGTCTGCAGCAAAGTGTTCAGAGCGCCCACACCAAGGTACACAGGGCACTTGATCTCCTGTGCCTGGTTGACCGCCGATCTCAGCGTATCGATGTAGGTACCAAGCACGCTTGCACTGCCATTTTCCTTGCCTTCCAAGACGGCAATCATTTGCGCACCGGCCTCTTTGAACATGGTGCTTCCACCAGCCGCATCGCATGCCAATTCGTAGAATTGCTGTAGTGGGATACCGACGTGCTTTGCAAGCGAGATGGCCTCAGCTGCGGAAACGAGATGGATACCGGTAAGGAGGTCAACCACTAGCTTGAGTTTTGACTGCTTGTCCTCTGCAGAGAGAGTGCTCTGGATGCTCGAGACGGGGTCAGAGGTCCACAGGCGGACCAGTCCGGCGTCGTCGTTTGCGCCCCAGCCACGGTCGAGGGCGGAGAAGTAGACTTGTTCTGCCACTGAGCAGAGGATTGAAGGGAAAGCTACGTTGCGAGCTGTGGAGGTGATGATACTCTATGTTGCTTGTCAGTCAATTGCTTTTTGCCTTCATCTTCAGAGTCTGATCTCTCGACTCAATGCGAAAATCTCGACATACCGTATCCTTGAGAATGATCGTCACCGCACTGGCGCCCGGGAAATAATCCTCCTTCAACGTCCTCTGGGTGCGGTTCTCGAACATCCAACTCCAACCCTTGCTTCCCAACACCGCATCGCTCACATCCTTGCCGTTGAGCCCCATCCGGGCTGCAAATCCATACGCTTCGCTCAACGCCAGAATCTGGATCGCGGCAAGCACCTGGTGTACCATCTTCATATTGCTGCCCGCTCCGATCCCACCGTTTACGATGAATAGCTTCGACGGCGCAGACATCTCTTGCAACAACCACTTGCCTTTCTCCACAGCCGCATCTGACGCTCCGGCCATGATGCTCAATGTGCCATCTGCAGCCCTGCCAGCACCCCCAGAAACCGGTGCATCGATGAAGTAAATATCACCTCTGCCAATATCTACGAGCTCCTTTTCCACGCTCTTCGCATACGCACTTGGAACCGTCGAGCACAGTAACAGCGTTGCGCCCTTGGGCAGTGCGGCGACGATGCCGTCTTTGTCGAAGAGTGCGGGCTGAGCTTGCCATTGCGAGGCAACCATCATGATGTAGAAGGGCTTGTCCTTGGCCGAATCCGAGAGAGAGTTTGAGGGAATGCCGCCGGCGGCTTTGAAGCGGTCTAGGGAGGGCTGCCAGACGTCGAAGCCAGTGACAGAATAGCCTTGCTTGACGAGGTTGGTGGCCATGCCGAAGCCCATGGCACCGAGGCCGCAGAAGCCGATTTCTGGTTTGGAAGTCATGTTGAGAGATGTGTCGTGTGGGTCGTTATAGTACGGGTGTCTCAATTGACTGGAGACGAGGGAAAAGTCGTTTGTAGTGGTAGAGTGACGTTCAAATCCGGGGAATTAATGACGGCGAAATCTGCAAAGGGTGACTTTCGATATAACGCAGGGTTTCTTGGTACCTAGCGCTCCCAGTCTTTTTCTTCTTGGACTATTAGGGGCATAAGGTTAGTTCTTGGCTGATAAGTAGGAAAAGGCTCAAGGTTGGGTGTCGCGAGTGCAGGAAGCCATCTACTTCACCTCAACACGAACATGCGCCTCGAACGTTTTCATCATCCCACCTCTCCACAACATCCACCGGTCCGACGTCGAGAGCAGACAGCAAACAACGGCAAAACTGCGCTCCTAACCAGTGGCATTCATCCCAGCTACCCCGCACTACGCCCAATACGGTAGGCGGGGTAGTTTACGCGGTAGATGTCGCACCGAAAGTGGGTCTTTCGGCGATTGACCGATTCTTGTTGTCGTGGAGAAAGCCGCGAGACGGTGGTTGTGGCTCGGTGCAGAGGCCGATGATGATTGTTTGGACTTGCGAAAGTTGATAGATAGACCTTGATGGATTTCTATCTAGGGATCGCGCTGGAAGCAAGACGATAATCCAAAGTTCGTTGAGGAGCCCATCGGAGAACTAGGTAGGACCGTACCGGTACAAGATCTAGCGAGATCTCTGTACATACCTAGGTACCGATAGCGGCCAATGAAAACATGTAGAAAAGAAGGAATGCACAGTCACGATGGCAGACTCCCAGACAGAGTACGTTGATATTAGCTATAAATAGAGCGCTTGCTGTTCTTGAATGTGCTTTTTGACCGATCGATGCCAGATACCAACTATTGTGCTGTGATGTCCACGCTGCCAGCTTCCAAGCCTGCCGCAGTAGCTGTCACCGTGATGGAGCCCTTCTCTCCTCGTTTCGGCCTCACGATAGCCAAAGCAAGGCCACTGAAAGCATCTCGTTCCAGAGAAGGGAAAGGAGTCCAATCCGCTTGGAACCCATTGTCAGTAGCGACGATCTCTCCTGGCCCAGAGATGGAAAAAGTGATATGGTCGTTTGCATCACGGACAAGGTTTCCGTCCTTATCAACAAGCTCCAACGAAACAAAAGACAAGTCTTCGCCGTCAGCTGTAATCTCTTTGTGATCAGCTGTGAGACGTATAGTCGTAGCCGCACCCGTTGTGTGTACGGACGATGTAGCCCATTGAGTCCCATTCTTGTAAGTAACCACATGGACTTCACCAGGTTGATAAACGACCTCATCCCAACGGAAGCGATACTCGGTTGCTCCCAACTTCTTGCGACCCTGTGACGCTCCGTTGACGAACAGTTCTGCTTCATCACCGTTCGTGAAGACATGGACTGGAGTGACAAGGCCGACTCGATCTGGCCAATTCCAGTGTGGAAGGATGTGTGCGATTTTGAGATCGGGGCGCCAGCGAGATTGGTAGATGTAGTATCGATCCTTTTTGAAACCAGCAAGATCTATAACACCGAAATAGCTACTGCGGGATTGCTGGTAGGGGTCAGGTTCACCTGGTCATGTTAGTCACTATGTGGTCCCCCAAAGAGGTGAGAATTAAAAAAGGAATGCTTACCCAGGTAGTCCCAACCGGACCATATGAACTCTCCAGCTACGAAAGGGTGTGCATCTTGGGCTGCGAAGACTTTGTCTGCTGTAGAGCCGAAGGGAGTAGTATGTAGCTCATAGCTGCTGACATACAATAGAGACGAGTTTCCGCCGCCGTTAGTGTCGTTGACCGGTGCGCTGTTCAGCTGGCTGACGGGAAATATGTATGTTCCTCGCGAGCTTAGTGCAGCCGCTGATTCGCTCTCTGAGATCAATTTCTCAGGAAATTTGTCGTGGAATGCTTGATACTGCGGTGGCGTGCGTGTTCCGTTCGTCCACGAATACTGCGGTGTGTCGCGGATACCCTCACCCTGGTAATTAAGGCTGATAAGATCGAAGGCTTCAGGAAAGGTCATGTTTGGCTTAGCAGTGTTCATAGACGCTGTAACGGGCCGTGTTGGATCTTCCTCTTTGACCATCTTGTTGAGCATTGAGCCGATCTCGAAGCCTCTGTTGCCGCAACAAGTCTGCTCGCCGACTTCATTACCCACACTCCAGGAGTATATTGATGCATGGTTGCGGTCGCGGCGAAGAAAAGATCGCAACATAGGCTCATGCCAATCGGCAAAGATGAGATGGTAGTCGTTGTCCGTCTTCTTCCTTTCCCAAACGTCAAATATCTCATCCATGACTACGAATCCAAAGCGATCAGTCAAGTCGAGGAGCTCAGATGCTGGCGGGTTATGAGCCATACGAATGGCATTGACGCCTAGCTCTTGTAATTTCTCAAGCTGACGCTCAGCAGCACGATAGTTCCAAGCTGATCCGAGCGCGCCCAGGTCGTGACAATGTTGGTTCACACCTTGTATGCGAATACGCTCTCCGTTCACTGACAGACCTTGATCACCGCTGTATGTGAACGAACGAATACCAAACCGAGTCTCATATGTATCAACGACCGTGTTGCTGCCATTGCTTAGTAGGCGAGTGACGGCAACATACAAATGAGGTTTCTGCGATGGGGGTGGACCCCACAGCTGAGGGTTTTCGATGGTGACTGAAGCGCTGGATGACTCCTTGCCTGCAGATAATGCTACAGATGTCCTTGGGAACTCCGCGACTTTCTCGCACGCTTGTCCCGTCTTCGAATCGTAAATGTGTATATCCGTTGCGACATCGATCTGCTGGCTAACATTACTCTTGCTCTCGACTTGCACAACAAGCTCGACTGTCGCAGATTTTGCGGAGACATCTTTCGTCATAATATGCGTGCCGTAGTGGGCGACATGGACGGGCATGACCTTAGTGAGCCAGACATTACGATAAAGGCCGCCACCTGGGTACCATCGCGATGATTTAAGTGGATTGTCAAGGCGAATGGCTAGTTGGTTGTCATCGCCAGGTCGCAGGTACGGGGTTAGATCGAGACGAAAAGAGTTGTATCCATATGGCCAGCCGCCCACGAGCTGACCATTGAGCCACACAATGGCGTAGGACATGGCACCATCGATGTCCAGATATACGGTTTTCCCAGAATCTTGAGCAGTCATCGACAGTTTTTTTCTGTACCAGCCAACTCCTTGCGATGGCAAGCGACCCATGCTGCCAGGGATAGGCGTTGGATCACCGACATAGAAGGGGCCCTTGATTGCCCAGTCATGAGGCAGATTAACGTTCTCCCAATCTCCATCGTCGAAGCTACTGTCAACATACGGGATTTGTACCGTAGGACCACTAGACGGAGTTTCGAAATGGTTTGCTACGTCGGATATGAACTCATTGGCATTTGGAAGCACCCACGGCTTCAGGTACGTGATGTTGCCTTGTGGTGTATCTGTTCGATTGTCGTAGGTAACACCATCGGGGTTCTTCTCAGATCGCCAGAATTGCCAATCTGTGTTGATGCTGATGCGCTCACGACCAACCGAGGGTGATGAAGGTATGTCGTATTGACGTAACTTGATTGCTTTTGCGTCACAAAAATGGCTTTGGAGCAGGAGCAAGCCCCAGGATACCAACCAAAGCGCAGGAGGTGTCATGACTGATCGAACGTGTTGTTGACATCCATTCGTATTGAGAGGGCGATCCACTCTTTATACCATCGGCAACGTTCAAGACTTCGGTCCTTTGGTCGGCAACGGACATGTTGACTATCAGTTTTTCCATCATGGGATGAAGATGCCCCGAGCATAGCACACGGTGCTACATTAGACGTAAATTATGCCCTCATTTAGGCAGATCGGTAATGTGGTACATTTCGTTCCCCGGCGTTGGGTGATCGCAGTCAGTACCTGATCCACATTTAGTCCAACAATGGTTGAGATCGCCGTTGCCGGCAGCATACCCATGCATGTCTGGGGTATAATGCGGGGTTAGCCGAGGAAACTTGTTCTCAAACATGAGGCTATGACATAGCCAATTGGTGGGCCATGCGCGTGTTTGCATCTTGCCTGATGGAGTTCTTTGCGTAGGCACAAGCAGAATCCAAAGGAGAAGAACTTTTGTCAGCGTACTGGTGATACTTTATCCATACTTCCCTTCCAGCCTTGCAGGCTTTTACCTAATCACTGCCACCGGTGCCCTGAGCTTGATGACACTGCGTACGGTTACTGCCACGCCATTAGCGCAAAATCAAAAGTGTTGATTGGTATGTTCTCGATCTGGAAAATTGCGGTGGATACGTCGTATTCTCATATACAGCTTCATGAACGCTGCATGATCGTCAAGCTACGCGAAACAAGCCAGATGAAACATTGCACATAGAAGGAATAGCTTCTCTAGGGTCTCATTATTTACTTCACAAATAAAGAATCAGCCTGACCATACGGCTGGGCCTGGAGGAGTGTATGACTTGACACCCTACGGCTCAATTAGCTTGGACTATGTTCTCACACAACATCAGAGACTCACTGAATAGATGTTGACCTTGATACCGGGGTCATTCGCGGTGTAAACACCAGGAAACGAAACAAGAGGTCCAGGAGAACCACTGCCACCTCCTGTGACCTTGATCTGAGCACAAGAGATGTAGAACTGCGCCCCCCCAGTATTGCTAGCCTGGTGTAGGGCGATGTGCTCAACGCGAAGCAGGTAGTCACCAGAAGGTGTGTTCTTTGGAATCGTAACGCTCACAGTTCCCTTGTCTTCTCCGAGTCAGTCTTGAAGCATGAGGTAGACGCCCAAGGAACCAAACATACTAAGACTTCCCCAGCTCACTTGTCCATTTGCGATAGTCGCTTGCTCGGCGTAGATCTTGAACCAGACATTTCCTTTGCCCTCCCATGTAGCAGCGGTCTCTCCAGTTGGTACCTTTGCAAGGTAAAACTGCAAAGGTCCTGGGTGGAAGATGTTTGGACTTGCTGTAAAGCTCACACTGGAACCGGCAGCTACATTCTGGATGGTAGGCGCCTTATTGCCAGTCGTGTAGCAGCGAATCTGATCAGAGGTAACATCACTGAGACCTGCATTGCTGTACTGGTTGACTGTTGTTCGAACAGCTTGCCAGTTTGACGTGCCTGTCAAGGATGGGAAAGTGTATGTGCGCTGTCAGCCACGTCGTTATTAACTGAAGGAAAGCGACATACAGTGTCGAGGCTGCAAAGCCGCTGCGTCCACCACTTGAGCAGCTAGAACGAATCTGCATGCATTGACAAGTTTCATCGTAGGAGAGCAAATAGCGAGGAGTTTGTGAACGCAATAAAGACACCTTTTCACAGTCGTAGACAGCACACTAGCATCATTGTTATATTTGAGTTCCCATATCCAACTAATGAATCACACCTCTCGTAAAGCTTTGATGATAGATTGAATTGTTTACACGGTGATTCAAAGGTCGTTGGCTGCGTTACCCAAAGCGGTAGTCTGAAATTGGATATTAATTTGATGTGCCTTGTTCAGCATCACGCGGAACCTCAAAATCTCGGCAGAGGATTGCCGGCATCTGGAAGCTGGAAATACTATACGCACTCGGCTGAAATCACACCCTGAACATTTTGATGGACTGTGAATATTTGATCAGAGAGATCGATGCAATTTGCTTGCTAATGGCGAGCTTCCACGTAGCCCCTTGGATCACGTACTGAAGGATGACGATCGTGAAGTGACACACAAATGAGCTGATGACATTCGAGCCATAGAATGGGGCAACTGGGACAACTGGCCTGTATAGCGTTCTCCATGGGGATAATGCAGTCCGTGCTCCAGCTCAATGATCGCTGGCTCGATTGGCTCCGGACAGATACCTCAATATCGGTGTCTCGTCTTCGTTCTAAGAGGGCTGGTCCTAGGGCATCATCCTTGGACCGTATCGGCTCATATGCTATCAAACTGACATGTTTCGAGCGGTTAAGACGCACCGTCGAGTTCTTGCTTGTCTGCCTATGCCGGATGGCTCGAAGCGATAAGTACCCTTAGTATGCTTGAAGCAGCCGGATGCAATTCACTCTCTGCACGTTAGACCGTCCCGTCATTACCACACATCGCCCATTGTTTCGTTGTCGTTTTGAGCCGCCGCTTGAGATTCTACGCGCGCGTAATACTAAGAGTGACTCCATCGTTGCTAGTGTATCTTCGACTGCTGCTGTTCATAACGTCGACTAATTGCAGAGGGCTTCTGAACTGTCCACTGCTCATTTTCAGGGCCGCATCTCTGTTTCGAGGACCTTGATTTCTTTGCTAAGATCTTGCACGTCATCCTGGGCCACCAATTGCGCACTAACTTCCAAGTCCTGAATGACGTTATCCAGTCCTCTCACCAGTGCTTCAATCTCAGCGCGCTGTGCAGTGACTGTCGACAAAAGCTCTGTATTCGATTGTTGTGTTTCGGCAAGTTTGGCATTCATTTCGGCCGCTTGCTTTTCGATGAAGGGCATGAGATGAGCGAGGTGTATCTCCGCGGGTGTGAGAGTATGGGGTCTGTGAACTACGTGAGCAACCAGAGTATGCGATATAAGATTGTTATATTCGAACTTACGGTACAGGCGTCTCTACAGGCCCGCCATTTGCACTGAGCTCAGCCCGCTTCTTCCTCAACTTCGCATCCTCGATGCACTGATCCAACGAGTTCAAAAGCTTCACAACATTCCTCCGCGCCATGATGTCTTCAAAGTTGGTCTTCCATGTGCGGTCTAGCTGGTCTAAGATTTGACCTCTGAGGTTGTCCAGCACCTCCGGGCTGTACTGTGCAGCTGTTGGAAAGCATGCTGCGAAATTTCTCGACGAACATTTGTCGAGGGTCGCCTTTGAAGCCTGATTGAAGACATTGATCAGGCCTTGCGCGCGTGGACCTGGCGCGTCGGCAATCGGCGGGGCAGGAGTTGGTGAAGGTGAGCGCGAGTCGGCTTTCGTGGCAGCAGGCATGACCGTATAGTAATATGGAATGTTTCGCGGTGGTGAATAGGGTTTCTTGTGTAAGTATCGAGTATCCGAGTGAGGGCGTGGGCCTCTTAGATCCTTAGATCGCGAATGCTGTGTGTGTGTGTGTGTGTGTTTACTGGGGAAACACACTAGTGATGCACGTGACAACACGCGCCGAGATGTCCAGCCTTGGAACATGCCAACACCCAATCGGCCTCCGAAGATCGGGCCTAGATGAAAGACATGAGCCAAATCCTGCGTACAGCGAGATCCGTGTAGTGAGGAAGGATGTGGGCTATGGAGCTGTCAAATATAATGCTCTCTCATTTGAATCTTCACTAGGGTCGCAAAAGAAGGCATAAAGTCTCACAAGCATAAGGTACAGTATAGTAGAGTACCATGTAACCTTGAGATTGTCTACGTGGTAGTGTACCGGTACTTTTCATAGTCCGACAAAGCAAGCGTGCAGTCTCGACTAAACTCTGTTGGCAATGTCTCTCCTCGCTGTTACTATATGTGCTGTACTCCTATTATTTGTCAAAGATGATTACAACCTCAACAATCTTGGCCCAAAACAGAATGTTCCCAGAACAGACCCACAGTCACTGCCACAGCCACGCCTCCAGCCACGACGCATGAGAAGGGGCAACGCGTCCACGCGTCCACTTCTTCGGACCATGCAGTGGATACTTGATACTACAGTCTAAGCCTGATTCGATATCCTATATCTACAGCACTGTGCACACTGTTGCCTTCAACCCACCACCGTGCAAAAATAAAGCCGAGGAGGTGCGCTCAAAGTCCGTGGTAATCTAGCCAGCTTCCCCGTCAGTCCAAACCCCAGTTGATATGCGCAACCCCCACAAACCTCGCCATTACCATCGCAAACCTGAAATGCCTAGATGAAATGGAGGCAGACCCTCGCCCCCATGAAAAACCATTACAGCTGCATTATCCATCAAAGAATCTATCCAATTTCCGACATCGACCATTAAATCACGCAGGCGGAGAAAACGTCCGCTTAGTGTGTCTACTTCCCGGAGACTTCACAGATCAAATCTTCTGCGAACTCTTCCACGCCAGCCTCGAATTTGGGATTGACTACGAGGCTGTGAGCTACACGTGGGCAACCGAGGACGGGGATGCTAGTCTATCAGAGTCAATCGCTTGTGGTTATGTTGGGGAGGAAAATGAGACGAAACTATCGATCACCGTGAATTGTGCGTCTGCCTTGCGGAGGCTGAGGCACAGATCGGAACCGAGGGTGTTATGGATTGATATTATTGCAATCGATCAGGCAAACCCCGAGGAGAGAAACCACCAAGTCGGGCTCATGGGCCAGATATACTCACAGGCATCACAAGTCCTCGTCTATCTTGGTGAAGAAGACCTTGGTTTCGGTGTGCAAGGAATATGGCAAGATAGTGAGAGACGACTCGTAGCGCTCAAGAAGCTGTTTGCAAAAAGATGGGCTTCACGGGTTTGGGTCATACAAGAGGTAGCGCTGGCGCAGAAGCTGAAGATGATCACCGGGGATGTAGCTATCCCCATGGACGCACAATTCATGACTCGTGTCAGAGGGCGTGCCAGAGTGTCTCAGCTACTTGTTCCTGGTCCACTGGCATGGGATCCTGTCGTTAGCGCTCCAAGTCGAGACTTGTTGACAATGCTGCATATGTCGCGCAATTGTCTTTCCACGGGTAAGTACACCAGTCTCATCTGCGTGTGGGACTAAATTTAACCACTCATAAGATCCACGGGACAAAGTGTACGGTCTTTTGGGGCTGGCAGGCGAGCGATTACAGAACCTCGTCCAAGTGGACTATTCGCAAAGCGTCGAAGAGGTCCTTACTATCGCATCTATGGCAATAATCTTTCTCCGAAAGGACTTCGAGATCTTAGCTTACGCTACATCAACTCTTGGAGCAACTCACGCAAATGGACGCTTGCCAACCTGGGTTCCCAACTGGTCAGAATATCGTGACGAAGAGGCAGCAGTACAACAATTCAACGGCTGGAGAGTTGGTCCATGGAGATCGCTCAGCAAGGAATGGTTGTGGAAACGACTTGAAGATGAAGAGAGATTGGATTGGCTTAATGTGGTAACTATGCCGACGAATTGGTATGGTTCTGCTAAAAAACCCTACCTTACCCTTCGTGCACATTGCATTGGAGTCATCGATGATACAATCCGAGAGTCCCATGGTGGTCCCATTAGTTCTTCTCGGCACGGCTTGCCCACTTATGATTATCGCCTCCGATTACAGACTTTGATCGAAAGAGACATCCCGACGGACCACTGGCCTCCACAATTCCGATGGCTCATAGAGGGCCTTTCTACTGAGAGAAAGCTATTCCAGGGTCGATCCGAGCGTCCTATTGTTGGGCGCTTGACTGAGTCCGAGAAGGCCGATTTACAATCATTCTGCGACCACCTCGCAAGAGTAGGTGGCAACAAGTACATTTTCCGAGCCGGGTACCTTCCAGCGATTGCTAGCTCTGAATTTGAACCGGGCGACTGTGTATATGCTGTAGACGGCTGCACAACTCCGCTAATCCTTCGGCGCGTGGGCACTGAAGGCCTCTGGAAATTCCGGGTCATCGGAAATACTTACTTACTAAGCCTTGCGCATTTAGACTGTTGGGTCACAACGGGATCAGGCCTCAGACAACAGTGGGATTTCGACCCATTCCGCCGTATGGATGCGCAGGGCACCCGGATGATCGAAATCTACTAATCCTTGGCGACTTTTGTTGAGACGATTGCTCCATCTAGCTCTTTCTTCTGAAAGCATATCTAGGGTTATGTCAAAATGGGCATGCCAACACCCAGACGTGCGAAAAATTCAATGGCGTACGTTGTTGCCAATCGTGCGGGGAACCTGCATTCAACTCTCAGTACTGCACCACTTTATGATACAGTCCTCTAGAGTGTTTATCGCCGTATTGCCACACTACCCTCAACTACAGACTTGGACGGGAGATACGGTTTGTAGTGCTTCTGCCAGGGATATTCACACATTCACTAGAGTGCCGGATCATGCATGTCTATCTGAGGGCTACCCCGCAAATGAACCAGTGTCGTACACCTGGGCCACAGAATGATTGCAGCATGTTATAAGCTATTAACTGTATCAATGGTGGATACCTTGCAATAAATACTAGTTGCGACAGTACCCTCCGCCAGTTGAGAAGGTCATCGCATCGACGACGTCTCTGGATAGATTAACTATTCAACAAAAGCTCAAAATGGCCTGGTTTGCCTGGAAATCTATCTGTCTCGATCCGCAGGCGCGATCTTAAAAAACTGATTCTTTGGCTCCAATGACCACGAAAGAGAGCCACAATTAAAACTCCAAAGTGTTTGCGGCACTTACTATCCTCGACTCCAAGCTTTTCAGGCGTGTGTGGTTATACCGGTAAAGGAAGTGATCACGGCAAACCCAGCTTGCTAGCTTATCGAAAAATACGAAATAATTCGATCGCTTACCTCATGGGCCGCCTGAATCTCTCGAGATATCATAAGATGGAGCCCAGGTCAATTCGTCGGCAGTGATATTAATGCCTTGCCTGCTTGTCGACAATCGATAGTAAATCATCATATGCAAGAGACAAGGTATCGGTCTTATGAATACATACCCCCAATCCCCAATATCCATCAACTATTCACTAAACGTACAAAGCGTTTTCGTGATCCCGGTGATCGCAGTCGTTACGTTACACCGTGGTCTCAACACTCGTGCTTGTGCGGCGCCGACATATAATAAAGCATCATGTTGGGAGGGATCATCGGCACTGCCTATGGCGAGTTTACGCAAGTTTCTTACTGCTGAATCGACACAAGTGTCTTCCGATCCAGCTACAGCGGTAGTTAAACATTTGCTACCTACCAGTCAATTCACTGACAATGATTGTGGGGGCGGAATTGATGTACATTTGACAGTGTAGGTGAATCAGCAGAGCGTAGACTATAAGATGCGTATTAGCTACTAGTCACAACTCATACACAAAGGGTTATTACCGTGGATCAATGTTCGGGTTCACTATATTGATACCTCTCTGAATTTGCGTACTTACCCGCCTGTTATATCTCTCTTTGCTCATAATCGGTTCGAGAACCCTCTTTTTCCAAGATGCTGCTCTGTGGTCAAGTTCCCAAAATCTTCCTGTCTCTTTCCAGATCTTCGGATTGCATCTGAAGTGAATAGTCGAGAACTCTTTCAAAACCATGCAGAAGGCGTGAATCTGCAGACCAACCTTCCAGGTCTGCAGGAGTTCTTGGATGTTACTAAAAAGCAAAACTTGGGACTACTTTTTCCTGCCAATAAAGTGTCGCGGCTGCACGCTGACTTTTTCGAAAAGGATGTATAATCTTTGCTGTTGATTGGAAAAGGGCACCATTGATATTATACAGGTCGGAGACAGGAGCCTACTGAGTCACGGTCGATCGCCACCTGTGGGCTAAGTTAAAACTGGGCTGATGGCTTGACGAGCCAAAAAAGGGACCCCCGGAGATCAGTTTTCCAACGACCAGATGCAGAGGATCTAGATAAACCAAGGTATTAATAAATTCGTGTTCCATCAACGAATAATACTCTCCCATTCTCGCAGAGCCTCCCTCAACGACTCTTCGGCTTGCGGCTCAACCCAAAAGTGACCTGCTCCCGCAACTTCAACGCTTGAAAATAACGATGCGGGACCACTTTTAAGCGATTTCGACCAGTCGCGAAGCTTCTTTGTTGACGAAAAGGCGTCTTGGTCTCCATAAATGGCCAGTGAAGTATACATTCCAATGACCTCCTTCCCTCCCTCCTTCGCCTTCTGCCAGAACTTGTGTCCTAGTGCCGGTGCGAGGAGTGTCGAAACGGGTAGGGTAAGGGGCGAGATGAGCAGGTATCGAATCTCCGGCATGACGATCGGCGTGTGCTTGTTTCTGCTTGGGGACGCGACTGTGGCATCGTCTTCACGCCGTCGGTGGCTTATGCTCCTTAGTCTTGTCCTTATCTTGAGACTTGTGTGACTGTCGAGACTTCTGTGAATATCCCTACTGCTCCTCCGTTTCTCCGGTGTAGTCTCTTCACCACCCATAGTCATGCTGGGCTTGTGCTCGTGGCCTCGCTGTTTCTGCCTGGCGCGTGCTTCGTCATGGGTAAGCTTTATCCATTCAAGGTTGCTCTGTTCTGCAAGCTTGTGGGCTCGGAGGAGTATTTCATCGGCCGAGGAACCTGGTATAGGCGCAGCGAAGGGTTGTAGAATGGTCGGTACCGGTGGTAAGTGCTTGAGGATGAGGGAGCCATATGAGTAGCCACCAAGGACAACGACAGGGCTGACTGGGCTCTGAGTTCGGGGGACTCTGCCTAACAAAGGCCTCTGCGGCGAGGATGCATGTGACCCGGGCGAGGATTCTGTGTAGGGTGTGGGAAAGGGCTGTAGATAGGACATGTAGTGCATGAAGAAGGCAGCGAATGAGGTGTAGTCGTCCAGCTCGGGCTTACCAGACCAGCTCGTTCGGCCTTTGGATCCATGTGCGCCTCTTCGATTATGTCATTCAATGCTAGAAGATGTTCCTTTATCCAAAGACATACCTGAAGTTGAATGTGCCCACTATCCAGCCAGCATTCAGGAATTCATCCACTACGATGCCTACGACTCTATCATCGTAGTTTCCCCCCATTGGAGCATAAGGATGCGCCATGATGATGCCTCGGTTCCTCCAGGGCATTTCTGCCCCATCTTCCGCTGTTCTCTTCAACAGCTCGGGGTGGTACAACCGGCAATCCAAAGTAGCATCATCATGGACCGAGGGTAAGGTGAAGCTATAATATGCATCATGCGGGCGGTGCATCTTCCGGGTCTCGACTCGGCCCGCTACAAGAGCTTCTCATCGCATGGTGCCTGACAGATATGTACAGAGTGAAGCCAACAAGACTTGGCTATGTGGTCATCGATGTCTCAATACAAGATTGTGGGGTCAGGGTCCGGGGTCGTGCTTGTGGAGCATGAAGCGCTTAGTCAGCATCGCTCTGTCCAACTACGCGAATACGACAACTACGAACGACCAGGACATTGGAAGCTCTATACAGCGTGCTCAGAGCGTTTGGAGGGCGCGTTTGATCAATTATGAGGGCGTAAACAACGTAACCGCAGCGCTCCTGCGCGCAGACTATTGCGACATATCCCTCCAGCGACACGCCACGTCCTTTGATCGCTCAAAGCATCAACTAATCTCCAGACACTTCTCCACCCTGCCATGCCGAGCTCGACTCCCTCTTCTCTACGCTACCGCCCCGCAATCCTCGTATTCACTGGAGCAGCCGCTGCCTACGCTGCCTATCTTGTCTACAACAGCTTCCAAGCGTCACCGAGCGATGGCTTGCATCGCAGCAATGCCGTCCGCAGGCGATCGCGAAGGCGAGAGTACGCTGCCGCACCTGCTTCACAGAACGATCAGGATATGTCTTCCCTGGGCGAGATCGATATCGAGGGCGCATCTATCCAACTCAATCCGCATGACCCCATTCGGGCGGGAGAGCTTCACGATATGATCATGCGGGCACGCCCTGATTTTACTGAACAAGAAGTCACAAACGCGATTGACCACGTCTACGATGTTTTCTTTGATCGCTTCTTTAGATCAGAATTTCGCGACCGAGTTCCCTCTACAGTCGAGGTCGAGGCCATCCGTCAATGGATTGGTGATCGTATCCCAGATCAAGCAGCAATCCAGCGTGCGGTAAGAAGACACGCAGAAGCCTTTGCACAAGATGGCAGCACTGCCGTGAACGGCACCGAAAGCATTGCTGGTACAGATCTCTCCTGGGGAAGCGAAGACGATGAAGAAGAAGCTATGATTGATCAAGATGGCCAAACTCTACAACGTACTCTATACTATATTGCCGAAGAGCGTGCCCGACAATACGGCGTTGTGCACCGAGGCATCACTTGTAACGGCTGTGATGAGAAGCCCATACGTGGTGTCCGATGGCATTGCGCCAACTGCGTTGACTTCGACTTGTGTTCCATATGTGAGGCGACTAACTCGCACTGCAAGACGCACATCTTATACAAGATACGCATACCTGCCCCCCACCTCAATCTTCAAAGGCAAGAGGTCTTGTATCCAGGCAAGCCTCATAAGATGAGTATGTCGGTTGACCCAGCGCTTAAGAAACGCCTCGTTTCAGAAACAAAGATGGAGGCAGAGGAAATCGATGCTCTCTGGGACCAATTTTCCTGCCTTGCTGGTACCAGATGGCGTGAAGATCCGAACAATGTGTTCTATGCTCTGGATCGCCGCGCCTTCAACCATGCATTCGTCCCTCGTTACAACACCTTCACCGCCGCACCAAATCTTATTTATGACCGCATATTTGCCTACTACGACACAGACAATAATGGGCTCATTGGTTTCGAGGAGTGGATCAAAGGTATTGATGGGATGCACACGACAGATGTGGAGGTAAAGGCGCGGATCGTCTTCAACGGATATGACATTGATGGTGACGGCTACATTTCCCGTCGGGACCTTCTACGTATATTTAGAGCCTTTCACGCCATTGAAAAGGAAGCAACACAAAATTACGTCGCTGGCTTGACGGATGATTACGCGCCGCGAAACCAAATGAAGAAGATTTCTTCTAGCCAGCCACTTGGTTCTGGATTTTCGCCTCATGGTATCGTCCCTATCGCTCTGGATCCGTCCCGTTTCTCAAAGTCGTACAATGATGACACCAATACCGCGCCAGTGCTTCGTGATGAGAACTCGGACCTTGCAAACAGGGAGGCCATGTTGCGGGCAACGAGGCAGTCCGTACTGAGAGAGAATGACCTTTCGAGTGAACACCCATTGGTACGCCAACTATCTCAAACTGTTACAGACCGATGGGCGCGCAGGCAATTCTATGTTGACGAAGAGGAGGGAATGGGACCTCCTGGAGGCCCTACCGACAAGGACGAGGTAACCGATGGAGTAGCTAGAGAAAATGGACGACCAGACATGTCACCGTCTCCATCAAAACCTACTAATGCATCTTGGGCAGGCTATGATATACCAGAGCCGGAGAAGGATTTAGGGAAGGAGGTACTTTACCAGATTTCGCAAGAGGGTTTCAATGAACTTCTTGATCCGCTTTTCCAGGAGAAGGAGGACTTAGCGATGGATGTGTTTGATACTCGGACCCTACGCCGAGAGAACGCTGCGGCGATTGACAAGATGCTCGCTCTTTTCGACACCTACAAGAAAGATGCTGGCGCCATCGCTCAGATTGGCTTCTTCCGCTACGCGCATGTTGTAATAGAGACGTTCTGCAGTGTGTTCGAGTACGCCAACCAAGACGGCACATTGCAGGATGCGACTCGCTCCGATAATGGCCAGGGCTTGGACCGTGAGAAAGTCAAGCACGTGCTGTATGGGCATTATTCAAAAACCGAGGAAGTCCTGCATCGGTTTCTCAGACTCCAGGTCGTCAAAACGTCAGACTACAAAGAGCCCGATGCGATGACTCTATGGAACATTATGCTTTGCATGCTGCAACTCCGCGAAGAAGCATTGCATGCTGCTTTTCAGTGCATTGAAAGTCTAGGCTGGTTTGTATCGATCGACGACTGCAAGATGCCTTCTGTCGACTATGATCAAACTTGGCCACAGTTCAGACCAAATTCTTCAACTGACACGTACACTACTTGGGCGTCCCCTGGCAATCCCCATTACAAGAAGAATCCGGGCTCCATAGAGGAACCATCCATATATGGCTACAATTTGCCTGTATTAGGATACAATGCGCCCACCAGACACAGCAAGGCATCTGGAGAATATTTGATGTCGGCGCCTGAGGGACCATTCTTTGTCTATGTAGACCCTGACAGTATGATCGGCGACTTGGAAGTTGTTGCTCCTGTACAAGGAGATGAGAAAATGTCGACCAACCCACCGACAGAACTCCCAGATGCCCCAGCAGATATACCGGCATCCACGTCCGTACCAGACCCAGCCGAAACAATCGTTCAAGAAGTCGATCACCCTTCCCTGGAAATGCGTACAGAAGATCTATACAGACGAACCAGGCACTGGGGCACCTACGACAACGACCCAGAGATGTTCCGTTTCTCCATCACGCCCACCAGTCTCACCACCGCCTTCCTCAACTACGAATCCGATCCCGCAGTACACTCGCTCTACAGCCCATACAACCCGGCCCTTGACCCGCTCAAACCCGTCGTTCGCCGTATCCGTCAGCGAGCTATGAATCCCAACTCGAACTTCCACGTCACCATGTTGGCAAGCCTGCAGCTTGTGGAGCAGGAGATTTTCGAGCGCAAGGGCAGTGGTTTGATTGGGTACGAGGAGTTTGCGGGGTTCATGAGGGAGGGCAAGTTGACGTTTTTGGAGAGCTGGTTGGAGTGGGTCAGTATTTAGGATAGCTGCTTTGGTTGATAGGTCATGTGGAGACGTATGTTATGAGTAGTAGAAATGCTATCGGAATGATAATGACTGGGATGAATAGGCAGTACCTGGGGGGATGTTAAACAGCGGGTTCGCCCGAGAGCTACACCACCACGAAACTGGATTCTGGAAGCTTTATGGGCACCACAGACTGGGAGAATAGGTTTTCAGATGATGCTTTGTATGAGCGATGGCACAAAAAGTATAACTATGATTAGGATGAGGATTTTACCTCATGCACGTACATTCGATCCAATACATGAAACTATTCATTTCTATTTTGCCTCCCGCTCTCCATGATGAAATTCATTAAAGCGTCATGGCATACACCAGCTACCCTCCCATCACAAATTCACGCAGTCAACACCCAACAACCCACCTTCACTCTCCCCTCCCCCAAAAAATTCTTCAACCCAAACGTCCAGACTGCCCAGCATCTTCAACCAAGTATCACTCCGGCCAGAGCGCCCCCCTTCCCATCCATCCAATTTCCACCCCACTGAAGCGGTACCACAGACCCGATAAACGAAGTAGCCTCTCTGTATGCGCGGAACCCCAGTATCATGGGTACTGTGTCCCGTATCCCGTGTCCAGAATAATGAAACTTTCACAGTATAGCGGCGAGGGCCGGCTGTACGGGATGGGATGGGAAGGAGCCGTAGTATAGTCGCTGTAGTGTAAAGGACGCCCTACCTACAGGGTCCGCGAGACGAGAAATCGATGAGTGAAAGGGGAAATGGACTGAGCATAGGAAAAGCGGATGCTGGAAAAGGCAAAAGGTTCACATGCCGGAAAAGGCGTTTCCAATTTCTCTAGCGTGATCGGTGGAGGAGTACATGGCGTGCGGGCCGTCATGGGGTTAGGGAGGGAGGGGAACGATCTAGGCGGGGAAATATATGTGCTGTGGCGTTGCGGTGCGTGTTGCGGTTGGATGCTGGTGGGATGCGCTGGGGACGTGGGATTGGGAGTGCGTGGTACCAGTGGGTGGGATGCTTGGGACGGAAGGGAGAGATAGCTGAGGCTCGACTGCGTTGTTGTACCTTGGAGGAACGGAGGACGGGGCGAGGTCATGATGTACACTGGGAGTATTTTTGTCTGATTGGGTACCTCATCATTGGGGTACTTGATAGGGATGGAGTGTCAAATAAAGAATCAGGTCATGTATCATGGATTAAGAGAGTAGTTGAGCCTGTGAAGCGCGAGGTGAAATGTTATTGGATTTCGTCAAGTCAAGTCTAAGTCATTATCAGGTCTACTATTTTTCGTAGCTCTGGACGGTAGGTAGCTGTCTGTAATTTTGCGACGTTGTTCCTGTGAGGTGCGGTACTGCAGTGCCTTCCCCTGCTCGCGTGGAGCGATGGTAATCGTCTGATACCGACACGACTTGATGCGTGTAGCTAGGCTTCCTGTTGTCTTGGCAGACGACGAGCCTTGAGCTTTGCTTCGAGGAAAGGGTGAATGGTGATGGATGTTGAGTTCAATACAATACCAGTAGCTTTCAAGGTGGTATATGCGCGATTCCAAACTCCTTCAGACTCCGGCTTTCACCGCTTTCCTGACTCCATCTGCCTATTGGCGATACTGGCCGCATTCTCTTTGCCTCGGCTTCCATCTCCTCGTAATCTTCTGGCATGGCTGGCTCGCTGGTAACCTGTGTCGTCAAGACCATCTTGATATCCTTACTGCTGCTGGGGCACAAGTCATCAGCACTTTCGTTTCTGGACGGCGAAAGGGCCCGATTCTTGCAGCGCCGACGTGCTGGTGGCATAGCTTCGATTGTGCATTCGCCACCGAAGCGTCGGGGCTTCTCTGCCCAGAAAGCGGCAAAGGTATCGATACCGAGATTGTTGGAAGGAGGTTCGTCGCTGAAGATCATGATGCGCCGTGTGCATGTGTAGAGGAGGACATCGAGCCAGCCGTTGGAAGTGATCATTGCGCCTGAAAGACATAGCCGAGCCAGTGAAGGGCGGCTCCCTGTCATCGAGGCCATACGGGCTGAGGCAAGGGGAAGGGTGCATATAACATATACTAAGGGGTATACGACCATGAGATTTGCGATAGAGCGGACGCGTTTGGCTTCTTCGGATGTGTAGTATCCGTTGCGGATACGGTGGATGAGAATGGCGTAAATGAGGGCATAGATGATCACATTTCCGAATTCACTTGAATCATGTCAGGAACAAATTGCGAAGACGGGACAAAAAAAGGAGACGTACAAGAAGAAGATCCAGAAGTAGTGAGTCCAGAGACGTAATTCCTTGAGGTCGTGGTGGATCCAGCACCAGACGCCGGACCTGACGTACAGGTGGTTTGGGTGGAGTGCAATGCCTATCGAAGAGACGCCCAGAATGAAGACCCAAAGGAGCAAGATCACGAGATAGAAGGACCGTGGCGTCAGTCGAAAATCGAGAATGACAGAGGCGAATGTGTGTAAGCCTATGATGAAGCACCATACACCACTACCCAAATCTCCCGTCGACACAAGCCAACCCTGTGCAAAACATGTTGGGCTTTCGATTTGGACGCGGCCGTTGAGTAGCCATTCGACGTTCAAGAAGAACGACAAGGATTGTTGGAGGTCGGCCCACAGCAGGTTGAAGATGAGAATGACGAACTGGTTACTCCGCTTGGACTTGATGCGCCACCTGATGAGCTTGTATGTGAGCACAGCCAGCAGCGAGACGGATGCGATGAAGCTGATGAAGCCCAAGGCGACGACCGCCCGCAGCCATGGGTAGATGTGAGGGGGGACGGGAAAATTGCTCGATTCAGCGTCCAGCGGTTCAATTTGGATCATTGCGCACGACGGACGGTGGGCTGGTTTGAAGGCGTGATAATGTGTCGATGTTTACGCACCAAGAGGGTACTATCCTGTGGTTGCGCAATACTATCATATCGAAGTCGCGGGTACCAATCGAAGTGGAAGCAACCGGGGAAAGATGGATAGATAGCGAGGGCGTATGAGAGTCCGGAAAAGGCGTATAGAGACTAGACAGGGCCAGGTTTGCTGACTGTAGTCACGCTGCGCCAGTGAAGTAGTAAGTAGACAAACCCACGCCCACATCCACAGAGTCAGTCGTGGGTGAGTAGACCCACTATAAAGTATGAAAGCTGAGCTCCGATGGTAAGGGAACGCTAACTTAGCGCAGCTCGTGGTATGCTCAGTGCTCCCCCTCAAACAGGGGAGTTGGGGACAGGACAGGACAGGACAGGACTGACCCCAAGCCCCGTTGCTTATCTTCAAAACCTGCCAGGCCATCTTCAGGCGAAAGTCAAGCAAACTGGCCGATCGAACCATGCCGTGATGCCGAGGCCGGCGAAAGCAAGTAGAAGATGACGAATGCGCGCGGCCATGTGCCCTTTTCTAGCTGGGAGCCAAAGATCAATGCCGCTCTCCAGATGCAGTGTCGTGCGACGGCATGTCATTCCTCTGCATGTTCCCACCCCCAAGGCCGTTGATGCCAGATGCCAAAAGGGAAGCCAGCTTATCATCTGACAGGCATCAAGGAGGATGCAGCAGGAGCCAATCTGTACTGTGCTCTTCTGTAGTACGAAGGTCTTGGCCGAGCGTCAAGTACGTACAGTGGCGTCTTCTAGGCCGCCTGCACTTTGTTCCTTCGGCTCCTCCGGCTAAAATGCTGGCTCTTGAAACCCACATCTTCCATCTTCCTCCTTTAGTGGCAGAAGGCCAAGGACATGAATGCACAGAAGCCCAAAATCTAGGTCTGTCGGGGCCGGTTGGACGTCAACACCATGGCAGTGAGACCGAAGAGCGTCCAAGATACTCTTCGTACATGTAGTCGTAGATCTTCCATCGCAAAAGGCGAGACAATATGATCGTCGCTGACGTCAGTCGAGGCCTTTGGAAGTCGGCCATTGTGTATGGCGCAAATAATATCCACTGCCCACACTTGCACAGTCAGCTCGAGCAAAGAAAGTTCTCCTTAGCAGGCTGTATCCTCGTATCAAAGAGCTTCGAGAAAGTTGGCCGTGAGCCCCAATCTTACTGATGTGACGATCGCCTTACAATACAACCCCCCCAGAAACCGCGTCGGTGCTTCTTCCCTTCGCACACTTCGAGTCTTTCACGTCGCCGTTGACTCGTTGGCCAATGCGGGAACGGTAATCTATCTTGATAGGGTGGAACTACCGACCGCTATCCGTGCACAGCCTGTTTAAAAAGCCATGGCATGAGTGACTAGCGAGTCGTAGTTGATGGTGTTCCATGCTCAGCCGAAGATAATCCAGGGTAGACCAGGCATCCTGAGTGGGAGAAACAGACGTCGAGTGCCCGCTTCCTTTTGCATTGCGGGCATGGACCTTTGTTTCCCCTTTTGCCTTGGAACTTGGGAAGAATGTTTCAAATGGATGGCCTGATCCCAAGGTGAAGAGAAACAACGTTTACAAATCTCCCGTGCTGGCAGACTGGGGTTGTTTACAATCTGATGGACATTTGCCTCTAATAGCCTTGCGTCCATGTAAAAGTCATTCTTTGTTGACAGCGGCACGGTGCACCCCGCAGCTGATGTTCCCTCCCCTCCCTCCCCCAGGAAAAGGGGCCTTGGCTGCCTCCAACCACTACATCCGCAATATTGATTCGCACTGTCCTTTGCCGATAGACAGTATCCTACTTATTATCATCTGTAGAGAGTTGCATCTTCTATTGGACAACGCGTACCGTCCACGTTCTCTGTGTCTTTGTTTAGGTCCGGATTCGCATGGTCATCGCCCCATGTACCCCTACCCGTCCTCACGCCGTCGGCCATTCTGTCGGATCGAATGCATCGATGCCTTTGAGGTCGGCCTCGAACTTGGGCCAAGTACTCTCTTTAAAATAAGAGACTCTGTGTGCACGTTCGCTCACTTCCTCATCTACTGTGTGCGCTGGTTACTGGGTCAGCGAACGAAAGGCCCTGATCCCATCGCCCCCCAATCGGTTGCGAAAATCGGACATGGCATGCAGTATAGCAGGGAAAGGTCTTGTTCCCGGCGACACAATCATCTTTCACGAATGCCCTTTTTTTCGGCCACTCATCGTACTGGAGGAATGGAAAGACTGTTGAATGGCTGACACGATTACGAATGGACAGGTACCTACTCACCCTCCATGTCGCGAACTCTAACAGCAGCGCTAGACGTTTCCAAAGACGCCAGAGAAGCATGCTCATGCGATCAATCTCCACGTGTGTTTTGAGCCGTGGTAGCGGCTCACGTGGACGGCTTCAACGGCAAGGTTTGTATGACTTGAGCGGTAGTGACCCATTCGTGGCCCTTTCGTTGGCCCTACTGTACTGCTGTATCCCAGAATCTCAGCAGTACTTGCTGCTCTTCTTTGCTGTGATTGGTGCATGGATACGAATTGAGAGATATCATAAGCATGTCATGGCCGGGCATCGACCGTGGCAATCAGGACACAGCTCTGGCTACGATGAATGATAGCCCTTGAATGTATTCCCTACACGCATTCCCTCCACCCCTAAGTTCTGGCAGCTACGTTTTCCACTTTCACTTAAGCCCAATAACAACACTACACCACCCACCCCCCATCATCCAGATACACACCAGACTCTCCCTCTAATCCTTCTCCCATCCACCATCGCATCACCTCCTCAACCTCCACGCGCCAGCCATCTCCCAAGCCAAGCCCCCACTACACAGCCTAATATGTAATCTCGTACGACGTTCAACCAGCCGCGAGGCGGGCAAAGCTGTGTCTCGAATAGATGAAAAGTGCAGATATGGTTGCCCAACTTGATCAGGTTTGGAAAATGTATGCATGTAATGGATGAATGCAGTATTGGACTTAGCGGGGAATGCCATGTCGTGGGTATGTACCATGGTAGGTAGGGGGATCGTGGGATAGATGGCGGGTTAGGGGGCGGGAAAGTGGGATAATGAGAGGTATTCTGAGGATGGTGCGGGAGTCGCGTGGGAAGAGTGATTGGGATGGGATAGCACCTCATGTTAACTGGGTCAATCTTGTTATTGTTTTTTCACTGCGACGATTTACTTGCTTAACTATGAGTCTTTAAACACTAATCATGGTGCCGACTTACAATGCTTGTTTTCCTGTGTTGTGCGGATGGTGAAATATTTTCGATGCTACACGGCATTGTGTTTATAACATCATGAACATAAACTCCTCAAGGATTTGAAAAAAAAAGGCCACGAGCACTCGTCAATTGCAGTGTCAACATGTCACCACAGCGCATACGCATACACTAATTACGGGAAGGAGTGAGAGGAAAAAGGCTGGTCATATAGAATACATGACTGTGTGGGGGTACTACTTCCTCTCACCAGCGAGAGGCCAAAGAAAAAGAAAGAAAAATGCCGTCGAAGCAAAGACTTTCCCTTTCTCTCACTTGTGCTTCACCAATGCTAATGTCAATGCCAATGCGGATGTCGATGTCAATGCCAATCAATGCCCAACAACCATACGCCTGCAACATGTTTCACCCTGCCAATGTGATAACCAACGGGAACCATCTCACCACACAAACGCCCTTCAACGCCTCATCTCTCTAATGACCTCCCCAGATATCTTCGTCTTCGTCTTTCTCTTGCCAACACTCAAAAACTACGCCTTCTCATTCGCCCCTAACGAAACTGCGCCTGGGTCGGCTGCTCAAACCAGCCTTCCTGCGTACCCTGCGGGCCCAACAACCTAGCCTCATACCCGCCATCCTGGTACTGACTGCGTGCCAACTGGCTCTCCTGGCTACTCTTGAGAATCTTCTGCATGTTCTGGATATCCTCGATAATGACATTGAAAGCATCCTGCACGCGCTGCAAGACAACATTGCGATTGTAGTCGGCACGGTGTTTCCACAGCGCGTCCATGAGCGCTGCGTTGATTTGCTCGAGTTGTTCTAGGCTGCAGCCGCTAGTGCTAGAGACGAGGTTGCTGTGGAAATCCCGGACGAGTTCGTCTGCAAGGATGAGTTGAGGTTTGGGTTCCTCGTCGTTGAGGATGTCGGTTAGATTTGTGGTGTGGGGGTGCGAGTGTGGTGGAGCGGGCGCAGGCATGCTGTTTTGTTGCCGTGGTTGGGAGGATTGAGAGGGATCTGATTGGCTGCTGACGTAGTGGACTTCTGTTTGGGGAATTCGATCAGTATGGTGGTCTCGAGAGGTGGAAAGAGTAGAGAATGGGAGAGGTTGAAGGTCAAGGAAATGCGGTGGCTTACCTTGTGTGTCAGGTAGTTGTTGTGACCCTCCTATCTCGGGCTTCATAGCAGAAAAGTTCAAGAAGCCACCTGGAGCGCCGTTATTGCTTTGCGTACCGAATTTATTATCAGAGGAGCGGTTGGATGTTTTCTGACCAGACGTGGTGGTGGAGGCGCTATTGTGGAAGTCATTCGGATGAGAATTGGGCCCCATGAAGGTAAGCCCTGACTTCTGTGACTTCTGTGTTTGTGTGTCGATCCTGCTTGGCGTCTGGAACTGGAAGTCGCGATGTGTGTTGACGTTCAAATCCTGACTGTCCGTCATGGTAGTGTCGTCGTTTGAAGGTACAGTAGATCCGTTAGGCTGGACGTGCTGTGCACTTTCATCACCATGCGTTCCATTCGATAGGTGATTCGACGGTGGAGGCCGCAATGGCGTTACTGGAGGCATGGCCAGATGTCCTGGCACAGGCTCGCCAAGGACGATAGGCCCCGATGTTTCGGTGGTGGTGAGAGACTGCTCTGGAGGTACCTGGGCGACTTCTGCTTCTGCCTCCTTTGATCCAGCGAACGCTTTATTACGCTTCTCGAGAGCCTTCTGTTCACGAGCCAGTTCGCGCATGTAAAGTGCTTCACACTCTTCTGTCAGACCGGGATGGTTCTGCTTGATGACCTCCATGTCTACTTCGACATTCGTTGCCATTTCGTTGCCCTTGAGTGTACGCTCGGGGTCCCCAAAAGTCTTTGCATCCTTTGCCAACGTCTTGATATCGAACAAGAAATCTTTCGGGCGTTTGTAATAGCCATTAGACAGACGCTTCTCGATGTTGCCAAGGTCCAGATTGTAATATTTGTTACCACTCTCGACATGGAGAAGCACATTGACACCCTTGGCGTCCTTTGAGTACTCCCAGGGCCGTTCAATACCTTCAGCTTGTTGCCGGTCTGGTGAAAGATCGGTCCTGAAATGGTTTGGGTCCTGTTCCTCAAGTAGGTAGGCGTACCACTGCTCGTCCAGGATTGGCTTGAAGAACCTTCGGTACTGTCGCTTCAAATGATCCATTACGGGCTGGATGACCATCTTCAACTTCATAAGCGTCAGACGGTCCTCTTTCTTTTGTTGCTTTTCACGCGCTGCGAGCTCCTTGGGATCAATGACTGGTTCGACAATAGGGGCAGCTTCCAGTACAGGCAGTACGCGCTTCTTTCGATTGTCCGGGTCAGGGAAGTCGGCTGGTGACATGCGGATGTAGTGAATGATGTTCTTGAAGAACTCGTAACGCCCTTCTTGGTCTGGTCGCTCAAGCACGAATTGATTGTTCTGAGAGAAGGAGAAGAGATCCATCATCATCTGTGGGTCAGGCTTCTCCTTCTCATCAGCGAGTTCCATGACTCCTAGGACCATAATAGGCTCGTTGGCGCCGACACTACGTAGGAGAAGCTTGAAAGTCTTGATGGCTGGCCCAGGTAAGGTCTGATACCAGACGTCGACCGCGGGAATGTAAATGATAGCTGGCTTGTGTCTTCGTACTTCTGTAAAGAGCTGGGTGATGGCTCCCTCCGGTGTCCGTGTTGAATCTTCTAGGATGGTAGGAAGATCGAAAGATTGCACGTGTAGACCTTCAATCTTGTTCAGAAGTGCAGCTCCCAAGTATTGCTGACCCATTCCTTGTAACCCAGTAATGAGAAGACGAGGGCGGAATATCCTACTGCTCTCAAAGTTGCGCATAGTAGCATCTTTCTCAAAGCCCAGCTCGTCATCGCGGTCGTCATATTCAGCTTCCTCGAGTGCTGTGAGCTTCTTTCGCCTTGGGATGAGCTCATCTATACGCTTCAAGATCTGTTCAAGCGGCTTCCGTAGCAGTGGCTCGATATTTTTGGCCAATGGTACAGCGCCGGAAGTGACTGTCCGTTGAGAAGATGGAACCATCTTGTTGACGGAAATCATGAAATCTTTGGCGAGGATTTTGATAGTGCTCGGATCAATGAGTAGCTTCTTCTCCGATGTGTAGATCTGGGGGTAAGTTCCCTGCACGGCATTCAGAGCTGCTTCGGTGCATAGTGCTCTGATGTCAGCACCTCCGTAGCCCTTGGTAAGCTCCGCGAGCTGATCCTTCATCTCTGGCTTTAGAGGCGGATCCCAGTTTTTGGTATGGATGTCGATGATCTCACGACGTCCAGCTACATTGGGTAAAGGGAAGTAGAATTCGCGATCAAAACGACCAGGACGTCTCAACGCAGGATCAACCGAATCAGGCCGATTAGTAGCTCCGATTACAATGACTTGGCCGCGGCCGTCCATACCGTCCATGAGCGCGAGAAGAGTGGCAACAATCGACGCGTGAATCTGTTCCTGTTTGCTAGATCGGACGGGTGCCAGTCCGTCGATTTCATCAAAGAAGATGATGCTGGGTTGTGTTTTGCGCGCCTCTTCGAATAGTAACCGAAGCTGTCGTTCAGCTTCTCCTACCCACTTGCTAAGCGCATCGGCACCTTTGCGCATATAGAAGGTGACCTTCTGGCCGTGATTGCTGACGCTAGAGGCCAGGGCTCGTGCGAGAAGTGTTTTACCAGTACCGGGAGGTCCATGGAACAAAACACCCCGTGGTGGAGTGATCTTGAAGCGTTGAAAGACCTCGGGGTAGAGTAGAGGAAGCATGACCATTTCTTTGAGCTTGTTAATATGATCAGCAAGACCGCCAACACCATCGAAATTGACGTTGGGATCAACTCCCAAAGGATCTGCATCTGCAAGCGCCTTCTTATCTTTGACCTTTCCGAGATTGGCAGGCCCACCGCCTGAAGCCTGCTGAGGATCCGCGTTGTGGGTTTGCGGGAGGCCGAATCCACCACCAGAGGCTGTCGCCGCGGTTGGTGTCATGCCAACCATACCACCGAGTGGCTTGGGCATCTTCTGAGTTTCATCGTCACTACTGTCAGAGTCTGCACCGGCAGCAGCACCAATGCCTGCTTCAACACCTCCTCCAAACGGTCCTTGGTTAGCCCATAGACTACGATATGCTGAGCGGCCCGCCCTTGCTCGAGACTTCTCTGGGGCTGGTGCATCGTCGTCATTCTCAAACACCTCGTTCAGTTCCGGTCGAACCACACGGTAGTCGGGATTAGCTCGTGCTCGAGCACGACGTGTAGGGGCCGAGTCATATACCAAATCCTTGTCAGGTACACGCCTGCTTAGACGTCGTCGCTTACTAGAACCAAGTTCCTGCAGCTCATCTTGGATCTCCTCTGGATCCAAGCCAGATTCATCGGATGATGAGTTGCGCCGACTATGCTGTGACTGTCGGGTCTTGCCTCGCAGACGTCCTGAGCGTCTACCCGAACCTGACGCGCTTTCCGATGCAGAACGCTTGCCCTTGGCGTGGTCTGATTCCGACATGTCTTCTTCTTTCTCCTCTTCCTCTGCAGCAGGTTCAAAGTCACTACTCTCATCAGCGTCACGCTTCCGTTTAGCTGATACGGCACGAGACTGAGTCATGTTAGTTGAGCAAAAGGACAGAGTTAGATAAATACATACCCTAAGATTTCTTGTGCCACGTGTAACCGGTCCGTCTTCTTCCTCCGAGTCCTCAGCAGCACCTTCATTCTGAGACTCTTGAATGACACCTTCCATTTCCTCGTCTTTTTCTTGGTCATCATCCGCCTGGGTGGCTTGTATGGGCGAGGTATCTTTGCTGGCTTGGACTTGAGTCTCTACGCCTCCAAGGAGCTCATCAAGTGGCCCGGGGCTCTCCAGATCATCATTGATCATGGATGTCTCTTGTGAGGCTTCTAAGATGGCACTGGGATACTCCACTCTGGGACCCTTGCCACCTCTAGTAGCACGGGCAATGACAGGCTCGGGGCTGCGGGTGCCTTCTCGAACGATCTTGACATGCTTGCCAGAGTCGGAAAGCTCTACAATGGGCGATTCCACGTCATGTGACAGACGAGTACTACGTCGTGTGCCTTGTACATCTGGCGTTCTTCCGCGAGCGATAGACTTACTACCAGTGCGCGTGCGCACATTGCGAGACGGCATCTTGAGTTTGACAATCAACGACGGCTTCTCAACCTGTTCAATAGACGGCTTTGCGCGAGGTCGCGAGTCCTTCTTAGGCTCCTCGTCTTCTGATGGCGTATCCTCGATCTCGTCTTCTTCACTCTCTTCGTACGTGATGTGCTTTTTGGTAGCGCGGCGCACACTCCTACCTGTCGCCGGGTTGATCTCGGGCTCTTCGGACTCGGAGCGCTCGGTGAAGGAATCGTCAGACTCTATCTCGTCGTCCTCGTCGATATCGGAGCCGCCGTATGCACGGCGCTGGCGCTTGGACGGCTTCTTCTTCGCACTAGGCGTGCGCTGCTGGCGACGTCGTTGGGGCGCTGCGCGTCTCTCTGAGTCGTCGTAGTCGAAGTCGTCAGGGTCCGAAGCGTTGGGATCAATGTCGAACTTGCGCTTCGTGCGGCTAGACATGGAGGCTTGATGTGGTGAGGGCTCTTGCGACACTGTGAGGCGGCGTTAGTAAACGAGTGAAGGGGAATGGCAGGGCGCTGCTGCGGTGAGAGCGCACTTACACCACCGGTGAGGAAATGTACCAAACGCTTAATGGCATCAGTCGCGCAGACGCTCACTCCGCATCGGCGACGACAATAGTGATAATCTGTACTGTGCCGAACGGTGCTGCCCGTGTTGTCGTGTTGTTGTGATACGGTGGCTCCAGTCCAAAAATGCGCGATGCACGACCGAATCAGCTTTAGACAATGGGTGCAAGCAAGTGCAGGCAAGTTGCAGGCGAGTAGAGCGAGCAGCAGCTGGGTGATGAATGTCAGTGGACACTCAAGGTGGAAAAGGCCAGAGTTGGCGGATAGTGCAGCTGTGGATGTTCGATGGGGTTGTTGGGGGGCTGCGCAATGTTCTCCGGCGACACCACTGGGGGCTTGGCACGCCATCACACTAACCGCGCACCAACAATTCGCGCCTGGAGGGCTTCTACATGCCCGCAGTTCATAGTCACAACGACACGAGTTTATTTCTCGACGTTGAGAGCACATTTCCAGCATCAGCATCTACGTAAACCACAGAAATGCAATTCTGGGTATTCTGCGACTGCTTCCCGCAACTTTTCGGGAGTCTTCCGGCTCCTGTGGATTGGCAATTCAAAGGCACTGAATCGATAGGAATCGCTCTCGCTGCTGTTGATCTGCAGGTACACATGCGGCTCAAAAAAGCTTATTACCGTTAAGGCTCGTTGTCATGGGCGAGTGTGGGGAAGCGCGTCCTTCTCCACCCCACAGCAGTCGTGGGCAGATGTCATTCGAGAGTGGCTGGGCGCCGCTTGATTCCAGGATCCGTTCTCTCATAAGATCATGACAACGATGCATATTCTACTTGAGTTGAGGTAAACGATCTCGCCAGTCTATATTGAATCTTCTGACTTTCGAATGTTCGATCTTTGATGTTCTGCTGGTGGCTCTCCATCGCCCACATGGTGGGTTTTAGCAACGTGCACCACGTGTTGTCACACTCTTCCGTATCTAGTACCTCATAGTGCCCACGATCGACCACGGCGAACGCATCAAGTACCTACTCACTCGAAATCTAACTTGTCATTTAACAGTGTAGCACATGGAGTATATCCACTGAACGCACATGCGTATACCCTCTAGACGACATCGCCACCATGATGCAAAGAGGAATGTATGTGCTTTCCTCTGACCATAAAATCATACGCTGAACAGTACCAAAAAATAAATACATGGTGGCTCCAAGTGAGTAGCATAGTTACATGCCGCTGTATTTGCCTGACTAAGCATCCAGGTGTTGTTCTGTACCTTCCTATGTCCAGCGCTAGACTCGCCTCGAAACCCACCAAGTCCTCACGCCATCGCAGCAGCCAGCACCCAGATAGATTACATCCCTATGCGAAAATCTTTTCATCAAGTTCGGTATACACAGTAAGCATATTGAAACTTGACTGTCACAAGTCTACGTCTAATAGGACTTCTAGCCATTCGACACACGCCGACTCAAGAGTCTCAACCAGCTCCGCCAGCCAAGGCCCGTTGTTTCAACTGCGCTGCTGATTTACAGACATACTCAAACAGATTTTTATACACGTCTATAGGATTCCAGATTGGTAGCATGTACCAGAGAACTTCAAGTGCAGTTGGGCGTTTTTAAACACTCGACTCCTACATCTGCCCTCTGACGAGAGTTCAGTCCACAGGGATGAGACGATCGACAGCTAGTCATAATCAGCCTTGGTCTTCACGAACAATATTGTCACTCATACCTTTGCCATTCTCCAGAAGCCAGCCAGAGCAGTCAATCTTCCATTTCTCCCCTTGCACCTCCACCTGCGCGATACCAAAGCGCAAGACAGCAAATTTGAACCTCAAAAAGAAGCTCGTCCACTTCTGATGCACCCATCGAGCAGAGCCTTCCCATATCCGCCCAGGGAGTGATAGGTGCTCCATATCTACCCAAACTCTCTGACGTCTTGCTCTCTCCGCTTCCATAAGTTCCTGAACCATGGGTTCGGTCTTCTCACTGATCGTCGCTCCCCCGAGGTTCGCGTATATGGTGCGCTCTTTCGCCCACGGCACCGATCGCACCGTCATACGTAACTGCATCGGACCACCTTGCAAGCTTGGCACCACCTGCAAAGCCCGCATTCGACTCGCAGGCGCAGTGCTGATGTAGCAGCCAATGACGACGAAAGCTAGTCCCACCACAATATAGGTTGGCCTCACGAAGAACGAAAGACCACGCCCCTCAATGTCAGAACTGAACTTGATGGAGAATGCTCCAACGCCAATCCACAGTGCTGCTATGCCATAGACTTTCATATAGTACCACTTGTCATTCGGGGCCTCGTAGATGGTGACGGGTTGTCGAGTCTGAGCTACTTGTCGCAGGACAGGGTCATTACTGAGGGATGGCTTTGGCGGGATTGGAATTCTGCTTCGAGTTGGATACTGGTATCTGCGTAGGACAGAGGACGTGAAGGATCGAGCATTTTGTATCGTGGTCTGCTGGGGAAATTGTCGTCGACTTCCGAATAGGGCGGCGCGGAGGGATGAGGGAAGCCGAAAGGTTTGATGGCGGAGGAATCCATCGAGACCCCGCGAGAAGGCTGCCATTGTGTGACGGAAAAGGTGCACTGCTATGATGAGCCCATGATCTGGGGCTTGCTTGAACCAAAGAGCGACCCAACAGGCGTTCGATGGCTCCCGCCATTGCCATGGACTGATCCCGAAATGTCGGACTTGGTTGGCCCGAGCGTCCCCACCTCCGAAGCTTGGTTCCGCCCAACATTTCATCGTCCTCTTGGAGCTGGACCGGCTTCCTCATTGTCGCGCGACTTTGCTCCCACTGCGAATTGATACCCATGGCTTCCATTGCTGTGGCATGTAGGACATCGGCACGTGCTGCGACCCAGCAGCTACGATACCATGGCGTGCGCAGAGGTGAGATGGCCACTGAGAAGCGGGAAATATGAACACTGCTAACGATCCTACCTAGCACTCCACTCTGGACAGGCCTCGTTGGCTGCGCAAAACTTCAATATGCCCGCGCTTTCTCCGACCATGACCGAGGGCAATATCGCATCGTGGAAGATTAAAGAAGGTACGGTCAGCCCCAGCAGTAGGCCGTAGAAGCACGTAGCAAGAGAAGGGTTGGCAAACACAACGCGCCTTCCTGAAGAAAGGAGAAGGGCGCACTGATATTGGAAATTATTGCATTTGCCTGCAGAAATGCTGATGTTGATAGGTGATTCATTCTCTGCCGGTGATGTCCTCCTCGAGATTGAGACCGATAAAGCGCAAATGGACGTGGAAGCTCAGGATGACGGTATCTTGGCCAAGATCATCGTATGTCAGAGCACATGAGATGCTGCAGTGAAGGGTCTAACAAAGGCCGCAGGTCGGAGATGGGTCCAAAGCAGTTCAAGTCGGCTCCCGGATAGCAGTCACAGCAGAGCCAGGTGACGACTTAAGCTCCCTCGAGATCCCGGCAGAGAACAAACTTGCTTCCAAAGAAGCAGCAAGTGCCAAGGAACAACCCAAGGAGCAGTCAAAGCAGGAGACCAAGTCAGTGCCAAAGGAGGAGCGTACTTCCTCACCACCTGCGAAATTGGATGGTTCAAAGAAGGCGTCCAGTGGTAAAGCTACAAGGCAAACTTACCCGCTCTACCCATCGGTACAGCATCTGCTCGAAGTGCACGGCCTCCCCAAGGAGGAAGCAGACAAGATACCAGCTACCGGACCTAACGGCAGACTATTAAAGGGAGACGTTTTGGCATACGTTGGTCAAATCTCGAACTCTTACCCCTCTGAACTTGCAGATCGATTCAAGGTTCTTTCGCATCTCGATCTGTCAAACATCAAGGTCGCAGCGAAGAAGGAGGCCCCCAAGAAAGCGCCGGCGGCGACTGCACCAGCAGCAGCTGAGGAGGTGGACATCCAGGTGGCTATGCCATTATCGCTCACAGCTGTGCTTGAGTGCCAGAAGCGAGTCAAGGATTCAATAGGCGTCTTCCTACCCCTCTCCACCTTTATTGCTCGCGCAGCAGAACTAGCAAATGAGGACTTGCCAAAGTCTAAAACCGCAAAGCCTTCAGCAGACGAGCTGTTTAACGCTGTTCTCGGCCTAGACAAGGTTTCTGGCCAGAAGTACTCGCGGGGCAACTTCATTCCACAGGTGACTGCTCTGCCTCCCAAGACATTGCAGAGTAGTCGTTCTTCAGAAACCAAGAAGCCCGACCTCCTCGACATTTTGGCGGGAAAGTCCTCAGGGCGCAAGGCAAAGGCTTCTGCTGGTTCAGAGAAGGTTGCAGGGCCCATGAACGTCGTCAGTATCAGCGTGCCAAAGGGCGAGGAGAAGCGGGGACAGGTTTTCCTCGAGCGCATGAAGACTGTGCTCGAGGGCGAACCTGGCAGGCTTGTGGTTTGAGAAGGTGGTTGTTCATCCTAGACTTTTGTATATTACTACCTCTTCCTCCCATGGACGACGCGTGCGGCGCAATGATGCGGTCTCCCACTATGCTGGATGTGACCCAGTTCGCTCTGACCTGGCGCCTACGCGATAATTAGTGATTGGCCGTCAAACCTGAGGCCGTCTTTGTGTACTGACACGACTGCATACTGTACATCTGTGTACATATGCAGTAGATTCATGGACGGAACTAATGGACCCTGAATGCATCCAGCTTAGGTACTATGCCTCATCTGCGTACCGTAGGCGGGCCAATCCGGGTGCTTGGCGGGCGCTAGTCTGCCAACCCTTCCTCGGGAGCTTGAGACAAGTGAAGCGGAAATGACCGATACATGGTGCCATACAAGTCAGAGTCGCGATAACCATGTTTTCTTCTTTTCCTGTTCGACAGGCACATGAATGGATATGAATGGCTTGTCAAGTCGTCATTACGCCTCATTTTTCCATTCTTCAACAATTAACACGCCCTTCCTTGCCCCTCCCCCCTTGGGCTCGGAGATGTTTCGCGTACATCTAGATCTTATTCGGGAGCGCGCGGCAGCTGCAGGATCCAGCTTCCAAGCTGATTAACCCCGGGGTTGCGGCTCCCAGGGTGGGCACACAGAGGCGAGTCTGGGCATGGAAGCACCGGTACACAATACTCAGCACGTGTCACACTCCAGCCAGGGCTGCCGGCTCAGAATGGTCGGAGAGAACGGAGAGGGCGGTGAAGGGTTTTTAACATGTTTCGGCCATGTTGTTGCCTGTGTTGGTGTTGGTGTTACATGCAAAAGGGATACCTAGAGTACTCTGGAGCAGAGGAGAGGAGAGGCTAGTTACAATAGTACCGTCAGATGGCGTTGCAACCGAACAAAAAATGATCAAGATTGCAAGGGCTACTCTACAGTAGTTGTGTTGTCTACCCAAATCATTACTATGGGGTCCCCTCAGTACTCCTACATACAGTTCTTACATCCAACATCGGTAGGTACTCAAGTTCTCCATAGTGGCGCGCTGGGCTTGTACCGGTAGTGGGGAACGGGGGCGTGGGGATAAGAAGGAGCTAACCAACTCGCGTTTGACTCCAGGTCGTCAACTCCGAAATTCGCTGACCTTAGCAGGCTCAATTCGTGACGGCGTCTTTGCCGACTCTCACCACTCTGACTCTCCCCCCTCCCTTTCTTTCTAACTCCTAATTCGCCCCTCCCGTAGGCCAATTGCACCTGCTCGACCCCGGATAGTTGTCATCTTCCACCATGGCGAGCGTCACCGAGCAAGTCGGCGAAGTGCTGCTGGGCACCACCGACGAGCCCCAGCTATCGCACCTCACCCGCACTGCCTTTATGAAATATGCACAAAAGGATGAGGCCACGGGCGACTACTTTCTCAACGAGGATCAATTCATTGATGCCGTCGCCCCCGAGAGCGAGGACTATGTAAGCAGGGCAGCTTCACTGTTGTTTCAATGTTGTCGAGACGAGTCTAACGGCGCGTCCGCTCTCAGCACAAAATCAAGCGCTACCAGTATGGCATCCTGTTCCAGGTGGCCGACCGCGACCAAAAGGGCAGGGTCAGTCTCCAGGACTGGTCCGTCTTCCAGAACCTGCTCGCCAAACCCGACGCCGAGTACGAGGTCGTCTTCCGCTTCTTCGACAAGAAGCGCACAGGCTACATCAACTTTGACGACTTCTACGCAACATGGAAGGCACACAAGACAGAAGACAGTCTGCCCTTCGATTGGGAGGGCGGCTGGGCGACGCTTTACATTGGCTCCAAGAAGCACAGGCACACCATGACCTACCCGCAGTTTGCCCAGCTGCTGCGAGGACTTCAGGGAGAGCGTGTGCGCCAGGGTTTCACCTACTTTGACCGCAACCAAAACGGCTTCATTGAGCCCGAGGACTTCCAGCGCATCATCCGGGAGACGGCTAGCCACAAGCTGTCCGACTACCTCCTCGAGAACCTCCCTACCCTGTGCAACATCTCGGCGGGAAGCAAGATTTCCTACGCCAATGTGCGCGCCTTCCAGAACGTGATTCAGCAAATGGACATGATTGAGCTCATCATTCGCAATGCTACGCAAAAGAGTCCCGACGGCAAGATCACCCGCACAGACTTCCTCAACGAGGCCGCACGCATAAGCCGCTTCAATCTATACACACCCATGGAGGCAGACATTCTGTTCCATTTCGCTGGCTTGGACGAGACGACGGGAAGACTGGGTCTGCGAGACTTTGCCCGTGTGCTGGATCCTTCGTGGCATACGGTCGGGAAGCTGGGAGTGGGTATTTCAGATGTGGGCCAGAAGGTGTTCGCGACATCGAGGTCAATATGGCACGACATTTTGGAATCTGTCCATCACTTCGCGCTTGGTTCCCTGGCTGGTGCGTTTGGCGCGTTTATGGTGTATCCCATTGATCTGGTCAAGACGCGGATGCAGAACCAGAGGGCTTCCGGCGTGGGACACGTTCTCTACAAGAACTCGCTTGATTGCGCGAAAAAGGTCATCAAGAATGAGGGCTTCAAGGGCCTTTACTCTGGTGTGCTTCCCCAGCTTGTTGGTGTAGCACCGGAGAAGGCCATCAAGCTCACAGTCAATGATCTCGTGCGAGGCAAGCTGACGGAAAAATCATCGGGCCACATCAAGTTCTGGCACGAGATGCTTGCAGGTGGAAGTGCGGGAGCTTGTCAAGTGGTGGGTAGCTCGAGATGTGAGGGGCCGAGTGCTTGCTGATTTGAAATCGCCTAGGTGTTCACCAACCCTCTCGAGATTGTCAAGATTCGACTGCAGATTCAGGGTGAGCTCTCGAAGAATGTGGAAGGTGTGCCCAAGCGATCTGCCATGTGGATCGTTCGCAACTTGGGTCTCGTGGGTCTGTACAAGGGTGCTACCGCGTGTTTGTTGCGCGATGGTGAGTCTTTGCGCTCTTGGAGGCATCCTTCTGGAGACTGATTGATTGCGCAGTGCCATTTTCGGCCATCTACTTCCCTGCCTACAGCCACTTGAAGAAGGACTTTTTTGGCGAGAGTCCGCAAAAGTCGCTTGGTGTCCTGCAGATGCTGACTGCCGGTGCGATTGCCGGGATGCCTGCGGCGTACCTGACGACCCCGTGCGACGTCATCAAGACGCGTTTACAGGTCGAGGCACGAAAGGGGGAAGCCACGTACAACGGGCTGAGGCATGCGGCGCAGACGATCTGGCGCGAGGAGGGCTTCCGGGCGTTCTTCAAGGGTGGACCGGCTCGTATCATGAGATCATCGCCGCAGTTTGGATTTACGCTGGCAGGTTACGAAGTGTTGCAGCGACGTAGGTCTCGGTTGCCGGAAGTGGTTTCGTGTTTGTCGTAGCTAACAGAAGACAGTGCTTCCGATGCCTGGCTCGAGTCCGACGGATTCGACGTTGGAGCCGTCTGTGGGGCTGGAGGAGGCCAAGGCACCTCTGCCGTACCTTCGTAGTCGCAACGCGCTCAAGGTGATTCTGGATCTTGACGAGAACTTTGGTCGGCCCAAGATGGCAGCTGGCAGCAAATTTACGGGTATTCCCGGGTTTGGTGGCAAGACCGCTGAGGGCTGAGGGTGGGGGTGGTGGTGGTGGTGGTGATGGTGGTGGTGATGGACAGGTGGGTAGGCGAAGTGCATGCGGCTGGGGGTAAAAGGGGATTGGCTGATGGCTGGTGTGGGATAAGCGTTTCGGCGTCTGCATTTGCTTTCCTCAACCGCCCGGTTGTTGCTTTTTTCTTCCTCATTGTTTTGGCGTTGGGCTTTTGAACCGGGCATGCCACTTGTTGGACTGGGCAGGCGGGGTGCAGTGCCAGTGTGAGTGAGTGAGTGGGGGGTTAGGGTCTGACAGTCGAGTCACAAAGCATGAGCACATTAGACGAGCGGATGAGGGTTTTGAAGAGGAGACAAGGATAGCGGGAGGATGGGGTTAGAGGGCAGGAGAGGTGGTTAGAAGAAAGTAGAATGGCATGGCATGGCATGGCGAGCAGGGAGAGTTGGATGTTTGGACTGGGTATCGTATGCAAGTGCAAGTGCAAGTGGTGTTGTAAGGACATGGTAGATGGTCTGCTGGGGCTGACTGTCCGTCACTTGGGCGGTGCCCTGTAGTATTCGACGTGTGGGTTGGATGCATCACCGGCGTGCATGCACACTGCACATGCAGGACGCACGAGGCACGGCCAACCAGACAGACACGGCCAGATGGACGGTCATCCGAGGCCAACACGACGGGCTGAAGAAGAAGAAGAAGGAGGAGGAGAAGAAGAAGGAGGAGAAGAAGGAGAATACATGGACAGGGCGCAGTCGGGACTCGGGGCTCAGAGTTGTCTTCTCTGCCGGGGCTCGGGGGGCTCGGGGGGCTCGGGGGTGTCTGGCCCAAGAAGGAGGGGCTAGACACGGCCAGAGGAAAAGGCGGGGGGAAGACAGTCAAGTCTCGACTTGCAGGAGCCGCATCTCCATTTCTCTGGCCGAGGATTGGAGGGAAGCTAGCTGGGAGGTAGAGTAAGCCATCGCTGCGCCTTCCATGGAACTGAGTGTGAGTGTGAGTGTGAGTGTGAGTGTGAGTGTGAGTGTGAGTGTGAGTGTGAGTGTGAGTGTGAGTGTGAGTGTGAGTGTGAGTGTGAGCGAGAGCGAGAGCGAGAGCAAAGCCAGAGAGAGAGAGAGAGAGAGAGGCCCGCGGGCTTGTTTGCGTCCAGGAGGCTCGCTGCGTCGCCGTCGTTCTTGTTCTTGTCCTCTTCTTTTTACTTGCTCATTCTCCCTCTCCCTCTTCTTTTTACTTGTTCATTCCACCTCTACCTCTACTTGCCTTTCTTCGTCTTGTTGCGTCTTGTTGCTTGTTGTTGTCGTTGTTGTTGTTGTTGTTGTTGTTGTCCACGGCCTCGTGCACGCATCCCTCGGTGGCTTCCCGGCTTCCCTTGCCCTTGCCCTCCCCCGCCGTCTAGACTGTTGCTAGCAGCTAGGCTGTGTATATGTGTGTGTGTGTGTGTGTCTATTAGCTAGTTAGATCCGCCCGCAATTAGCCTCCTCTTTCAAGCACACATACATACATATCCGTACATACACGCACACACTCTCTCTGTGCTAACCAGCCTGCCTGTCTGAGCCTTGAGCTGGCCGCCCCCCCTCCCCCCCCCCTCCTCTCCTTCGGAAGCGCATTTGCTGTAAGGCCAGCACAAGGGCCAAACCACCGCAGCAGTACTGTGAGTGAATCTTGTCCCGAAGCCCTTCCGGGTGGTTATTAATACTAATACAAAATCTTGGACGACAACATACCATAAACCGTCCCCTCACATGAGGTCTCAACTCACTTCACAAGATCCTGCGTCTGATAAGCCTGCGCATTGCACTGGGGATAGTCCCACTTGAAGGAGCCTGCGCTATGCGATGAAAGGGCTTGCATCCCCGATCCAAGTGGGGGCCGCGAAACTCTTGAAGCCAACGCATCGTTCAAACTTTCCTGTCTTGCTCACGACTCACTACGCGTCCGTTGTGATGCAAGGCTCAAGCCTTCGATGCTCTAACATCTTTCGGTCGATGAACCAGAATGATGGGTTGAGCGATA